TCTTCTATAATACTTTTCGAGGATGGCCTTCTTCTAGTCCTCTCTACTAGCCGGCGCCTTACCTCCCTCGGTCTAGTTTACCGGTCTTATCTTATCCGCCTTTTTTTTATACGCCGTGCGGACGGCACCCTCTCCCTAGTAACTTTCTATAGTAGATAGTAACCGAAATAGATAAGATTCTATAAACTCGTCTACTCTCCGCGATAGACGAAAGTCCCCCGCTTAACCGTACCCCGGACGGAATTACGGAAGGTTCTTTTAGAGGATTTCTCTTCCCTTCTTTTTCGGCTAGATCTTTATAAGCGTCGCTCGGACTACTAATCTATAAGATTATTTTCCGCTTCCGGTAATAGAAAGAGTTCCGCTTAGGTTAGTAGGGATAGTTAGTTCTTAGTATATAGACCTACGGCCCTCTAGCTAATCCGCGTCTATTAGTCTTCGGAATATATCGTGTACTCGTAAAAACCGTTAGAAAGATTTCTTTCCTCGATAAATATCTTTCTAATAAAGGGTCTTTCTAATAGTAGCTCCTCGCCGGGGGCCTTAGAAACGAATAAGGGATACTTTACCTTAATTCCTCTAATCCGGATTAGGGCGCGTTCTATAAGTCCTATAAGAGAGGTCTTCTTTCTATTAGCGGATCTTATCCGGAGCCGTAGATTCCGAGTTATAGAGAGACCTATTTTCGTATATAGCTCGTAGATAATTATATATATCTTAGTACCCCTATTAATTACCGCGAGATACTCTAAGTTTCTAAGCGACGCGCGTACTTTTAGACTAGAAGAGGTATATAGTTTCTTAGTACGTAAAACCGCTCCCGTACTATAGTTAACGGGACCTTAGATTTCTTTAGTAGGGGCCCTTAGGACTTTCGCCTCTATCTTCGGAAGTCGGGTAGTTCTAAAGATTAGCTTTCTAAGACGAGGTAAGATACTAAGAACGTTTATCGGTTAGAAGATACGCGGCTTAAAGAATAAATTTCGGAGAAGTCGTTTCTCGCTAGCTTTTCTTAGGATTTCTTTCCGGAAATTTACTCTTTTCTAGTATCCTTTAGACTAGAACTTTAGTTTATCGATTTCTATTTTATCTACCTCGGGCTTAGTATAAGCTCTACTCTAGAACTTTTTAGGACTAGAAAGCTTCTACTTCTACTCTACTCGTATCGTTATCCCCTTCTAGCCCGCGGCCGTACGAACTTCTATATAATATCCCTCGGGTTTCTCTTTATCTTCCGTATCCTTCTCTAGGGTATATATAGTAACCGACCGCGTAGTATCTATAGGGACTTAAGTACTAGCGTTTTTCTAAGCTATTTAGCAACTTTTCGCGAGGGTTTTTCTAGGGATCTAGAAAACTTTAGATTCTTTTAGTAGATTTAGTACCGTCTTTCCCGTAACTTTAGACCGGCGGATCTTCCCTTCTTAGCGAAGCCTAGATAATTCCGTATATTAGTAGATTAAATAGCTAGAGAATCCGTAGCTATAATAGGTCTAGAAAGATCGATCTCTAGTAGAAACCGAATTTCTAGAAGCGGTATCTAGGCGAAGGACTAGAGCCTCGAACTTTCGAGTAAGTTCCGCTAACTATTTATTTTCGCGACGTTATTCCGTTTAGTTCTAAACGTTAGAAGTTACTTATTCCGACTTTCTTTCGAACTTATCTATAATACTCGAGTAGTTCTAAGTATCTTTCTTCGTAGAAATAAGTCGCTCTAGAAGGGTCTTATCTTCCGCGATCTTTAATTTCTTCTTATAAATCTTCTCGAACTTCTAATCTTCCGGCTCGTTCGGGTCTAATCTTAGTCGAGTAGCTACCTTTTCCGCCGTATCTCTCGAAAGACCCGTTAGAAAAAACTTACTCCTCGTATAGGGGTTTAAGCTCCCGTTTAGGAATAGCGAAGCCGATAGAGAGTAGAACTACCGATAATATACCGCGACGTTATCCGAGTTCTTCCGCGGCTATTTCGTAAATTATTCTAGAAACGAGATTATCCGCATCTTCGTATCCGAATTATACTCTTAGTATTTCTTAAGAAGTCGCTTCTAAAGGGCTTTTTAGTTCTTTTTAAGGGATTTAGATATCGCGTAAATCCTAATAGCGATTAGATTCTCGTAGTAGTAGAGGAGGTTATCTACTAGTTTCTCGAAACGAGTCCGGCTATAAGTTATATATATATATTAGTATCGGGTTAGGAAGTTCGTAACGTTCTTACTAGTAAATAACGGAGTATCTAGCGTTCTAGAAATCGGTAGTAGTATATAGACCTATACTAAGAAAGGAACTATAGCGGAAGTTACGGTAGTAGTTAAGTCCTCGAAGAAAGTATTAACTTTCTTCGGAACTAGATATCGCATATCTTTATTCGCTATAGTAATTCGCTTTCCGAGGAATATAGTAAAGTCTAGAATAAGAGTAGTAATAAGAATAAGAAGCGAGTTTAGGAGGTTCTTAAGTATCTCGGGCTCTAGTAAGGCCTAGGTCTTTCTATCTCGCGCTAATTCCCGTATAGGTTAGTAATTCCTCTTCTTTCTTTCTCGACTTCTAATCTTAGGACGTATCTTCCGAAGCTTTCGTCTAGGTAAAACGGCGGTATAGGCTATCTTCCGTAGTCTTCTACTAAGATTTCTAGTATTTCTTAGATTTCTCGAAGTTCTTCTTCTAGATCTTTTTCTATTAGGGTAATAGATTCGTCGGAATTCTTCGGGACTTTCGTAAGGTAGTATAGAACTAGGAGTTTCTTAGAGAAACTAGTATTTAGGACTATCGTAGATTACCCCGTTCGATAATTAACTCGGTCTTTCTTAGTTTCTTTAACTAGAACTTATCGAATTCTACGGCCTTTTCTTTAGAACTTCTTCTATAGAGTTTTCTTTTCTCTTCTTATCTAAGGAAGTCGTGTCTAATACGTTAAGTAGGGAAGGGGTCTATCTCTCTTCCTTAAATCTTACACGGAAACACGTAGAAACTTAGGGGAAATAAAGCTTTCTAGGAGTAGAGACTAATTTATAGTAGTAGTAATACTACGGTTTCCCTAGATTTCTTATCGGGCTCTCGCTAGAGAGTAAGGGATTTCGTTAGTTCCTACTCTAGTAGGCGGGAATCTAGACGTTCCGGTCCGGAAGGAGTAGAAAAGAATATATATTAACTACTAAAATTATAACCTCCGACTTAAATATATAAACTTCTATAATACTCCCCTCGGGCCGAGTTCCTCCCGGCTAATTCTCTAAAGTCTCTACCGTCTTCCGTAACAGCCCCGCTATACTAGTAGTAGAAAAAACGCGGCTTAGTCTAGTAGTCGTATAACGTAAGCGTAGTATAGTAAGATATAAATAATAATATACTAATAACTTTAAAGTTTATTTCTTAGGCGAATAGAGCGGGCTACGGTTAATTAAAGTAGAGTAGAATATAAGATTAATAGTTTTAAATAGCGATAGAAACCGACTAAATATAATATTATATTTAGATAATAGAAGAACTATTATTCTAGTTATATATAGATTAGCGCTGGCTGGCCTTAATCGCCGACGTATTAATTAATAAAACTTATACTAGAAAGCTATATATATAATAAAATAGAGAAGAGAATAGAATAATAATAGACGCGTTCTCTACGCTATAGCTAGAGATAAAAAGAGTTCTCTCGTATTTAGATTTTATCGTCTTTTAATAAAAGAATTTTTTAGTATCGTTCTTTTTAGATCTTATTATTTCTTTAGAAGGGCGGGCTAGGGCCGACGGCGGAGCTAAGAATAGAGATAAAATCTATTAATTAATAATATCTATACGTATTAACCTATAATCTTAAGCCCGTTTTAGTAAGCGTATACGCGTCTACGGTAATATATAACTAAGAGAAATTTAGTACGCCCTTAATAGTAAGTAGTATTTAGAAATAGGAAAAATACGGGTATCTAAAAAACGGTTAATCCGTACGGTCGACCCTAAGTTTGGCGGGGATTAGGGATCTAAATACCTATTCTATAGTATTAGGTTTAGACGAGTTCGTTCCTTTAACAAATTATAATTAATACCGACAATTGCTGGTTGTGACACTCGAGCGGATGAATTCCTGGCACTAGTAGGCGTGCGATAAGAAGTCCTGACGAGAAGTAAGCGCTAATATCTATGTCTTATAGGATCGCGTGTTGACTTGACATCTCGCAATATCCGGTTGTAAGTGAACTTACACGCGTGACAAAGTTCGCGGGTAAAAGTCGTCGCTGTAACACCCTTGTTGGTGATGGCTGACTGAAATAAGCCGTCGCCGGCATCGAGACACTATGTTCCCCGCACTCTCCGCACACTATTCAGAAGCAAGGAAAAGCCATATCGTCAGAGCCGATCGCTTAGTGATAAGCATGAATGGCTTTGTTCTATCATGGCCCGATCTCGACTGCTCGATTTTAGAGAAGGCTGCAAGACTAGATAAGCCTCGGCAGCCTTTGGCTTTGATGTTGGTCGACCACCAGCTTGGTATCAGTGATATCCATTCGTCCTGGCTACCTTGTTGTCCTGACACGCTGGAAATATACTTTGCTTCACCATTTATACATACATCTAGCTCAAGCTTGCCGCTTGCGTATCTTTATTGACTGGCTTATAGGATAGGCGCACACTAGAAGTCATCGCGAGTCTAGCCTTCACATCCCATGTATCTGGTATCTACATTTGGGAAGTACAGTGGCTGAAGATGACAACGAAGAAGACGAATTGACCTACGGAAATCTTAGTGGCACGCTCTCAGCGATGGAAAAAGGAAGATGTTTCAGGCAACGACTACGGTGGACAGACTCGCCACTGCATCGAAAGTGGTCCCATTTCTCACTTGCTCCAGAGACCGAACGGCCTAGATTCATTCACCCGTGATATCTGTGGTGCAGTTGACAAAGACTGCTTTCTTCCGGCTGTCGGTCAGCAACATATATAACTCCTCAGGCTCGATGTTGATTCTCATCTTTCCAGATCACCTCCAACGAGCACCGGATCTCATCATGTCTTCCACTGCGATATTTCTGGGTGCATTTGCTCTTCTGGTCCTGCCGGTATCTCTCGCGTGCCCACCATTCCGGATGTCTCCTGTACTGACCTCTTCAGATCGCAGGCTACGTCGTCTACCAAGTCAAACTTCACCCTCTCGCCAAGCATCCTGGCCCGTTTCTCGCCAAACTGACCAATGCGTACGGGGCCTACCATGCACTCAAAGAGGACGTCCACCTGGAAATGTGGAGATGTCACCAGAAGTACGGTAGGGACACTCTTGTACCAATCCACTGAGAATCCGTCTCACTGTCTGCAGGTGACTTTGTCCGCTGGGGGCCAGACCGTGTTCTGGTGAACACTGCTTCTGGAATGAGAGGTTCGTTCGATCGATCCCGATCTCCAAAACCTCCCCACGATCCCCAGACTCTAACGTAATCACAGATATCTACACGTCGGGCAAGAACGTAGTCAAGAGCCGCGGATACAATGCCTTGGTGCACGTGGTCCCCAGCGTGCTGACCATACGCGACAAAAAGCAAGCCTCCACTCGGCGACGGCTGCTCGCCGAAGGCCTATCGGATGCCGCTCTGCGCAGCCACGAGCCCATCATCCTCACACACGTCGACAGGCTCTGCCAAGTCCTTGGTCCAGCGGATGACGTCTGGTCGGAACCTCGAAACATGGCACACTGGTGTAGGTATTTCCTTCAAATTCTCCTCCCACGAGCTCACACCATACGCAGGCAGCTATCTCGCCTTCGATATCATGTCCGAAGTCGTTTTCGGGCAGAAGTATGACCTACTGGGTAGTCCGACGCACCGTTACATCGTGCCCGCCATCAATGGTTCCAACATTCGCACCACGGTGTTGGGCTACCTCCCACAGCTCGTGTGGCGCCGACTCGACAAAAAGCTCTTTTCCGCCTCCATCAAAGCGCGCAACGTATTCCTAGCCTTCATGAACGCCATGCTGCAAGCCCGTTTCCACCACGCCGCCTCCTGCTCCGGTGGCGACGGCCTGGACGGCCAGCGCCGTGACGTCTTCTCCGCGCTGCTCAAGCCGCCACCGCCCGCCGAGAAGGGCGGTGAGGTCGACAGTGTGCTGAACCAGTACCGCATCCGCTCCGACAGCGCAACCCTAGCCATAGCAGGTCCGTTGCCCCATCTGCCACCTCACCCCCATCTCTCTCGCCTTTCCCTCCGCTTACCAGCTTCTTGCAGCAACCGACACCGTCTCCACAGCCCTCTCCACCACCCTCTTCTACCTCTCGCGCCCCGCCCACGCCTCTGCCCTGCGTCTCGCTGCGGCCGAAGTCCGCCGCGCCTTTCCCACGCGCGCCTCCATCCGCCAGGGCACCGCGCTGACCTCGTGCACCTACCTGCGCGCCTGCATCGACGAGTCCATGCGCGTAACAGCGCCTGTCGGAGGCGCCTTGTTCCGCGAAGTAGGTCCGGGAGGGGTGGTGGTTGACGGACAGTGGTTCCCAGAGGGCGTCGATGTGGGGACTGGCATGTACAGCATTCATCGGAGTGGGCGGTATTTCGAGCGTGGGGAGAGGTGGGAACCGGAAAGGTGGCTGGTCGACGAGGCGGCCGGGGAGGGAGAAGAGAGGCTGAAGGCGATGCGGGGCGTGTTCCATCCGTTCAGTTTTGGGCCGAGGGCGTGCTTGGGGAAGGGCATGGCATTGGCGGAGATTTTGTTGACAGTAGCGAGGTTGTTGTGGGAGTTTGAGATTGAGGAGGTGGTCGAGAGGCGAGATGATGGTAGTGATGTTGTCGTTGGCGGGGGGGATCCGCTTAGCGGGCCGTCTGGCCGCCGCGATCCCGGTGAGTATCAGTTGTATCACGGGGGCATCACGAGCTCAAAGAGCGGGCCGATGTTGCGGTTTCGTCGGAGAGTTGTAGCTCAGGTGGAGGCTGCGGAGAAGGAGGGGGAACCGGTGGTTCAGAAGTAAGCCGGTAGGCGACAGAAGTGCGTACAGTGTACCGGACGGTCTTTGCCCCTCCCGACTCTGTTTTCGTTTTCTCTTTCTTTCATCTCTTATGTTTCTTCAGCTACCTATCTTTCATTCGTCTTTGCTTCTTTTACTTGTCGTTTTCTTCTTCCTTATATAACTCTTAAAGTTATTATTTAATAGCAGACTACGTTGAAATTAATTATATTTTAAACAGGGCTCGTGTGTGTGTGCATACGTATTAACATCGTAGAGAAAACACTTCTAAATTCGTATAGTTGGCCACTACGATCGCTTTAGCCGCAGGTTGGAGGTTAGGCAGGCGTGATAAAATTGGTGTGTTAGATCGGAGTCATCAGCGTAAAATCGGGTATGAACCGCGCTACGGCTGCACGTACCTCCGCGTCTCACTTGGAAAACCGCGCCGTAGTTATCATTAAGGTGTCCCATGGGCAAATCACGCCAATCACCGGCCTGGTCCTTGACATCGCCATATAGAGGGACCCTCCGCCTTGGTCAATCATCCGCTAAAAAAAACCCCTCTACAGCATAATCAATTATAAGAGAGCTCTAAACGTATTAGTTGCACGCCACAGCAAACTTGACCTCCTTCGCTACTTTTAACTATAAAAGGCTCGGTCCCGCAAGCCAAAACGCCACACTCTATCACCAGTCCAACATCCACACCTAAACCAAAAAATGTCCTATCATACGCCATCCCCGCTTTCGCCCCCACTCACTCTCCAACAAGCGCTGTCACCTCATTTTGCAACCTCTCGGCCAAACCCGACCAATCCCACTCCTCTTCCACTCTTCCCTCGTCACCTCTGCCCCAGTGCTTTTTTCTTTTCTCCCTGTACTCATCTCTTCCACCCAGTCCATTTCGTGCTTCCTTTGTTTCCCCCTCTCTAGTGTTCTCTGCACGGGAAGACGCTCTCAGCGCCATCGACATCTCCGTCGCGAAAGGTATCATCCTTCGTTGGGGCTGCCGCCGTAGCGTCTCTCTCAAACGCTTCGTCCGCGGTATGCGCTTAGATGGGGTGGCCTGGGTGTCAGGGTCATCGATGTAGATGCATAATACCGTACCAGGCGGTGTGGGTATGCTGCCTCCAACGACGGGTTCGAGTGCCGGCTCGAGTTCGGTCTCGAGCCTGAGCGGTGTCTGTTCGGGATCGGTCGCTACTGTCGCGCTAGTCGCTGGTGCCGTCGTCGGTCGAGAATCGGGAAGCGTGACGGTAGCAGAAGAGAGCGGAGAGCTGGGTGGCTCGGAGGACGTTGGTGTCGGTGATTCTGGATGTGTAATGAGGGCGGTAGGAGAGGGCTCGGCGGTCAGTGTTGGTAATGACAGAGACCGAGCCAGAGCGAGTGCGCTTGGACGAGAGCTTGGCGTGGCTGGCGCAGAGGAGGAGCAGATTTGGCGCAGAGAAGGGCGCAGTGGCATGTTTTCGAACGGTGGTGCTAGCACCAGGTGCTCATCTTCCTGGTGGTCGTGTATCCGCTCGATCTCGCCCTGGTGCTCCTCTTGCTGTTCAAGCTCCTCCTGGTGCTCCGCCTGCTGTTCGTGCGCCTGCTCGTCTTCGGCGGAAGGTGGCGGTGCTAGTAGCACGACGCTGCGCGCTTGATCTACTTGCGTGGTGGTCATAATGGCAAGCTGGGAGAAACGAGTCGTAGTGAAAGGAAACTGAGATTTTAATTCAGAAGTGTGGGATATAAACGTGGCTCACTGCTCAGACGTCACTGCGCCGTGGGTAAATGTGAAATTTCCTTTTTGACTCAACCAACACCAACTTTGGTTCCTCATTGTTTTCATGCCCGACCCTCTACCAGAGAACTCGCCCACGAACACTCCCGACTCCCATAGCCGCTCGCCCACCCGCTGCCGCCTGACGTGCCTTGCGCCCTGTATTCTGCGATCTTCAAGTCAGTACTGAGCTTGCGGGACTGGTGGAGTTGAGAGTTGAAGCAGAAAGGTTTGTCGTCACGGCGGACGAGGTGAAAAACGGCAAGGAGCTGAGAGCTGATAGATGAGGGATGTTGGGAACAGGGTCCAGCCGCGCTAACACCTATAGCTAGCTTCCTGCTTATTATTAGCGGGCGGCACGGCCCCACTTCGGAGGAATCACCTAAAGCTTCCTAAAACGTATACCATAAACGAACCTACAGCACCGTCTCCTTGGGCCACGATATAAGGGGCTCGGCAGGAAATAACTCAAGGCCATAACTACGCGCGGCAGTAGGGCATATGATCTCTCTCGTTGGGTTCCAATAGCGATATCGGACGTAATACGATCCAGGAACGACCAGTCCAGACCCTGAGCGCGCCACGTGAACCCAAGCCGGCTTACAATTCCCAGACCAACATTTCGCACGCGCCCTCCCGGTCGATCCCGGCGCCGAGGGGGCGGTCATGCCGACACCTTAGCGACCCAGGAAGCACCTAGCGCGGGAGAGAGGCGGCTCCGGCCAACCCACGGACCGGCCCGCTTCGGCCACTTCCCGGCCATGGGGTCACCCCCTGGCAAAGGGAAAGGCTTGTCTTCGAAATGCCATCCCCAAAAGCAGACAAAACTTCCCGTAGTGCAGTCTAGATCCCGGCTTGAATCGTGGCCCCTTCGGAAATGGCTTGCTGTGGCATGTCGCCATGGCTGTACACCACGCGCATGGCTTGAACCGCATCCAAGCGGGAGTCAGGTTTGGGCAGGAAGAGGAAGTTGTTACGTGATAGCCATTTCGAGGCGCGGAGCTCTCTGTCTCTATTTCTTCAATGTCGCCGCGGTATGGCTGCATTCGCTCCTCATCCTTCCTCACAGCTTCCTCCCGCGGCTCCACACCATCGCTGCTCATCTTCATGGATTCCGGAGAGATGAAAAAAGATGTGGAGAACGCTGCGGGTGTGACCGTCGTGGTCACCGCCATCCCAGATCCGGCGGACCCACCACCCTCCGAGGACAACGTCCGTGCCTGGCTAACTGTGCTGGGCTCCGCCCTCGTCTACTTTGCCTCTTTCGGCTTCACCAACAGCTTCGGCTTCTTCCAAGACTACTACCAGACCGACTACCTGCCCGAACAACCACCGTCTACCATCGCTTTCATCGGCACTCTGCAGATCTCGCTCATGTATGTTATTGCGCCCGTTGCTGGTGCACTTTCCGACATCTACGGCCTGAAGGTATGTGACCATGTCCATGTGCAAGTCACTTGTGCTAAACTGTCCAGTGGATCTACCGTGCTGCGGCCTTGGGCTGTTGCGCCTCGGTAGTCGGGCTGTCATTCTCCCAGTCAGGCGTCCTATGGCAACCGTTCGTTACCCAGGTACGTTGGATCCTCCTTTTCCGTGCGTCCCGGCCAACTGGTCTAATGGAACTCAGGGCGTCCTCTTCGGCCTGGTCGTGGCATTCAACACCCAACCCGCCCTCGCGGTCGTCGGCCAACACTTCAAACAACGCCGCGCCCTCGCCATGGGTCTCGTCTCGGCCGGCAGCTGCATCAGCGGCTCCCTCCTCCCCATCATGCTATCCGCCCTCGTCCCCAGGATCGGCTTCGGCTGGACCGTCCGCGCCACCGCCCTCCTCATGCTATGCTGCTACATCATCGCCATGCTCATCTCCTACACCAAAGACCCGCCGACCGCCCCGCCGCCGGCAAAGGATCTCGCGGACCAGCCGCCGGCCAAACCCACGCTCGCCGCATCCAGCCTTCTCGACTTCCGCGGCTACAAGGACCCGCGGTACCTCGTGCTGGCCATCGGCAACTTCGTCGCGACGCTCGGCGTGTACGTGCCCAACTACTACATCGGGTCGTACGCGGTCCTCGCCTACCCCACCGCCTCGGTGCACGGTTACCTGCTCCCCATCCTCAACGGCAGCAGCTTCTTCGGCCGAGTCTTGGGCGGGTGGGCCGCCGACGTGACGGGTGCGCTGAACTTTCTGTATCCGATGACGCTGCTCTCGGGCGTCCTGTGCCTGTCCCTGTGGCTGCTGGACCAGAACATGGACATGATCCTGGTCTTCTGCATCATGTACGGTTTCACGTCGGGCGTGTTCATCAGCGTGACGCCGGCGGCAGTGACGCAGATTGTTCCGGAGGACAAGATCGGGGCGCGGATGGGTGCCTTTTTCACGCTGACGGCATTGGCGACGTTGATGGGATCGCCAGTGGCAGGTTGTTTGATCGATGAGGGGGATGGAGTGGGCACAGAGGGTTACAGGGGCATCATCCTGTTTACCGGCTTGACGTTGGTGGTCGGGGGAGCTCTTCTGTTTGTGGGACGCCTGCTGTGTGACAGAGATTGGCGAAAGAAGTTGTAGGTGATTGGAGAAGAGGGAAAAAGTTCTTTGACATTTTACTGTAAAAAAGCAAACGGCGTTATGGGAGACTTTTGGGTTAGCGGGTTGTTTGGTATAAAAGGTGTGGCGGTAGATAACTTTTAATGATACATTTGACTACTAGAGCATTAACAGAGGTCATCATGCTCAGAATTGGTCCGGCTCTGATCACTTATCGATTGAGGATGCTTGACTGGAAGTGGAGTCTCCCGATGCCCCGACAATTGGGTGGATGCTCGAAAGGGGCACTTGCCGACGTGCTGAAACCAGAGCTCATAGCTACAGATCAAGGCCTCATACGCGATCGTGCTCCAAGCAGCTCCGCCGACACCTGCAAACAGCAGTCCACAGTCTTCCGCCGTTGTTCCAGTGCGCACAAACCACGCGACCGGCCCCAAGTCTCAAGCCATGCTGCCTACAATCGAGCTCAGTCACCTGTCCCTGCTTCCGACGCAAGAGCTACGACCACCAGCAACCTTGACAGAAAGGCTCCAAGTTCGAAAGTACCAAGGTATCTGCACCTGTCCGCTGTAAGACCACGCAGAGGCATTTAATTAAAGAGCAGAAGAAGCAATCATTGGCGGTCAGACGTATGAAACACCGGAGTCCGGTAGGGAGATGAAAGGGTTTAATACAGAGTGAGCGGCGGGTGAGCGCAGTGAATCAAAGTGTGGCCTTCTAAATGCACGAACTGCATTCTCGTGGCACAGACAGATGAAAGTGGTAGAGAAGGGCCAACATGCTACCAACTAGTGACAGCCCATTTCGACCGGCTTATTATCTTCAGGGTTGGCCAGCAACATACACGTAAATGCTATCGTCATTCCAAGCCCTCCTGGACAAATACGTCGAGAGATACAATACGGCGTACATGTACAGTATCTGGAGCTCGACGTTTGTGGAAGCCTTGCAATTCGAGATTAACTTCTTCGACGACGCTTTGTACAGGACGCTGTAAGGTGATGACTGTCACCCAAAGGATCTCGGCGGCGATTTGGATTGAAGCATGGAACCGGGATGTCGACGTTCAGCGACATCAGATTGTATGAACTTTCCGTATGCGAACCACGCTCTTCAGATAACTTTCACCCGTATGGTCAACCTTCGGAGTTTACTTTAGCAACATTTTGAATTTGGACCTCACCCAACGCAGTGCTCGGACACCTGACCCTCGTCGACGTCGCGCGTTTCACCATTGACCCACCAACCTCGACTCCACGACATCCATTATCAACACCATCGCGTCTCCGTCTCGCATCTGCATCTCGCATTTGCATCTGACATCTCCATCTAGTCCCTTGCCCTGTTTACCTCGTTCCAAATCGGCGTCCGGTGATCTAACAGACGTCCGGTCTAATAGGAGTCAAGGCGTACGCATCCTTTTGCTTTCTTATCGCCATCATCATTCTCTGCTACGCGTCTGCCTTCCTGCTACGGCCACTAGGCTTGACAATGAATCCAGCAAAGTCTTGGGAGATACGGTCCGCAGGGATGGGTGGTGGGGATATCACATGTCGAGTTAGCCTGTTTGATTTTAAGGTGGGGGGCCTGCCATGTCGATTTTTCTTCCGACCGCTGCGTCCTTTGCGGCAATTGGATTGGCTGGCGTACATAGATGGGCGGGCGGCCCGGTCCGCTCCCGGCCGACTCACCAGTGCGACACAACACTGAGGCTTAGACGTTGACTAACTAGCAACTCCTAATCTCATTCACTGACGTGTGCGGCACAGCAACTTGGGCGGCAACATTGCATGAACGAAAGTACGGTGTACGCACTACCCATGGCTCAAGAGTGGGCAGAGAATGCATGATTGGCTCGAGTCGGCGCCAATCCTCGTGTGACCAGCGTCAAATCCGGGGGCCACCGGCCGAGCGGAGTCCGGCGTCCAATAATGAACGAGGATTGTCTGATGGCAAAGGCCAGAGCTCTTGACGCTCAGACCCAGACCAAAGCGTGGCGCCTTCTCATGTGTTGTGTTTGCAGCGAAGAGCCTCTTCACTTCCCGCCCTTTTCACTCGCTCGCCCACCATGGGTCAGCGAAAGCGCGGCCGTCCGGGCAAACCGGCCAAGAAAGTCGTTGCCGCACCGCAGCGCTCCTCGACGGTCACCGCCCAGACTAAAAAGCAGAGGGCACGTGCCAGTGCGTTTCGTCCCCGGATGCAGTCCAGCAGACATGTGTGCTGACCGTCTTCCGGCGCCAGCAGACAAGTCACCGCAGCGCCATAGTCGACGCGTTCAAGGACTTCCGGCCGAGTTGTCCGATAACCAACCTGCACCCGCCGGAGTAATAGTCAGCGCTCCGTCCCTCAGATACGTCAATTTCCGGGCGAGCTCGCTGACCAGTACTACGTGACAGCAAGGGAACCCTGAGGCTCAAGAGCGTTTAGAATCCCCTCCACCCGCCGCGGCGACATCGGCACCCAGGATCAGCCCTAGTCCTAAGCCGACAGAGAGTCCAAACGGAGGCGCAAGGAGCGAAGACGCTGCGAGTGGTACCACACTTGCCCAAGGACCCGACGACGAGCCGAAAGTCACCGTGACCGATCAGGAACAGCACAGCGAAGCCCTAGCAACAGTAGCTACCTCATACGGTGACCGGACAGAAGACTGGGTGATGAACGGCTCTTTCTCTCCCGGGCCAATGATTGAGAACATGCGAGGCAGGCCTGCACTACAGCCCGACTCTTCCATCTCTTCTCGCGCTACTGCCCACAGGAGACTGCAGGGCAACAAGAAGAGCTCTGCGCCGAAATCCAACAATGCTTCTTCGTCCACGCCAAAGGAGAGCGGGTCGAGCAATGCTGACTACAAAGCCCACGGCTTCCGTGCGGAATTGGAGAAAGGTGACCAGGGTGTGCAGCTGTTCCTGCACGAATATTGCAATGACGAAGAAGATGAAGAGTCTGGCGTCGATGATGCAACCGAGGCCTTGCTGAACAGGCTCCACGAGCAATCCTATGGTCCGCTAGCCGATTATCGATACCAGACCGACGAGTTCAGAATGAGACTGGAAAAACTGGAGGACAAGAACGAGCGTGGGGTTGTAAGAACGCTCGACGAGCTCATCTGCCCTGCAGCCGAAGACCTTGCAGCCCTGACATACAGGAACACCAAACTGCGCCCAACATACCGAAAACTCGTCGATCTCTACTCAGAGCCGTGGGTGAAGACGCGTTCGCCGCTGACGGGATTCAAGCATCCCCAGCCAGACCATTGCGTTGGCTTCCTGCGCCAGGCTTTCTCCGAACCCGAGTGGGGCCTGCTCGACCGCGTGCCCGAAGTCACTGCCGCTGCCACCGATACCATGCATTTTCCTTTTCTGACATGTGAGGCCAAGTCGTCCAGGGAGCACCTTTTTTACGCCGACAACCAGAACGCATACAGCATGATGGTTGCAGTCTCGTCCGCCGTCAGGCTCTTTAGGGCGGCGAGGATGGAGGCGAGCGTACATCGAAAGATCCTGGCCTTTTCCATCTCCTACAACAACAAGCACGTCTCCTTGGATGGATTCTATCCCGTCATCGCCGGCTCGCGCACCGGCATCTATCGGAAGCGCATCTTTGAGTTGCTCATTTCGCCAGGCTCGTCGAGCAGGTGGCAGTCATGGTACTTTGTCCGAAGCATCTACGAGGTCTGGGTGCCCGAACACCTCAACCATCTCCGCGCTGCGATAAATTCCCCCAAGCTCGCCGTCGACCTCAGCAGGGTGCCGGGCAGGACCTCAGCAACGCCTTCGCCCTCCGATTCTGCCGTGAGATTGCAGCAGCTTGAACTGCAGAGCCCGGCTCCGATAGGGGCGCCGTCGGACAACCTCAGTGAGTATAATAGTCGAGATCGAGTAAGACGAGCGGTGACGGAACCGCCTGTGAGTGACATGAATCCGAAGAAGCTGAGGACGGCTTAGGCCGCTGGCAGGCACGGCGTCTGGCTATTTGCACGGTCGCTCTGTAGAGGGTATCAGCTGAGGGTCTATGTCGAGCTCGAGCAGATCGCGTAGGTGTTGCGTCGCTGGCGGCTCTACACCACATTGTGGCCGCATTGGAGGGTAAAGATGTTGTGCAACGCGGCAGATATTCCCAGTCAGGTCTTGGAAACGTCGAGCTTGTGTCAGAACGAACGACACAGCCGAACTCCATTATCATCAGTTGTCAAGCGTATGGGAAGAGCATCACCTGAACGGAGAATAAGGAACGCGAAAACATCTCAATCTCGGTTGCATCATGAGAGCCTCAACAGGCGGCAGATATCTATGCACACTGTCAAAAGAGATGCTCTTGGTATCTTCCATCCTCGTCCAAACCTCCCTCCAAGCACCCTCCCGCAGCTCCTCCACCCCCGCGCCATCGACTTCTCGGGCTGGAACACCACCGGCCACGTGTCGGTGGCGTTCGCGGGACGGCCATACGGAGGTGCACGTCATGCTGCGGGCGCCGACCACGCTCGACGAGGGCGGGGCGAGGGTGGACGGGAGGGTGCGCAACGGGACTGTCTTCAGTGAGTACGAGTGGCCGGTGCTGGTAGAGGGTGAGGTCAAGCTCTTCGCGATGCATCCGAACGCTTGCAGCGCGCCGAATGTCAACGAGACGTACGAGATTTCGCCGGAGGACGATGTCAGGTTGCGGCAGAGGAGCGGACGGGCTGCTGTGTACAGGATGGATGCGAGGTGGTGGGATTCGGAGGCGAGGTTGGTGAGACGGACGGGTGGCTGTCTGTCGTGGTGCAGGCCGCGCGGCGGAGCTGGCTCTGCCGGGAGAGGGTACTGCGACGGTACGCATAACGGGACTGTCGGAAAGTATGAGATTCATGTCACCAGGTCCGACGACGCAGGGGCCGATTTTCGTATCTCCAAAGTGACTCGTGTATGGGCATGTGGGATTAGGTTGGATCGAATTCCTGGAGTCAGGATGCGACATCTCTCTCCTTCGATGGAGACACACGATCCGCTGCGTGTACATTGCTTTGACAGCTGTACACTACTGCACACAATTATTTGCCTGTTCCACTACATCTGGTGACCCCGACCGGTACCGTCTCCTTCGTGGCCGACTCTCTTCCGGCTATCTTGACCACGGGTCCACGGCCTCAAGCAGCGGCGCCCGCCACCCCCTTTTCCGGGTCTCTGTCCTCAACACGACCAGCTTAGACATGGTCGACGTGGCGCGCGTCACCTGCTGTCGAGTCCGATTCCGGAGGGGATGGCACTCCAGGCTCAACCTACAGGTTAGCGACGTTGATTGCGGTCGCGGAATGTGTGGGCCAGACGAGTCATTACTTCAGCCGCCACTTCTGTCCATCGTCATAGAAGCTGTATTTCCGGCTTGATGATAGGGCTCATCATGGTTGGATGCCTTGTAACGGCGTTGCTGGCGATGGTGGTCAGGGGGCGGGCGAAGACAACAAAAAGAGTTGTTAGGCGAGGTGGAAAAGTGGGACAGAGGGGGGCAAGGAGACAGCGGGGGGGTCGGTTAAGCTACTAGGTAGAGCGAATTAGCTTTAGAAGAGTTCAATTCGTGGATCGAAGAGCACTGTTCAACTTATTCAGGGCCTCCCCGGGCCGTGTTTTGCCGTTCAAGTCCAAAATATTTGGACCGAGGCAGCATCGCCTATTCCAGCCATTTTCACAGACATTGGCGGCTGGTTTGGCATAAGCCAAAACTGACGTGTATCGAGGAGCTCCGGTGATCTGCAAGGGGCATTGTGCGAAGGCGGGGATGTGGGAAGCGCGGAGTCGGAGCCTATGTACCTACCCACTGTGTACACGAAGATGGTTCCAGGGATGGCTTGTGGGGCGGGGAATATTGAAGCGAGTGGCTGATGTCGGAGGAGAGGGGCGACGGAGCCTGCTCCGGCGGGTGATGATGTGCCGAAAATCCAACTCGTTTGCCGCTCCCGTTTCTGACGGCCCGCAGGCTGACGCTAGCCGCCCAGGGGCATGACCGAGCGTTCGTGTTCGAGTCAAGCCGGATATAATGTCGTAATACGGTAACGCAATCGTATGGGAATGTCTCTTCAAGCCACAAAAGGTTCTGTCCATCACTCTATCTTTCATCTCACGCCATCATGATGGCAGCCAACTCTGGACGCCCGGCCAAACAGAAGTCTAACAAGCTCCAGGCCTGATTCCATGACAAATCGCCACTGTCCAGCGCTATCCACGGCTCGATGCACCACCAACACCGCCTTCGCTCAATGCATTATCCTGGCGTACTCTACCGCAAAATCGTGGTGCGGACGTTGGTCGGGATGGGTCTACACGGCCCGCGTTTGCTGGTGTAACTGCGGCCCAGCCCAGACTGTTGCCCATTGAGCAACCGGCCTCCATCTTGATGCTGTAACGCTTGGTGACGGTAAAGCGCCAAGGAGCCTGATACGAGCCGCGGACGGAAACGTTTCCGAACCTCTTCTTGGTTGTGGATGCGAGGCAACTTCGTCAGTGGGTATTTACTTGCAAGCATCAGTTGCCGAAATCAGAAAAAGAGAGATGGAGATACTTGAAGAATCTCAGATATGGCGAAGCCACCGATCAGGGCACGGGATTCACATACGCGGCAAGCTATCAGCAACCTATAAGAGCAGTGTCGATAATGCTGAGGCATGTCTCATCCAAGAGAAAAATTGTGGGATCTTTAAACTTTGCACAGTGGAGACCCAGAGTGGGGGCACCGAAAAAAGGACGTGCGGGGACTTGCTATCAGATCGAAGCCTGAATAATCTTCTGCTTAGGCATCGATGGCGAGGTGGGTCTTGTTGTCGCGTCGTATCGACGAGGCCCGAACCGTTGAATCAGAAGGGCGGAGTGTCATGTCCGCTGAGGGATGCCCTATGACTCGGAGAGAACAGCAAAGGTGGAGTACGATCGGTTGTGGACCATGCAGGTGGGTCCCCCTTCGGTTGGCGACGTCGTCCCCCGTCGAGCTAGCAGGACAAATAATGTGACGAAAATCCGGGGTTAAACTGACATCAGCGGCTAACACAATGCTTGCACATCGTTCTGCTCGACGCTGCCCATTACTTCTACATGGCCATGCATCCGCGGCTTCGTAGCTCCAGTTTCAGCTACAGACGCTTGCACCGAAGAGGCATTCGCGGGTTTGCCGACTGGGTAAAATGGTACGACTATTGACTCGCGAAAGAAATAGCTTAGTCGAGGTAGCATGCAACCTTGCTAGAGTCTAGATACGGTTGGGCGGCGCTTGAGCTTCTGAACACCCGGAGGGTTGTAAGATGTTGAATCAAGTGGCCGACAAGCCATACAGGACTGCCACCTCAAGATAGATTTTGGGAGGACCTCGAGATACCGAGACTGTCTAGAGAACCCGTCGTGGTCAAGAAACCGTAGCCAAGTGAAAATCAGCGCCCGCAGACTCCGCAGTGGCATAGCCATGTGTCTGAGCAACAATAAAGGTGAGACGAGCAACGTTGACAACTTGGGCATGATGAAGATGACATCCGGGTCTAGAATTACGAATCCATCCTGGCCGACAGTCCAAGGCGACCCCAGAAGCATCAACATGGTCGAATCCTGCTTGCCGGACGGGGAACCCTGATACCCGAGTCCCTCCCCCAGTAACGGTCTAGCGATGGACGGCATGCAGCAAGCCACGGCATTGAGCGAGGGGAGAGCCCAAAGATCGCGTGAGAATGTTGTAACTGTGCTTGCCACACGCGTCCGCCTGGATGGACGGTGGCCATCAGACGTGTATAAAACTCAGCTTCGAAGTCCAGTTCGAACTTCGAGGCAGCAGACTCCAATCTCCACCAGCTTCTCAGCTCTCCACTCTTCATTCTTCACTGCTTGAGTCACAACACAACCATCATGTCTGCCCGAACCATCGTGTCGCGTCCATCACTGGCCAGGCACCTTCTCCGGGCGTCGGCGACGCCGCAGGTCCAGTTTGGGCGAAAACTCGCCACGGTGGCTGAGCAACATGGAGCGTCGACGATGCCTCCGGGTCAGAAGGCCACGGTCGGCAATCTCAAGACGTTCGAGCTGCCCGAAGTGCTCACTGGCGGAGCGTCGGACCAGGCGCTGGGGCGCGACATGATCAACGCGTGGCGCAAAGACGGCATCCTCCAGATCGGCATGGACCCCATCAACCGCAAGCTCGCCGACGCCGCCTTCCTCTGCAGCAAGAAGTTCTTCGGCCTGCCGTACGAGAAGAAGGCGGCGTGTCTCGACGACCAGTCGTTCGCGGGCTACATCGCGTCGGGCGAGGAGCTCACCGACAACATCGCCGACTACAGCGAGATCTTCACCGTCACCAAGGACCTGCCGGCCACGGACGCGCGCGTGCGGCAGAAGTGGCCCAGCCACGGGCCCTGCCCGTGGCCGTTCCAGCAGATGCAGACGGTCATGCAGTCGTACATGGACTACCTGGGCCAGAGCGGCGAGAAGATGCTGCAGCTGATCGCGTGGGGACTGGGGCTCAAGGACGGCGACGCCCTGACCAAGTACACGCAGGACGGGTGGCACCACATGCGCATCCTGCGCTTCCCGGAGCGCAACAACGTCAACGGCAAGGGCAAGGCCGGGCGCGGCATCGGCTCGCACACGGACTACGGGCTGCTGGTCATCGCGGCGCAGGACGACGTCGGCGGCCTCTTCATCCGCCCGCCGTACGAGGGCGAGGAGGTGGCCAACTGGCGCAAGAGCGCGGCCGGCATGTCCGAGGACGACGACAAGTGGGTCTACGTCCCGCCCGTGCCCGACGTCTTCACCGTCTTCCCCGGCGACATGATGCAGTATGTCACCGACTCGTTCCTGCCCAGCACCCCGCACAAGGTCGGGCTCAACACGCGCGACCGCTTCGCCTTTGCCTACTTCCACGAGCCCAACTTCTCGGCCGTCATGAAGCCGCTCGAGGGCTTCGACTCCGGCCAGGAGCCCCGCGAGGGCATCCACTACGGCACCCACTTCACCAACATGTTCATGCGCAACTACCCCGAGCGCATCACCGCCAAAAGGATGCGTAGCGAGAACCGCATGAAGCTGCTCGAGTCGCCCGACCTGCGCTGGAGCGAGCCCCCGCCGGTCCGGAACATTGAGGCCGATCCGGCCGTCGATGCTGGCCCGCTTTACGATAACAAGCAGTCGCAGGCGTCTGCGCAGATCTAGGAAATGGGAGGAACGGTTGACGGCTGGACCGCGGGACCACGGGACATGTGATTGGATGTGCGCGGGAGGAGTCTTCTTTAGCGTTGATGGTTGCTTTGCTTAGTTTGAATCGAATTCCTTGACTGAAGACTACTATCTCCATGCGTCCACGTGAATGCTACCGAGGCCCAGTTTGAGAAGAACCCTTGGACACCTGTCAGCATCGCCCATGTTTGAAGAGATGGGGGCAAGCCCGGACTCAATATGCCCGTGTAGACGTTGCTATCTGCACAGGTGAATATCGATAAACGTACGACACTTGGCGTCAAGAGCACTCACGGATGTCGGATTGCCCGTCTTGTAGGTCGGACGTCATGCTCACTTCTGCCCACGTGGAGACTATTGGCCACGGTAAGCTCTAAGCGGGCAGTCACGAAAAGGAAATATGATATGCCGTCCGCCACCGAATGATTATACATGAATTCTTGTTCCTCGTCTTCTACAATGGCTGTCAACTGCTGCGTGATTCCCCACGGCGGAACTTTTCGAGTCGATGGGGCAGACCTCCAAGTGATTTTGGCTTCCAGCTTCCAGAGCCTCTTGTTGTATGGGTCGAGCCAGCGAACTTGATGAATCGCGCTTTCGGATCACGCAACGCCAAGGATTCAAGCGACTACGCATCCTACGGAGTGCGTGAGTGAAGTGAATCTGGCGCTGTGCCTCTACATCCAGATGCAGTCGCTACGACGTATTGTGGGTTGATGGATGTGAAGTAGGTCACGGCCGAGAAAGCGTTCTCGAAACAGGTGAGCGGGCATCGGATAGCTGAGGCGGTGGACGCCTTTTTGAAGCCAACGTCTGCAAATGCTAGTTAACAGTGTTCAAAAACGGTTGCGTGTCCGGCGGATGGTGGATGACCGCATTGGAATGCCGGGTGCTAAGATGACAGCTCCAGCTTTACATTTCGAAACGCGTAATTGTGTTTGCCGCGGCTCCCCCTCTCCTCCCGTCTCCGTCCTTCGGCACCGTCCCCATCCTCGGGCGCTGCTACAAAGGACCTCGGGGTGTTCGACAACAAGGCCCTCTCCACGTCATTCCAGTCCCCCTCCTTCTCACCATCGTTCCAGTATAGGGCGGGAAGAGTCTTGGCAAACCTCTTGGAATAGTCGGCCAACTCGTCCATGTCCTCATAGACGTCGACATGGGGGCTCCTGTCGTCGGCGTCGCCCGTGGCCTCATGCCTGACCCAATGCAGCAGATCGACCAGATTCACCCAGCAGCCGGCGTCGCGGCCGACGCGTCTCCTCATGGACCGGACGCTGTAGGGGGTGGACTCCCAGCCCACGGCGCGGTGAAAGCGGTGCATGGCATGGACCTCGGCGACGCCGCCGCCGCCGCCGAACCACAGGGCCATCTCCTGTCGGAAGGCCTTGCCGTAGCGGGCGCGCTCGACAGCGAGGTCGGGGGTGCCTTCGTCCCAGCGCATGTATTTCCGCAGGCGGTTCCACTCCCAGGACGGCAGGGAGCGGCGGTTGTACTGGAAGTCGTGGACGGCGCGGTGGTGGTAGAAGTAGCGGTCGAGGGGCGTGTTGTCGACGGGATCCGGGGGCGGGGGGTGCTCCTTGGTGACGTGGCGGGCGAAGCGGATGAGGGTGGCGAAGGTGGTGGGGCAGAGATCGCAGGCGTGTTCGACGCCGAAGTCGTAGCGGCGCTGGCCGGGGTGGTGGAGGCGCATGTGGCGGACGAGTGCCGGGAGGGTGACGAAGCCGGACTGGGGGCAGTAGTCGCACGGGTAGCGGATCTGGGGTTCGAGTGCGTGCTTTTCCCTGATGTGTTGGGCGAGTTTGCCGGCGGTGGAGAAGGAGACGTCTTGGCAGTGCGGGCAGTGGGCGGTGCCGGCGTGGGAGGCGGGTTGGGAATCGCGCGGATGCTTGACGCGGATGTGGTGGCCCAGGTCGGAGGGTGTTTGGAATGTGAGGTGGCAGTGCGGACAGTTGGTGTCGGCGTTGGGTGGGTTGCGACTGGTGGGGGCATTGGCGTCGGCGGAATGGGCTCTTGCTTGCTTATTGCCGGGCGCAAAAGCTTGCGAGCATCAAGGTCAGCCAGGTTTGGGAGTAGTGGGGCGGTAGGAGATGGTGGAGAGACTCACGGTGGTTGCAGCGGGGGTGGGGCTGCAAGGGGCCACAGGGTGGGGTGCATGATGCGAGTCTGCAGCGGGCGATCAGCCACGTGCAGTGACGCGGGGATGGTCGAAGCCTGGATAATGGCAGTGCCATTGGGGGTTGGGGTTGGTGTTGGCTGGGTCGGGCTGGCGCGTCGTCGCGTCGTCGCGTCGTCGGACGGACTCAAGCCGGGCGCGGAAAATCAGACGCCGTCATGACGTCACTGCAGTGCCTTAGGTCATCACCTCCTCCCAACCACTTCTTCCCGCGTCACCGACAGCCCCGTCAACGACTCAACCCACCAACCGTCCTGCAACGGCACAGCCGCCCAGGCATGTTGGAAAGACGACAACAGCGTCGATGCCGAGGTACTGACAAAGCTTCATCGTGCACGCGGCAAAATGCTACAATATTTACTGCTGAGCTACTTCAATCCAGTCAGACCAGCCATCTGCTGACACGGCTCGCTGAGAGGAAGCGCGAGATCTCTTCGAAGGAGGCCAAGGCCGTGATGTTTTGAAAATGTCAAACGTCGCAAGCCCGAATTACGCCGGCCGAACTCTCGACTACGGTACTTGTCCCGACTTTCGGCATCTCAGCCATCGCAGAAAAGAAACGAGACGTGATGCGTGAGAGCGGGCGCGCGGGGGCTGCCATATTGAGACGTCTATTGAGGCCAAAGCCCCCGCGCGCCTGGGGTTTTGGCCAATGTGTGGACTTGCGGTTGACAGGCGGCCACCTTGGCGGATGCGAGTCTTCCGCGAAGGCCGGCTGATTTCCGAGCGTGAGTCTGCCATCTCATCTCGCGGTTACATCTCCTCCTGGCTGAGACATGTGTATCAGGCTGGCCGTGATTGGCAGGCGAAGCGAGAGTTGCACCAGGATCGGGCCGCCCCGTAACCACGCGCGTGCCTTCTTTAGTGCCGCTCGCTTATCTGCATCACTCTTTGCTATGCTACCGTGCCTACTTGTTTTTTTCTGCTTCGATCAACGGAGCTCCGTCATCGTTCCCCGCCTCCAGCACGGTATCATTGTCCCCGTCGCCCACGTCCTCACCACCGATCAGGTCTTCATCGATGAATACGACCACAAGGTCATGGATGCAGCCTCTGAAGGGCATCACAATCCAATACCTCAAGCCTTTCCTCACCGGCGGCATCCCGCGTCTTCTTGCCGTCCGCAACAAGGACAGCCCAGACGCTCCAAAAACACTGTCCGGCCCTGAATGCCGAGCGCTGCTCTCCACGAAGCCCAAAGGGCTATCCAACAACGACAAAACCGATAGTCGTACGATGTATGACATCACTCCAACATTGTACGGTACGTGTCTTTAATTATCTAGAACCCGACTAGAACAGCATAACAAAAACACTGATTCGGTATCCTGACATGGGTCCAGCTGTTGCCGGCTATTTGCCAGGCAAGCTGAAAGTGAGCCTCTGAGGGCTGTTGTTCCTGACCTCTTTTGCATATGTGGTAGCCATTCCTGACTCGGCCTTCTTGTCCAAATAGACCTTTTTGTGCCCACTCCACCTTCGGTGTAGTACCGCAGAGCGGAAGTACCGGTTGGAATCCATGGACATGCTCCACGTAACACGTTCGCATCTGTTACCGCACACTACGCCACTTCTCCTGGCCCTGCACCGAGTAACACTTTCACCACTTCTTGACCACAAACTGCACGCGAATTCTGTGAGAAAGCTTCAACCGGTATGCGTTGTGAAGATGCCATCAAAGCTGTGGCGATCAGGAAAACAAATAAGAAATACTTCTCCATTCCACTTCCTCTCCGATGGTGCAAAGACAACATCCTTTTGCCAGACGCGGTGGACGTGACTTGTTCAAACTGCTGCTGTACTTACCTTTACCCCGCACGAACGGATCGGGCCGCCACTGGCGACCCCAGCACGATTGGGAACACGTGGATGCACAATCCTTCAATACCGAGTCTGCTGATCTGGCACCGAGGCCAAGGTCGCCCCTGGTACGTTTCCTGCACACCATGCCGATGTCACCGGTTCGTGATAGACGGTGCTCCAGCATCTCAAAGTTGTGCCTGCTTTGAAGAATATGATGCCGCTGCACATGGTAGTGAAGACGGGACGGTGCTTGGTGAAGCGGTTTGTGCGGGCAGTAGGTGAGCGGCGCTGCGTAATCCGATGATATAATCGGTACGTCCTTGGCCTAGCGTGGCCTCGGGCCGCAACCTTGTTGTTAACGTTATCTTTATCGTGGATCTTATCTACATATCAATGGCTATTAAGTACGAGTTTCGAACTTCACGTTATGCAATACCAAGCAAGGACTCAAAAAAGCCTGCCCTGTTGCAGGAACTAACGAGAAATGGTAGACAATAAGCCTGAATTTTCTAATTCTAATTGTGATGCACCAATGCATTTGCACACCAATTAGGCCGAACAATATCGTTCAGGCAAAACAACGGAATCCCACCCTAGAAACAATCCCTCAATTACTCCAGAATGCAGATCATGACATCTCACAATAGAGCCAGTTCGCTTCCGCATCAAACAAGGCCAAGGGCGCATCCGCCCTGCGCTTGACAGCTGTGGTGAGTTTACCAACAGCAAAGAACGTCTCTACCACGGTCCGGGCTGCTCGCCATTGAGCTGGTTCCTCGCCGAATCAAGTAGGTACTGGAGCTCATCGGCCTTCCGGTCAGCAGCCGCCGCGCGGTTGTTGGCAGCAAACAGGTCGTTGGAAAGCTGGTCCAGGCTGCGCTGGCGATGATCGACATGGAAGAAGGCATCGGCGATGTCTTGCTCCCGCAGCGCTACCGTGTGGCGCAGGTCTTCGATCGTCTGTTCGTTGGCCGCGAGTTTGGCCTCGAGGTCGACGTTCTCCTCCAATAGTTCATCGTTCTGTTGCGTCATCCGCTGGCCCTCTTCTTCCAGGACCATATTCTCGTCAGTGAGGGCTTTCTTGGTTTGTTGGAGGTGTTTGTTGTCCTCGACCATGGTTTCGTGGTTCCTTTTTAATCCCTCATTCTCGGCCTGCGCCTTGGCAAGTCGTTCGCTTCGAGCGGTCAGGTCATTCCGGAGGCGATCGTTCTCTTCGCGCAGACGCTGGAGTTCTTCCATGAGGGATCTAAGGTTGCTCGTGGTGGAAAGTGGAGTGTAGAGAGTTGGTATGGTTGAGTCTAATCGATGGCCGACATGATGGTGTATATATATAAACAGTGTTTAGTTACTGCTCAAGAACAATGCAATGTTAGTGCACAATGGCAGTAACACACATGTTGGATAAAGGTAAGAGCTCACCCGTGTTATCTCTACGAACGCTCGACGACGCTATCAGGCTCCAGGATTGGCCGCTGGATCGAACCCGAGGCGGTGGCCACTTTGCAACTACGCAGACGCGATAAGGAATGGAGACGGGATATAGAGAACGACGTGGAAAGGAGAAGCAGTACAGCGATTGGCAATGGTAAGCATAGACCCATGTGCCTAAGGACTAGCAGCTAGGGCGATGTGTCAGCGCCCTTGGTGCTAATACTACACCTGCATATAGGTACAATCTCGTTCAACTCACCGACAGTGGTAAGGTTGCTGGGATGGTGTAAGGGAAGGCTCTTATATTATTCTTCGGGGTCTCTTGGTAGGTATACGCCAACCAAACAGTCAAAGATCTTTGCAAACAGGCAAATATCTTTGTAAACAAATAGGGATGCTGACCCTCTACCTACCAAACAAGCAAAGATCGAACTTCATCTTTGATTGTCTTTGATTGTTAACCATCATGGACTTCACGACAAGCTGGTCACATCCAAAGGAAGCAGATTGAATTGGAACTTCAAGTTGACCACGAAGTGTTAAATGAGCGACTTTGCTTAGTCTTGGCAACTGAGCGGGTGGGTCTACCTAATCGTGTGTCCTGACATGACTTCCGGTTCCTTCATTGCCGAGCTGGGCTGTATCGGCGGTGTTGATCCTCAACTTCCTTCCCCTGTGGAGGCTGCGCCGTAACAAAAGTGCCACACAGGTGACGGCTACGCTCGTCCAGTTCCCTGCTGCCTCAAGAAAGCCAAAATCTCCCGATGGCCCTCAAAGTAGCCGGAGAATAGAAACCGTTGATTCCTCTGCAAGGTCCTGCGATCAGATTTTGGCTCGGTCGCTGCGACTTCCGAAAGGTACTCGGCCTCCTGTAGCGGCGTCCTTCCCCCCGCGTTCTTCGCCGCCATGTCCGCCCCCATTTCCAAGAGGTACTCGGCAGCCGCGACCTGGTTGTGCGCGGCCGCAACGTGTAAGGGCGTGCTGCCCGCGTCTCCGCACCAGTAGAAGGGTGAGAAACTGTTCGTATCCACCCCGGCCGGCGTGTCCACCGCCACGCCGGCTTCCTCCACGAGATATTTCACCTTATCGAGGTAGCCGCACCGCACGGCATAGTGCAACGCCGCAGAGGAGCCGACGTTAGCGCCGGCAGCGACGAGGATCTTCATGATGGGCACGGTGCCGTGGGAGACGGCGGGCAGGAGGCAGTGGATATCGCACCAGCTGTCCTCCGGGTGGTTCACAAGGGCGCCGCGCTCGAGTAGCCAGGTGATAAAGTCTTCGGGGCAGCCGCCCCCACCTAGGGCCCAGTGTAGGACGCCGCCGATCCTGTCGTCGTAGCGGTTGATGTCGAGCCCTTGGTCTAGCATGACTTGCACGCAAGCCTTCGAGTGGGCGCCGGCGCTCGTTAGAAGAAGCATGCCGCAGGGCTCCAGGGACGTAGTGGCGTTGTGTACGAGGTAGTCGAGCAAATCTGCTCGGCCGTCGGTCGCCGCCGCCCTAGCCATCTCTATTTCGCACCGCTCATGGGAGCATGTTGAAGCGAGCGAGAGGACCGTGTCGAGGGGTTGATCGACGCAAGCGTGGAGAACCTCGTCTAGAGTTGCCATGGCCGTTCGATGGGGGCAGTGCACGGGCTGTAAGATCAAGTTTGGCAAAGTAGTGATGAGTGGGAGAAACACGAATGGCGAGGGTCTTCTAACCCTAAATACATCGCGGCGTAGTCTTCTATTTCCGTCCCGTAGCCGCCGGGCGTTGATGCCTGGAGGGTGTGCTGTGCCGCCCACAACCCACGGACCCGGATCGGCGAGCGAAACACGGCATAATTGGTCAGCCAGTTAAATGGACCTTATTCATGTTCCCCGATTGCACGGCAATATGATCTATTCGTGAAGTGGTCTTGTCCGACCGATTGTAGGAGGAGGGAGGCACAAGAAACTCCGACACCAACAGCAACACCAACAATGACATCGAATACAATGCGGCTGCGGCGCAAACTATGCCAAGGCTTTTCTCTTTTGTTTTTGTCCAGATAAAAGGGCCTAGGAAGAGAGGTGAAGAGCACATCAGCAACTCAAAGCAATCAATTCCGCTATCAGCTACCATCTTTGCCTACATTACCTCGCATCTCCCGTACTCACGACTTGAACCTTCACTTGACCCACCTCACCCGAAGAACAAAACACGACACAATGATTTCGTCCATCCTACCTGTCGCGCTCCTTGCTCTCCAGAGCGCAAGCTTCGCCCTCGGAGGGGTAATCCAAGCCCGTGGCGACCTGCCCACACCCACGCCCAAGGAAATGAGAGAGAGGATGAAGGAATGGGACAGCGATGACTACGAGTACGTCTTCTACCTCGGGAAGGAGTCGCAGGGAGTAGCGGAGTCCTGGTCCGAGGATCGAGGTCTCGGCACCATGACTCTCTGGGAAACGGATAGACAACTCAAGGACGAAACGCTCTGGTACGACCCGAACAAGGCGTGGAGGTTGTGGAACGAGGTGTTCACCGAACAGGCGCGCGGTACGGCGTTTGTCTTCTGGACCGACTCGGGCAAGATTCCGAGGATCGACAGCTGGTTCTTCCAAATTGAACTCCCGATCCTGAAGGAGAGGGCCAAGGGCCCCGGGCACGATCTCGAAGAGCTCATCCAGATCAACGCGAGGAACGTCAAGGAAATCCATCAGATCCTCCCCGTTGACGTGAACGACTACAAGGACAAGCAGTGCGCGTGGCACGGCACGGCGCCCGAGTGCGACGCCAAGTGTCCGGATGGAACGAAGAAGATTACCGAGAGCAAGTATGGTGATGACATCGACGGCAAATGTGAAGAAGAAGGGCGGAAGGTCTTCTGTTGTAAGAAGGACTAGACGGCTCCTTTCCGCTTTCTGGGTGACTGAGGACAAAGGAGAAGGGGAAGAAATGGGTGCAGGGAGTATTGGATTTGGAACTGCTGTATTTAGATTGTCGAGTCATTCTTTCAGGGTCTGGTCACGGGTGCGCATGTGGAATTTGAACGTTTTGGACTTTCTCTACAAGCAGCTGTTAAATCGTGATGGGTAACTGTTGAAGTATTTCGTATCTTGTACTTCATGATGTCATATCACGGGCTCAAGCTTCACTGCGGTCCGTATATATCTTCAGCTTCCCTTCAGTTAGCTCAATAAGCAATTCTCATCCTCATTCCTCCCGTATTACATCACGTGATTCCTCGGACTCCAGCAGTAACAAGTAGGGCGGCATCAACGAGACTGGCTGGTGGTATGACGTCATGCAAGCTTCCTATCGTCTACATCTATTGCGCAGTCCCCCGCACGGTAGTTAGCTGGTGGTCAATTAACTTCACTGACTACCACCACATCAATCTTCAGCAGCTGGATGGATGGGGAGCGGCATTTCGGAGTGTCTCAACTGTTGAAGCCGCAGCAAGAAACATGTATTAGTGGCCAGCGGTCTGCATGCGCGGAAGACTCGATCCGAAGGTCACGGGGATCATGCAATTCAAGGATCAAGCAGTTCAAAGATCAAGCAGTTCAAGAATCAGGCAGTTCAATAGGAATGGTAATGCAAACATCTTTACTCAACGCCACGACCGTAATCTACTCCCCCACGTTCTTTGTGTCTATCTGCTCGTATTCCTCGTGTATATATACCACCGTAGGTAGCACAATGTCGAGGGGAAGCAGCAGTGCCCAGCTTCTTCACTTGCACACCGTCTCTGGAGGGTGCCAGAAGCTCTGCGCGGCCTCCTCCATCGTGTCCCCAGTATCCCCTGTCCATCCGGTACTTTTGCCACTCCGTGCCGAGCACTCACTGGAGCGTGACCTGCTTCTCGTCTCGGTTCAAGGTAACGTCGTCAATATCCTACATCGAAGAGGTATCGCGGGTGTCGAGCTTGACAACGGTAACGTCCCGCTCGGCGAGGTCCAGGTGGTCGGCTAGGTCTGAATTACCTGTTAGCCCGGTGACTCCATCTTCGTTAGGGTGCGGTTTCCTACCGTCGGCGACGGTATAGGTGTAGGTATCACGCTTTGAAGCGGCGTCGAGTTGATTGGCTAGATCTAAAGGCGCGTTAATATACCAAAAGACCGAGCAGGTAGGTTGATGGGATACCGTCAGATATGGTAAGGGTGGTGTCTGGCGTCATGGCGGGCGCTGCATACACTACGGTAAGCACAGCAGCCAGAGTGGCGAGCGAAACGACGCTGTTCCCGATAAAGTGCATTTTGTACGAAGATCTTGATAGGGAATTAGGATGCGGATTTTGTGTGCGGAGAAGGTTCTGTGCTTGGAAGCGAAATGCGCCGAAGAGTTTTGTAGGTGTCTGGTTTTCCGGATAACACCGACCATTTAATAACAATCTCTAAGAAGACCTTTCGATTCCTGGGCAAGACCAAAGTGAAGGCCTTCGTTGATTGTTGGTGAATTCAGCTCCTGCGCCTCAGCAGCGGATGTCGTAAGTCCGTAGGTAGATAACACCGACCACCTATAATTAGAGTGGGGCTGATCAGCATCACAGCCTCGGTCCTTCAAGGCAGAGTTGTAATTGGTCGATGCCACAGCTCGTACCTAAGCGAGCATTCTTTTAGCGATTCACTGCCACAGTAGCACGTGAGTGCAGCTAGCTGGGTATGGGACGGCGCGTTGGCTGTTTGTTTTGTCGGCTTTCTCGTTCCCGTCCCCGATGTTTCGCAACAACACCGGATGGAGATTGTCGGATCTCGAGTTTTGCGCAACGTATTAGACGAAAGAGAGACATAAAAGAGAAGGGAACAGGAGACTTAGCAGAACAGAAACATCCAACCAAAATCAACCTTCTATCACTTCGGGATTCCAGCAGCTAAATCGTCTTGCACGCCCCATTCCCACATCGACTTTTCATCGTGCCCAAATCAATTTCATCACATCGACTTCAACTCCGCGGAAATGGTCCAGTTCGCCCAAGTCGTGGCTTTTGCTGCCACTCTCATCGCTTCAACCACCTTTGTCCTCGCTGACGATATCGACGAGACCTGGAAGACCCCTCCTTTTGTCAGCTGCGTCGACGGTCTTGGATCGAGTCCTTCTCGTGAAGCCGTTTACAAGTGCTACAGCAGACACAAATCGGATAAGCGTGCTATCCCCGACGACGACAGCACCACAACACACTACTTGGAATTCTTCGACGCCCGCGCCACCGAAACCGACCTGCATGCCGAGTGCGACTCGGAGGACTCGCTGCCGAAGAACTTCGAGATCGTGACCGGAATCCGTTCCAACGCGCCCCAGTACTGCGAGGACCTGAAGCAGGGCGTGCTCGACGCCGGCATCGCCCTCGTCGACAAGAGGCTCGACAACGCCGTCTCCAAGACGCTGAAGCACCTCGAGGGCGGCAAGGGCGTCCTCCTCAAGATGGCTTTCGGCCTCACTCCGCAGGGCCAGGCCCTCATGGCCGGCAAGAAGATCACCGAGGAAATGTATTCGGAGCTCTGCACCAAGGCCATCACCGCCCTGGCTACCAAGGACGACGGCTGCACCAAGGACCTGCACGCTTACAACGAGAAGAAGGACAAGAAATACCAGGTCACCGGCGCGAGGAGTGGCGGTATGGACATCTCGCTCGGTGACACCCTCATCGGCTTCGTGACCAACATGTACACCAAGCCGTAAGTGAGTGGGGCTCATCTGCAGCATTCCAGGTTGCAGGCGGAGGGCTGCTTTTGGCGGCCGAGAATAAATAGAGGGAGATGGAGGGTTCGCGGCAACTGCTGCATTTGCATCGGGTCATGTTCATATCTGCTGTATCTCGTTTGTTTGTTTCTTAGTATCTCCCCAAGTCAGAATCAAGCTTCACAGCCACCCCAAGTCCAAGGAAATGAGTGTCATCGAATCTTCAGACGTGCCTTCTTCTTGCCCACTCGGTCAGGTACTCTCGTCCCGCCAATCTGTACGTATCCTCCTCGACGTAGCACCCGCCCTGGGTCTCGGTCTGCAGCACCATGTTCAATCCCTTCTCTCCCTCTCCATACCTCGGCCACTCGCACTCCCCCTCGGGCCTCCCCGTCCACGCAAACCTGATCCACGCGTCACTCATCCTCCTACTCAACTGCCGGTACTCGGCCCACGGCCCGACGTTGTCCGGATTCCCAAACACGAACGCCACCTCGGAGAAGTGCGCGACGCCCTTGTAGGCAGGCGGCAAGAAAGCCGGGTTGAGGTAGGTGGCGTTCTCGGTGGTGGTGGCGTTCTGGACGAAGGCGCGGGTGTTGAAGCGGTAGACGTACGTGTCGGGGGACCAGCGGGCGTAGTGGCGGGCGTCGTCGAGGCGGGGGGCGTGGTAGAAGACGTCGCCGACGATGGCGGCGGCGCGCTTGTATTGCCAGCCGAGGGCGGGGAAGCGGGCGGGGCCCGTGTCGAGCGGGATGCCGGCGGCGGGGTCGTCCGGGTAGAGGGCGAGGATGCGGTCGACGGCGGCGGGGGGGAAGCCGAAGCCGGTGCGGTGGAGCAGGAAGTGGCGGAGGTCGGCCGAGGTGTTGATGGAGCCGTCGGCGGGCGCGTTGTCGCTGCCCTCGTCCGAGTTGGTGCCGTAGAGGTGGGGGAGGTGGGCGAAGCGGCCGGCGTGCAGGAGCTCGGTCGGGTAGGCGGGCATGATGTCGCCGTCGACGGTGGGATAGAAGCCCGGCCCGCCGACGATGGACGAGTTCATGAAGGGGTACAGGGTGGCGTAGGGGACGGTGCGGAGGCAGGCAAGGGTGTCGACGGCCGAGCTGCAGTTGACCTGGTCGACGATTTTGTTGTATATGGGCTGGTACCACTCGCTCCCGTTGTACCACGCTGTTGCTGCGCTGCCGCTTTCTTGGATGGACCGATGAAAAAGGCCGTCGGTGCGTCCGCCGTACGTCATCAGTAGCTGGCCCTTGACGGTGTCAGTGGAAGAGCCTCTGGTGTCATCAGGCAGACTTACTACTGCAAAGGACCCCGATGATTCTCCCCAGATGGTTACAGAGTCACTGCGTATCGATTAGATGATGGCGGACGGAAAGGATTCGGAGATAGCTACGGGTCTCCTCCAAAAGCCACGATGTTCTCTTGGATCCATGCCAGTGCTTGGCGCATGTCCCGCAACGCGAGGTTCGTGTTTCCCGAACCCTCAAGCCACAGTCAGGCACGGCGTGCGAGCAGGAAGGCTTATGACTGACCTGGATTTCAATCGAGTACATGTTCCCCCACCCGCCCTTCCTGTAGTTGATGCTTGCGCCAATGATGGGAGAGCCGATTTCCACGGACCTCTGTACAATCCACGTGAGGTTGTAGTTGGACAGGCCGCTCGTCCCCTGCTGGTAGCTTCCGCCGTGAATCCACAACATGACCGGCAGCTTAGTTCCGTTGCGCGCCAACGTCTGACCGCTGGGGCGTACGAGGTTGATGTTCAGACAGTCTTCGCTCATCCCATATATCGCATCGTCGGCAGGATCGGCGTCTGGGCAAGCATGGCCATACGACTTGGCGTCCCGTGTCCCATTCCAAGTGGCAGTCAAAGGCTGCGGGATGCGAAAACGGTTCTGGCCGTCGGTAGACTGAGCGTAGGGAATACCCAGGAACAGGTCCTGTCCAAATTGCGGCAGATGCAATCCCGTGTAGGTTCCGTTGCGGACATGTACGAGCGGATCTGCGGCGAATACCCCTTCGAATGAGATTGCAGCCGTCAGGAGGGCTGTAGCGAACGAGCGCATGGCGATGGAAGATGTGGGGGCGAAGAGCGAAAGGTTGTGGCGGTGAGGGTATCTGACGGCCGCTGCATCTTTTTAATCTTCCTCGCTAATAAGCCGTGCATGAGCGGGTTACACCTGGCAGCTGTCGAAACCGGCTAAGATGCATCTGGTGCCGAGGGCTTACTGTGCGGGGAACTCGGGCGATCTGCGACAGAGAGATAAGCTGATTAGTGCTTGGCAACTGCAGGAACGATCTTGCAGGTAGACATGATGGCCGGGTGTGTAGAAGGCTGAACTGCGCGGAAGAAAATTCCCGGCTGCGAAGATTGGTTATATCCAAGTTTCAATCATCGGCGACAAGCTTGACGGATGCCCGACTTTGCGGTGCAGACGTCGAGTTTCCGGATACTATAATTCTTAGCGTTTCTTGTTTCTTGTTTCGCTTTAAGCCTCGATATTAATTTCCGCACATTTCGCGCATTGAATTTTGCCCGCACGCGAGAACTTCCCATGGCTTCAGATGATTCCAGAAACAAAGCACCTGCCCTAGCCGGTGAAGAGGCCTAGATGATCGGCTTCTTCTTCTGGGGTTCAAAAGAGGAAGAAGCCACCCGGGCACCCGTCATGTCATCTGTCCCCGTGCTAGCCGTGTCTATTGACGTGACCATGTCTACCGCGGTGGCTCCTTGGACCCTTTTCCTGAAGTGCATCCTGGGCAATTTGGCTGGGAAGGCGATGGCAGTTCTTATGCCCCTCCTGATTGATGTCGGTTTCCTTAATGATGTAGTCGACGACATGGCCAAACCAAATGCCTCGGCTGGGAGCTTTTGCCTGTTTCCACATGTGAGAGCGATCGCCTGGCGAGAGCATCTTGAGTTTACTCAGTGGTTCTTAGCGCTGTTTAGTTGGAACGAGGGCGGGTCACGGTGCCGTGGCCGAGTACCCAGCGCAGCCAGCAATGACCACGACAGGGCCAAGGCGTGAGAGCCACTGCCGTGGAATCGGACCAGAATACGCCATGTTCCTCGAAGAAAACCAGGCAGTAGTGCACCATCAGCGAAGTCATGTCGACGGCCAGGAAGAAGTGGAGAGGGCAGTTGGCCTGGCTGGAAGAGCAGCCAAGACTTCCCCTTTGGAAGCATAGCTAGCTCGTCCTAGTAGTGGTAACGCGTGGTCTGTGCTGGGCAGGGTTGAGCCAAGTTTCACATGAGTAGAGCATGGACGCACTCGAGTCCGTGGCGGGTGAGCAAAGGGGGCCACTCAAGTCAGAGTACAGAAACATGGTTCAGCACAGGCGGTATGGAAACGGCAAAAAAGAAGCCACGGTTGCACGTCTTGTTCGTTTGCTAAGGAGCGGAAGATTGGTTTGGAGGGTCTGTTCCCCGCTACGAACGACCGCTGCTAGGGTCACCACTACGTTACTTTTCGTTATGACCACCTTCGAGGGCGCTCCCCAGCCAAGCTTATTACGGCACAAAAAAGCCTCTTGGTTTTTTGGCCCGCTGTTGCTTCAATACAGTTAAGCTTATGTGATACATCCCTTGGGCGCACCACTCCAGCGGTCGGCTAACAAGGCGTGAGCCAGTGGCTAGCGAGCTAGTCCGCGCGCTTTTGGGCACCCATTGAGTGGCGTTCGGCGCGGCCCGCTGCAGTTGCATGTACATAAGTAGCACTACTGCTGCTGCGCCGTGACTTTCCCCCTAGCTCGCCGCCATCATGTCTTCCCACGGGCAAGCCAGCGCCGAAATCGAAAAAATTTCGTCACCGGCCGATTTCGAAAAGCTCGCTCGTGATGCCGACCTGTTCGGCTGGTGGACCCCCGACGAGCCTGAGCTTCCGCGGAATTGGACCAAGTCAACTCGCCTGGCCCACGTCGGCATCGCCAGTGCCTCGGCCTTTCTCGCCAGCCTCACGTCGACTGCCTTTGCTCCGGCCGGTCAGTCGCTGCATGCCGAGTATGGCGTCACCAACGCCACTATCGCGACCCTCACAGTCACCATTTACCTGCTCGGCTTCGCCCTGGGGCCTCTCGTCATCGCGCCGCTGTCCGAGACTTACGGCCGCTGCCCCGCCTACCTCGCCTGCCTGTTGACTTCCGTCTGCTTTCTGGTCGCCTGTTCGCAGGCCACCGGCGTTGCTCAGTTTCTAGTCTTCCGCTTCATCACCGGCGTCGCGGGATCTGGCCCGGCCGTCATTGGCGCTGCCACCATCGCAGACCTCATACCCAAGGAGGAGAGAGGCGCCGCCATGGCCGTCTTCTCCGCCGGTCCTCTGCTCGGTCTTGTGATAGGCCCGCTGACGTGCGCATTCATCGCCCAGCATCTCAGTTGGCGCTGGGTCTTCCGCGTTCTGTATATTGCCGTATGCTTTCTCGAGCTCCCTCTGATCCGCGTCCCTCCGCTCACCCCTGACTAGACAGCTGCCGTTTTCATTCCAGCGTTCTTCTTCATGCGAGAGACGTATACTCCAGTCGTCATCCTCCGGAAGGTCGCCGCCGTGCGGAAAAAGACCGGCAACCCGACCCTGTACTCCGAGTTCGACTCACACGACAGCGCAGTGCGTACCTGGCGCCATGCCATCGTTCGCCCCACCAAAATGCTCATCTTCTCGCCCATCTGCCTCCTTCTTTCCATCTACTGTGCCTTTGTGTGGGGACTTCTCTTCCTGCTCTTCACCACCTTTCCTGCCGTCTGGTCCAAGCAGTACGGCTGGACTCAGGGCATTTCCGGTCTGTCCTATTTAGGAATGGGTGTCGGCATGGCCGTTGGAGGAGTCGGTTATGGACTCATCACGGACAGGGTTGTAGAGAGAGACTCCAAAGCACAGGGGAAGCCGTGGTCGCCAGAGGGCCGCCTCCTGCCCATGGTTTGGTGTGCTCCCGTCCTGCCGGCCGGCTTCTTTTGCTACGGCTGGAGCGCTTACTACAAGGCGCACTGGATCATACCCATCCTAGGCACCACGGCAGTCGGTTTTGGCGCTTTGCTCATCATGGTACATACATTACCCTCCCCGCGCGCTCTCGGAATCTCACCATGGCTAATGCTCTTGCCAGATGCCAGTCCAGATTTACTTGGTCGACTCCTTTGGGCCCAAGACGGCAGCATCGGCTCTTGCAGCCAACACCGTTTTGCGTGCTTTGGCTGGATGCTTCCTCCCCTTGGCAGGGCCGGCTCTTTACGCATCGCTCGGCCTTGGGTGGGGGAATACTTTACTAGGATTCATAGGTCTTTTCTTTTGTGCACTGCCCATCTTTTTCTATCGGTATGGCGAGTCAATTCGTAAGAAATATCACATCGAGTTTTAGAGGAAAACAAGTAATCGTTTTCCAGCTAGTATCATCCTGTTTGATTACAATCTTGGGGCATCTTTCTGCACTGACTATTTAGCTAGGTGCCAGAGGTAGACAAAAAAGTTTCTGATGTACGTACAATTTGAAGGGTGAAGACCTTGGACAAGGCATGCTTGGCGCCCATGGGACTCCTTATTGCGGGGCCAGCGACATGATGCATGACATCGGACATCAAGCCCTCGGAATGCCGGTTTTCCACAGAGCTTAATGCGGTCTCGTATGCGCCGCTTCCATCACGCTTTCTGTCCATCATCTAAACCACACCTCCCCGGCCGCCCAACGCCATGTACAAGGAAGTCCCGCGTCCGACCGACCTCGACACGCTCCCAGCTGGGCCTCACGCATCCACAACCATCTCCACAAACACACCCCTCCCCAAAGAAGAAGCCAACCCAATGCCCCATCCCTACCCCCAACCCACCGCATCGTCACGCAGCCTCAGCCATGAGCCAACCCCCCAAAATACCCCTCCAACACCGCCACCCCCTCCGCACCCAGCCCCACCACCGTCCCCACCCACCCATCCGGCCTGAGCACGTACACGGCGCCACCACTAGTGCCGCCACCGTCGACGTACCGCTTATGCGCCGCCATGTCCGCAGAATCGAACAACACCTTGCTGCTGCTGCTGCTGCTGCTGACCCCAAGGATCTGATCGCCAGGCGGACCGCGGCCGCCCAGCAGCTCCCACGGCGAGGGGCCGGCGCGTGGGAGGATGGTGAGGAAGGATGTTGGTGGGGCGGTGGCGTTGCTGCCACTCTGGTTGGTTGGGTGTGGGGGGAAGAAGAGGGGAGAGCGATCGAGGGCGGTGCAGAAGGCGTGGTAAGGAGACGGAGAGGGTGGTGGTGGTGGTGTTGTTGTTGTTGTTGTTGTCGTTGTGCAGGTGGCGGTTGAGTCGCCGACGAAGATGAGGACGTAGAATGTGGCGGCGTTGGGGGTTTCGCGGTGGAGGCGGGTGGGTTCGAGGGTGCCGGGTTTGCGGAGGGGGACGTCGGGGGCGCGGTGGCCGGGGTGCGGGTGGCCTGGGGTGGTGGTGGGTGCTGGTGATGGAGGGTGCTGCGGGCTCACGACGTTTAGTAGGCCGTCCGGCTCGTAGGAGATGCCTAGGCCGGAGCTGAATGAGGCGGCGTCCGCCATGACTTGGCCGAGGACGATATTGGGGTCGGCGGCGGGATCGCCCGTCCAGCCATCGGGCAGCTGCATGGTCATGAGGCGGGCGATGTCGCGGTCGTAGGCGATGAGCTTCTCGACGTTCGGGCGGCGCTCCGCCTCGTACGTGCGCAGCAGCTTCGGGTGCGCCAGCCCGCGCAGCACGAGAGACAGCTTCCAAGCGAGGTTGACGGCGTCGTGGATGCCCGTGTTCATGCCTTGGGCGGCGCCCGAGCTGTGGGTGTGGCAGCTGTCCCCGGCGAGAAATACACACTCGTTCGTGAAGAAGCGGCGGGCGACGCGCTGGCCGACGGCGTATATGGTCCACCAGTCGACGGTTGTGAAGGACAGGTCAAACGGCTTGACGGCGGCAACGGCCTCTGCGATGGCGGCGGCCTGGTCGAAGACGGGGTACCGTTTCTCACGCTCCAGGGTGAAGGCATAGCCGATGCGGGTGGCGCCGTGGTCGAGGGCGGCCCAGAGGACGTTCCCGTGGGTGGGGCTCTCGATGGCGCAGTAGGAGCGCGGCTTGGGGAGGTTGGTCGAGACGTGGCCGTCGATGCGGACCCAGCGGTCGTCGGTGGAGCTGCCGTCGAACGGGATGTCGAGGAGGCGCCGCACCGTCGAACGCCCTCCGTCTGCGCCGATGAGGTACTTGCATTTGACCACACCGACGTGTTCCACCGTGGCAGAGACGCGATAGCCGCCGGGTGGGATGGACTCGTCGATGTGCAGCCCGACCAGCGTGGCTGGGGCGTGCAGCTCGACGCCCAGCTCGCGCAGGGCCCGGCGGAAGATTTCCTCTTGGTACTTCTGGCGCAGCACCAGGGCGAAGTCCCAGGCCGTGTCCTTCATCTGCTCCATGAAGGCCCAGCCGCGGGCGTGAACTTCGTTGCCCAGGGCGTCGTACGATACGGTCTCGCGACAGGCGAAGCAGTGCTGGGCGAGCTTGTCAGCAAGTCCCAACTGGTCCAGCATCTCCGAAGTGCGCGGGAAAAGCGTGATGGCCCTGCCGTACTGGTCTTGGGCCGACTTGGCGTGCTTCTCGATGATCATGATGGACGGGAGTGTGCGGGCCAGCTGGTACGCGGTGATGAGGCCTGCAGACGTGTGAGCGAGAAGCTTCACCGAGTAGGCGCGGAGGTTGCTGGCTGGTTACCTACAGGCCCGCCGCCTACGATGAGAACGTCGACATGGTGGATGCTGTCCTCAATGCTGCCCATCACTGCGGTTTCTCTTGTTTGTAGTAAAGAAGAGTGTCCCACTGCTTTCTCAAAGGCGACCTCATCGGGCAGTATAAATACTGGGTGAGGGTCCGATAAGCGCGTGATCGAGCAGAGCAGGGGTGGGGTTAATGATATCAGGCGGGGCAGACGAGAGGTGGGGTGCATCTCTGTGTCCCTGCAACGTGGGGGAAACCCACTACGGCGGGATATGCTTGGTTAAACGTCCGCGGAAGAATACGACGAGTACGAGAACGATGACATCAAGTCACTGATCGTTGAATCGCGAAGCCAATCGAGGAATGCACCTCGTCTCGGCATTGAACGTGAATACAAATGGGAATAGCGGAATGCTTCATGCTTAATTACATTCCCAGCCTCCACTGAGCATGACACGCACCTTGACCGAGTTACAGCGCCATGATTTCTTGAGTAACCTCCCCACGGACGTCGATCCCCACGTTGCGCTTTTCGGTGAGAGCTCCAAGGCTTCGCCAGTAATTAACTGTCATAGTTCCAGACTGCCTCAATCTATTCAACAAGTGCTCACGGTCAACGTCTACGGACTTCTACTTTTGGTGTTGGATCCGCCATAATCTCGAATCCAAACTCGAAGAACTTTGGCGTGTAGCCGTCGGCGAGCCGCACATCGTAATCGAGTAGAATGTTCGCGAGTGCGACCTTGATCTGGTTGTGGACGAAGAAGCGGCCAGGGCAGATGGACTTGCCCACGCCGAAGGTGAACTGCTCGGGGCTGCTCGACACCATGGAAGTGGCTGGGGCGCCCTGCTGCCTGAGTCGTAGAAAGCGGAAGCCATCGAAGCGGGCCGCGTCCTCGCCGTAGACGGCCGGGTCCCACATACGCGAGCTGTCGACAGACACGTTGGTGCCTCGCGGGATCTTGGTGCCGTCTGGGAGAGTGATGTCCTTGAGGGACCGGCGCTCCAGGTTGGCTGCGGGCGAAACCATCAGCAAACGAAAGACGTAGAAAATGGAGCGTACAAGTCACTTACCCAACGTCCCCGGCTTCAGCCTCAGCGTCTCCTTGACTACGCTATCCAACAGCTGCATCTTGTACAGCCCGGCCGTCGTCCACCCGCTTTCCTCCACCGCCATCGCAATCTCCTCGCGCAGCGGGCCGACCAGCTCAGGCTGCCCGCAGATATCCAGCACAGCCTGCTTGAGCAGCTGGGTCGTCGTGTGCAGACCCGCCATGGCGAAGCCGAGCTGCATGGCAACGGGATCGTACGGCTTCCCGTCGGCACGCTCCTCCAGCCAAGCCAGCGTATCCTCGTGGCGATGCGGCTCGCGCCCCTGCGCCAGGGCTTCCTGCTTCTTCGCGGCGCGCTCGTCCAGCACGTCCTGGATCATCTTGCGGCCGCGGCGCACCTGCTCGCGGCACTTGCTGCTCTCCGGAAGGAACCAGTTGGCCACGGTCCGCGTGAAGCGGGGGTATCGGCGCAGCGCGCGTGTGGCGAGGAACATGTTGGTGGCGTAGGTGATGGCGATGTCCTGCCATTCTGGGTCGGCGCACAGCTCGGGTCCGACGAAGACGGCGGCGGACATGCGGCTGATGAGGTCTAAGGAATCTTTGTGCCAGTCGATGCTGTGCCATTCTGGAGGGGGGAGGGATGGTCAGTTGACGCCTTCGGAGTGAAGAGGGGAAGCGTTTCCATACCCTGGTCGTCTGTCCATGTTTCGTGGAGGGCCCTGACCATCTGCTCTCGGAACAGGGTGCACTCTATTATAGAGTCAGTTTGAGATGGCATGGACGAGAGGGAGTCAGCTTCTTACGTGAGTTCTGGTTCAGCTTGCCCTTTGTGACCTCGATGAGTAGTTTGTTTGGGTCGCACACGGCTGCCGTGATTCCCTCCCAGCCAGGATACCCTCCGAAGAATTCCTGCATAGCTCATCATCAGCTCTGGCTACGCCCATCTCACCATCCAGCTTACATGATAGGTCCATTCCAAATGGTCCAGTTCGTTGCAGTTCTTGACCCATTCCGCCCACTCAGTTGGGACGAGAATAGTCGAGCTCAGTGCAGTGATGATGCGAAACGGTCCTTTGAACTACACGCCTTTAGTCAATGATAGCCGTTGCTATTAGGTATTCTTTGGACGTACCTTCTCGGTTCCCTCGCGGATGAGAGCTCTTGCATTTTGCTCGAAACGCTGATGCGCCTTTTTGAGCATCCAGTCTCCAGGGTAGGCATTGATTGTCGGGATCTTTGGCGCTCTCAAACGTCGATGAGAAACAACCAGGAAAAGGGCTGCCAAAATTGGAACGAGGACGGTAGCTAAAGATCCGAGCGGCGAAGAGCCCCCGGGAAGGGCGTCGTGCGTGTTGTTCGCCATTTGAGTCTTTGCCTTGTGTCTCGAGCTAGGGATGTCTGATCTTGTTCTTCTCGGTTTGGGCGAGTGGATAGAGCAAACACATATATACAGATTTGGGGTGTTGCGGATATCATTTCGTCATGGCACCGAGGCTAGAACACCACCTGGCTCAATATGATTCATAGTGGCTAACCCAATGCGGCTGGCTGCGCTCGGCTGATGCACCACCACAAATCTTACTTCGTCCGCCCTACAGTACCAATTCCTTTTTCACCATTGTTTGGTTCATCAGATTAGCGCCATGAATGACAATGATTCATTCTTTAGACACCCGCTACATTTTCGTTTTCCGACCAGCGGCCTTCTAGAATTAGGAATCATGCGTCGCGTCGAGGCCGAACCATGAATTGAATCAACTCGTCGTCAGATCCTCCTGATACTTCTCCCTGGCTGAAAGAGACAATCAGCCGCTTTCATAACCCCGTTTCAGGTGTTGCATCGATCCAGGTAACCCGAATGCTGCATGCTCGATCCCATTTGCTCCCCCAACAACACCGAATTTCAACTTGGCTTTCCCAATGTTCTCCTGTAGCGGATAGGTGGGAAGGCACTGTTTCACGGTCAGGCCGTCCAAGTCAGGGTTTCTGGTCGTAAGGAGGATGCTGGAGAATGATGAAGTGGCACTGTAGCCATTGTACATGTACGCCCAGCCACCAACCACGATACAGAACAGCGCCACAGCAGCTCCAGCAACATACGCAATCAGTAGGTCCACGGGGCTGTATCTCCAGTAGTTCCTTGGAGATCTGACTTCCACGTCTGTTGTCGTGTTGCCGTTGAGCATTGGACTGCTTAGCAAGCTCAATGTAAAGTTCTGTGATAGATCCTCAATCGTTGCGGCCACCGAGTTGTTCCGACACATCCAGGGAGACGTATTCCGATCCAATGGAGGTTCGCTGCTCCCCAACGTCTCCCATGCCTTGATGATGTCCGGACAGGCCATCAAGCCCGTTTTGGCCACGGCCAAATCTGTGCCAAGCATCCCTGACGACGACAGTCCTGGACGGACGCCAACCTCTCCAGAGAGCAGATTCGACATTGCCAGATACATCGACAAGTAAGCTCTTCCACCGTCCGGCAGCTCCGTAAACGCGACGGACGTGTTGAAGTCCGTAGTGCTCTCGTACTCCAGGCTCTGAATCTTGGTCGTCTGTATGCCGTCCCTAAAAGTGAACAGTGTTGTGTAAGGTGCGTTCCAAAGCTGGCAGCTAATGTTTTTCGGATCGCCATCCATAAGCTTTCCTGCACCCGTGCGAATGAATAATAGGTTGTGCGACCCGTCTGGCATGACGGCCTGCCAGTAGTTGTAGTTTGCACCATTGCTGATATCGATGCTGGTATCCCACAGCTTTTGCAGTGACGTGCAGTTGTTGCAGCTGCCGACGGGCTGACCGTTCTTGACGGCATCACTCAGCTTCTCGCACTTCAATGCTGGAGCATAAAACTGAAGGCTATATGACGAGTTGGGAAAAGATGCGGTCATGGGTAGAATTCCTATCGAGGACGACGTCGCAGTCAGCAGGCGGGTGACGGCCGGAGAAGGCTCGTTGATGAAGCCCGCGCCCATAGAGTCGGACCAAATATCCGGGTCGTTTGCAAACCCCATGCAAGGGACTTCCACATTCGAGACGTTGGTCACCATCTTGGTGTACACGGACAGAGTACTGGGAGTGACTGTTGCGATCAAGGGCATGAACCTGGAAAGTCAATGCTGAGAGTTCGGTGCAGGCTCCGCATGGACTCACCAAGACGCCATGGCCAGCAAAACCAGCAGCTTTACCCCGACGAGAACCTCAAAGTTGGCAAAGGATGCGGGGTTCTTGGTCAGAGAGAACATGTCGTCAATGCTCTGCAGTGCCATTGCCTTCCGCGTTGCCACGGTCCACAGATACTGCGTGAAGGCGATGCCGATGGAAGCAGCGAGTGTCGCCTTGACCAGAAACGCAAGTCCTGTTCCGATGCGGATCGCCCACTCCTGCTGGCTCGTCGATGTGACAGGGGTGTCGTCCAGAGACTGGTAGTAGATGTGATGGCCTATGGCGAACACTATCCCGGCAAAAAACAGCAACATCATCAGTGCTGGAGACCTCCACTGAACACCTCTTCTTGATATTCTCGTCTGTGCCTTTGCGGGTGGTTGAGCTTGCGTCGTAGGATCGTGGTGTAGGAGATGTTGGTTCGGAGGATCAGCTTGGCGGTGAGGAAACTCCATGTTTGGGTATGCCGGTGGGGGCTGGTTTTGCCATGTAGCCATTGCGCCAAGTGAAGGAAAGTGTACAGGGAAACAAACTGGATATATAGGGTTTGGCAGGTTTTATTCAGTAGCCAGGAGGTAGGAGCCAACACCTTGGTGGCAGAACTGAATCCTGGCCCCCATGGTCAGAGCAAGAGCCTCTACAATCCTGGCGCAACGCGACTCAGAATCGTTGGCTAAGATTGGCATAGCCTTGTTAGTGCTGACATTCCCCAACAACATCGGCGTAATATTCAAGCGCTAGGCACATGAGGTCCGCCAATGAGATCCGCGGTATCTCACAACGCTACGGCCGCGATATGCATTGATCGACATCCGCCCAGTAAGTGTGAAGGAGTCATCGAATGCGTGACCAGTCAGGTTGCTGGAGCCACCCATTCATCTAAATATAGTCACCGTGTGTAAGCGTTCACGCAGCACTTGCCAAATGTGAAGTTGGTACTGGACTATAAAGACTGCAAGTACACGGTTCGATTTCCATGTTCCAACACTACACTTGGTCGGCTCAAAGTTCACAAGCTGCGTTCCTCCTTCCCTTACAATCTGCTGGGAGTGCTCTGGCGGCCACCTCTATTCCGCCTTCGAAGTACGCCACGGTCGACCTAGTGGTACTCACCAGAGCCTGCTTCAACCTCTCCCTCCTAAATGACCAATGCCTCGCTCAACTCTCTTAGCAGCTCACACCGCTCCCCCCGTCCTCCTTCCCAGGTATCCGCTCTGACGGTCGTCAAGTCCGCCTCGACACCAGGATCAAAGTAGAACGTAAACCCCAGAATCTCAACCGGCGTCCCACCCGTAGCGTTGACGTTCTCCATCAAAGGCTGCTCTGCCGTGTGCCGCGGCCAGTCGGACGGAGTGTTGGCAGTGATGAAACCGCCCCACGCGCTCTGGAACGCCTTCTGGACTTCGGCACCGACGGGGAAAGAGGGATTGGGGAAGTAGAACAACGTGTCGAAGCCGTGGAACGACGGGGTGACGGAGAGCTGTTTCTGTCAGACTCGAGAAGAGGAGAGGAAGGAAGGGGACGTGTTGGGAGTTCTGACCTGGTATTGGAAAGAGTCACCGCCGTTCCTGTCGAAGGCCGATGCGAGCCAATATGACAGGCATATCAAGGTGACCTCGCCGTAAAAGTTATTGGCGACTTGTTGGTGCCCGGTGGCAAGCTCGGACTGGTTGACAGCCGTGGGCGGGTGGTCGCCTGTCGTCGGGAACTTTGGGGTGGCGGGGCTGTCCGGGACATTGGGGGTCGAGTATGCTTCCAGGATTCGCGTAACGTCGCTGTCGGTTAGGCGCGGGAAGTAGGTGCGCAGATACTGTACCAATTCAGCTTGCGTTGTGATATTCTGTGGTGTGAGTGCGTAGCCTTCGTTGGCGTTGTTCTGTTGCGAGAGATGCCAGTCAGCCCCAGTTCGTACCGCAGCTGGTCAACTTACGCCTGTCAAGATACGCTGGCCATTGATGCGGCCTTTGAGTGCCTGGCTCGGCCGCTGTGGGATCAAGTCACCATCGACCACCGGCCTCCACTCGAAAATGCCCAGGAGTGCCGATGTGGCGGTTTGGTTGTTGGCGAATATCAAGTCGGCGCTGGAAGCCGATTGGAGGCATTCGAAAACGGCAGGATCGGTTCCGGTGCAACCGGCCAGGTCAGCGAATTCGTTGTACTGGCTGACAGCTTCTGGTGAGTTGTAGTCGAAGTACTGTGGGAGGAAAGGGCTGGCAGTGATTCCCTGTCATGTCTATGAGCACATGGACCCATAAGGAAGTTGGACCGCAACTTGCATTGGACCACAGCTGATTGCCCTGCGCTCCGCCATAGGCAATGGCAAGGTTCATGACCGAGCCGGCGCCCGCAGACTCGCCTGCCACTGTGACGCGAGTCGGATCACCTCCAAAAAGATCAATGTACTCCTGCACCCACTGAAGCGTCATCTGCTGGTCCAAGAGTCCGGCATTCAGCGCTCCCTTCTGGCGCACCTCTTCCGAAGAGAGGAACCCGAAAGCTCCGAGGCGGTACTGGATGACGACGGCGACGAAGTCTTGGTTGTTTGTGTTGATGAGCGCCGAAGGATCATACGGCACGGTGCCTCCCAAGTCGTATCCGCCGCCATGGATCCACACGAAGACAGGAAGGTCGTGTGCGTCATCGGGAGCATAGACGTTCAAAAACAAGCAGTCTTCGCTGGAAGGGCCGTCGAGGAAGAACAATGCCCCCAGTTCCGGTCTCGCAACAGTGGGGTTAGCTTGAGGACAGATCAATGGGGTTGTCGTGGCGTTCTGCAGCTGCCTGTTGACGGCCGGCACTTCGGGCGCCTGGAAACGTAGCGAATGCAACGGTGGTGCAGCATACCGCACCCTGCAGTACTGTAAGCATGCCGTTTCGAGTTGGGAAAGGTGGCGTACCCTTTCCAGATGTTCAGCTGTGAAGTCGAGTTGTGGTAACCTTGGTAGATTCCGTAGCCCAAGTCGACCTTCAGCCCGTCCTTCTCGGGTGGCCACTGCTGCGACACGGCATCGTAAGGGTTCTTCAGGACCGGAGTGGCATTGACAAATGTCAGAAGCGCCGTCAGCACGATTGAGAAGTCTTTGAACATTTTTGCAGAGACGAGTTGAAGACTGCGGTACCGTGAGAGCTGTTGCCATGCTGTAGCTTAGCAGATATATCTACGTCTCCTGCCCCTGGTCCTGGTCGATAAGCGCTAGGCAAACTATGCTACGCCACCTGCTGCACCGCAGTGTATTTACCCAGTAAGGTCGCTACCCCGCTTAGGATTTGGCTTATTTACCGCTTTTGTCAGCGGCTTGCGCTTGCTACGAGCCCTAAGTGCAGCTCAGCCTGGTGATGCCGCGAAGTATTCGCAATCCGCACACCGAATAGAAAACAAGGTGTCACACGCGTGCTCCTACAACTGTGCAATAACCAAATCCAATCATCATGTGGTTGGATAGCACACCTAAAGTGACGTAAGCCAACACGCCGAAACGATATTGCGGCTTACCCAAACTACCCAATCAGGAAGTATCGCTTATTTGCCAAGCACGTATGAGCTCCAATGTCACATGTTGCTCCTAAACACAACTTAGCGCCCGGTCTTGGTAACGATGGCGGGTGATATGTTGCCGGCAACATGGGGCAACTGGAAAGCCTTAGCTGAAAAAAGAATCCCGTGGCTTTCAGCCTCGCTTCTTCAACACCGTTTCGGCATCACTGCGAACCCAAAACTGACAGTCACGCGTTTCTCACGATAACAGGCTCTCAGCTGAAGCAGCTTCAAGTGGGGGTAGTGGTTCTTGGGTGTTGGAGCGAGCTGGGACTGTGTTTGCACCCACACTACAAGCAGGGTTGTTCACCAGTCACGCCCTCACATAGGAGTATTGATTTTGCGCGGAAACAGTCTCGTGCAAAGGAGAATTCTCGGCATCGGCTGTGACAATTTCGGAGCCCTAAAGTAGTGGTGAACATTCATACATTCGTAGAGACTCTAAACTGTACTCGTCCAACGCACGCAGGCCAAAGGTACGACGACAGTGCTCCGCCGGAGATCCAGACAGCTGCTCTCAAGAACGCATACTAAACTTTGCAATGGCCTTGTTGCACTTAGGTGCTGCAAGCTAATGTCGCGTTGGATGTTGTAAGACTTCTGCTGATACTACCGTATGTTCACTCCCTTCGCTGACAGACTTACTGGTCCATATCTGTGCGAGGGCGGCGAAACTTACGCAGTCTCGGGTATCCTGAAGCTCGAAGATGATGTCTCATGCTGGGACTGCTTCCCATATCTCAGGCGAAGCTTCCGGTAAAGGGTATGTATGCCAGAATGTCCCAGAGCGAGTGATTAATGGACATGCTGACGAACACTTTGAAATCGGAGGCTGGAGATAACAGCTTTGCTACCGCGGACCTTCCGAAAGGCTTCAGCCCTTAGCTTAGAGAGCAAAGCTGTTGTATGTTGGATTCAAGACATATCGGGGCGTGATGTGACCGGGTCCGACGCTTGGTCTTGGATGTTCGACCGATACTTCTCGGCCGCGGGTGATGCGAACGTCATAGTAGTCTGCGAGGATGTAGAACCGCACCTCTCGTCTTGACCAGAAGGGGTTCTCTGACTTGACAATCCACGTGCTTAGGCTTGGCAAGCTGGCACTTTCTGGTGTCCCTGGTTGCTGGTGTGAGATCTATCGATCTTAGATGTTCTAGACCTGCGGCCGTTGTGGGTGGCGTTTGTTGATTTGCTGGGTGCACTTAGCATGCGTTAGTCTGCCAGCTACACACAGAAAAGTCAGAGCGATGATAGGGCATGTAACGTTCCTAACACATAGAGCGTGGGACCTAAACATGGTGCCTATCACGTTTGCAGTCCAAGACTAACTAAAAGTGTCCGCCCAAGACCGCCGGAGTTCGCCGAGAAAGTCACGCTCGTCGAGATACACAACGTATCCGACATCATCTACCCGAGCAACCATTCCCGTGACCATACTAAGCGGTAGACAGCCTCTCTAGTCTTAAGTCAGCATAAAGCGAAGTAACGTCCGTGCAAGCAAGTGTACCAACAGAAGCCAAAGATGCGACATCGCGCTTCGGACTGCGATGTAACGACAATTCAGGTCGTGTTTCTGTCAGCGGGCTGTGACTTTCGAGCTGATGCGTATATTAAGACAGACGGACTGCCCCTTCAATTGAACATCATCAACACAACACTGCCCATCAAGCCTCCAACGCCATCAGCAACACCGCTCATATCGACCAGTACTACTTCAACTCTAGAATCAAAGGAACTATCGTCGCCAATATGAAGTTCAATACCGCTGCTGCCGCCGCTCTTCTTAGTGCCTCCGCCTTGGCCGCTCCGGCCGCCATCGAAGTCGACTCAGGGACCCCGTCGGCCACGTATAAGATCAAGGACTTCACCACCCGCAAGTACGACGGCCGGAATATCGATATTGTTTCATTTAAAATCGCAGCTTTCAACGGCGAGACCCTGAGCGAGTGCTCTTCGACGAACGACGAAAGCTTCGTGGTGAACCAACGTTACACTTGCGACAACTCGCGCTTCAGCTTCACCTACGTTGACTACTACGACTGGGTTAAGCCCACAGTTCTCACCATCCGCGAAGAAACTACTCGGTCGTAAGTGCAACTCATTCGAGTATCCGCCAGTGCCCACTAACTCGTTTCAGGGAGGTCATTGGCGGATCTACCAGTTTCATCACGCCCCCCTGCCGCGCTGGCGGCTCTAATCCCAATGACCTCGTTTGTCAACTCCCCGACAGCCATGAAGTTGAGGTTGGGCTTCAGCCACTTGGGTCGAACTAAGCGTTGGCCGTTTGAGATTTTGAGTTCCCCCAAATTGTATTTTCTATAGACATGCATCAGACCAGTCATTCGTTTCATTCTCCTGTACATATTTCCAATAACACGTCGAGCGACGATTTAGAGTTTTCCACAAGCATGTTGCAGTGATGGTCGTAGCCGAGGTACCAGTGCTCCACCACTTAACCGTATCGGGCACTAAAGTGGAGCCGCGCCCGTGTAAAGCCAAGCGATTTCTCCTTTTGCCCCCTGTGCCCATGGAGAACATCTTAAATTGAGTGCCTCGATCCGAAGGCGTGTAATTTCAGCCCTTAGCAGTGGCGAATAGTGCTTACTATGTCTGCGTAAATCACATCTGGCCCATATCGATCGCCGACAGTACTGACAAAGACGGCCGCCTCCAACAGCTTCAGCTACCAACTGCTTCGGACCGCCATCCGGCAATATCCAAAGGACCGCACGCTGCGCCTCATCCGCAAGACACCGCAGCATGTAATCGCCGCGCCGCCGGCAGACGGCCGCCAATGCCCGCTCCACACGGCATGCCAGGTGCTCGACGCCGACATTGTCGAGGCCCTGCTGGAAAAGGGCGCCGATGCCAACGTCCGGACCGCCGACGGAGAAACGCCACTGCACTGCGCACTTTCATCCGTGGCTCCGCGGAAAGCGGCGTTCAAGCCAATTCGGCTCAAGATCGTCACCATGTTGCTGGCCGCCGGCGCCTCTGTCTCGGCCGTCGACGAAGACAGAAACAGTGCGTTGCACCTGGCAATCCTGTACGGCTACATCGACTGTGCCAGGGTGATGCTGGCGCGCGACGACTTCGCCCTCAGCATCCCCAACAAGCGGGGTGAGATACCGCTGTTTGTCTCCGGCACCGACCAGCGCTCCGCCGCGACGCCCATGGACATGGCCGAGTTCCTCACGCGGTGGCACATTCTCAACCGCCCGCTGCACCGCGCCGTGGCGTCCGGAGACGTCTCTGCCGTGCACCAAGCACTGGACGCCGGCGAAGACGTCTCGGCGCGAAGCATGCTCGGAGACGCAGCCATCCACTTGGCCGCCCTGCGTGGTGACGCCAACATGGTCAGCTTCCTGCTTTCCAAAGGCGCCTGCGGGAGCCAGGCCGGCTACCTCGGCCAGACGGCCTTGCACCGCGCAGCAACAGCCTGCGGCCCGCCAGACCACGCACACGGGATAGACGCCCCCGTGCAAAAGTCCTGGACCGACCCCGAAACCGCCTTATTCCGCGCCGTCAGCGAGTACCGCCAACACAGCGGCAACGCACCATCAACATCCCCCCAACACCTCACCGTCGCCCAAATCCTCCTCGACGGCGCCGGCCTCACCCCCAACATCCCCGACGCCCTCCTCCGCACGCCCCTGCACCTCGCCGCCGGCGCCGGCAACGAGCCCATCGCCCAGCTCCTCCTCTCCCACGCCGCCGACCCCACCGCGCCCGACGTCGACCTCCGCACCCCCCTCTGGCACGCCGCGTCATCCAACAACATCTCGCTCCTCTCCACCCTCCTCCACCACGGCGGCACCGCAGCCCTCCACCTCCGCCCCTCGCCCCTCCGCGACGTCGGCCACCTCGCCGTCCGCTGCGGCCGCCGCTGCGTCACCCCCGCCATGCTGCACGGCACCAGCACCAGCACCACCGACGGCGACGGCGACGCCCGCGGCCGCACGCCGCTCATCCACGCGGTGCAAGAAGGCGCGCTCGCTCCGACGCAGCACCTCCTCGATGCCGGCGCGTACGTCGGGCAGCAGCTGGGCGGCAGCGGGCAGGGCGGACACGGCGGCGGCAAAGGCAGCGGCGGGTGGTCGCCGCTGGTGCAGGCGTGCGACAGGCGGCGGTGGGAGGTGGCGCGGGTGCTGCTGGAGGCGGGGGCGGACGTGCGGGAGCGGGAGGGGGAGGGGAGGACGGTGGGCGGTGGGGGCGGCGCGAACATGGCGTTGCATTTGGCGGCGCGGGGTGGGTCGGTGGAGGTCGTGGGGCGGGTGCTAAGGGCGGAGACGCGGGGGGATCAGGAGCAGCAGAGTGCGGAGAGGGAGCGGGAGCGGGAGCGGGAGCGGGATCAGCGGGATCAGCGGGAGAGGCCGGCGGGGCCGTCGCGGCGGTCGAGCGTGCAGTCGTTTCGGTCGACGATTACGATGCAGTCGACTTGGTCGGGGGCGACCAAGGTGGTTAATCCGGTCGGGAAGCAGATTGGGTTTTATCGGTGGACGCCGCTGCATTATGCGGCGGGTATGGGGCATAGGGGGGTGGTGTGCATGTTGCTGGGGATTATGGAGAGGATGGAGATTATTGCACGCGATATCGATGGGTTTACTGCGCAGGAGCTGGCAAAGGGAGCGGGGTATGAGGAGATTGATCGGCTTATTGAAGAGCGCTTGGGTTGATGGTGTTGGACATTGTACTTGTAGGTCAGCTGTGGGGTCCTTTGCTGGGAGTTTTTTACCGGTAGAAGTGTGTGTCCTGAGACAATGTTTTGTTGCCATTTTTGCAATGGCTGTCTCCGGGGCTACTCCTTACGATTGGTTGAATACGGGGTCACTTCAACGAGGCAAGGCTGTTTTTTTTTATAACAAACTATGCTCTCATCACTGTTGTGCGTGATTACTAGATACAATGTAAAAGTGATAGTGCTTTGTTTGAAAGCAGCGTTGAATGGTAGATGAGGATAGAATAATTTTCGTGAAGGAGATTGGAGACATGGAGAGTTTTGTGAGCGTTCAGGTGAGCCGACAGAAAATGGAACATCTCTTTTGAGACAAAGACAAGTTACAGTTTTTAACTGTAAAAGGAGGCTCCCATACCTGTGCCGGTGGTCAATATTATATTGATCGGGCGCTGGAGCAACTTCGTGTTACACTGAATGGGCATCGGGTAAATATTGATGACGAGCGGGGTCAAGGCTGAGTGCACATTGGAGAGTGAGATAGCAGTCTTTGAAACGGTAAGCCTCAGGGCTTCCGGGGAAGGCGAATTATGTCAAAGGCAGGGAGACATGAGGAGGACAGATTGTTCTAGGGTGTTGCAATTCCCTCTGATTCAACTTGAAATTGTATCTCTACGAAGACATCACGAACATTCCCACCCCTATCATCTCCACTACCAGGCCCAGCAACTAGCACGAAGGCTATGTCCGATGTATTGCATCAATCAAGTGCTCCTTCAGCAAGTGCCGGACCACCAGACCCCTACTGGTTGTTGCCACACGTGCATTCCCTCGAGGTGGAGAGTTGTCCATTGTCTGGCCGAACGAACAACGCATGCTGCTGTCCTGGGCCCTCAGCAAGGAATCGGTCCATCGGGCTCATACCGCGAGTCGAGTCAAGCCCGGTGGGCGGCATCCGCAGAACTGCGCCATGGTAAGGGCATGTATGTTCCTGGAAGAGACCGTATCTCGGTTCGTAGGAGGCGGTGTTTGCTCCAACGTTGAGCTGGGATGACGCGGGCGCAGGGCGGTCGTTCGAAGGGGTGTTTGGCGCTGGCGTCTGCTGAGACTGGTTCGGGCTTGTGAGAGAATCAAAAGATTAGCCGGACAGGGCCTGTTGAAAGGGTAATAGCGAGTGCGTACGGATTGGAGGTGGAATGAGCGCGTTGGCTCTGTTGAGCATCATTTGCTGCCATTTTCCCAGGTAGCTGGTGCTGAGGTGGCTTTCACTGGACTTGAGGGCGAGGTTGAATTTTCGTATCAAGCTCCGTAAATCTTGGAGATATGAGGTTGAACAAGTGGACTGCTGAGGCTCTCGGGGCTGGCCTCGAAAGTTGAGGGTGTGGTCTTTATAGCTATCTGGCGGGCATGAAACCGCAAAGCTGAATCCATAAATGGGATCTAGAACTGCCTTGAAGTGGGCCGGTGAGTGTTCCATCAGACGTCCAAATGAGAGGTGCAACGCGTCACTTGGGCGCCCCGGGATATCGTGCCAGAGTTAGGGCAACTTGAGACGAGCCATAGACGTTCCGGATTGGCTGTTGCTCTTTTGCAAGTCTTGGGATCAGAGTTGCCTTACGGCAAAAGTTGGTCGTTATGAGGGGATAACTGCGAGTGTATTTTCCACTTCCATTTTGAGAAACGCTCAGGGAGGCGTCCGACACGCCTGAGATCGACAAGCCTTCTCCAGGCCTTTTTATTGGCGTTTACTCCTTTGTAAACGTTGGCAGTGTGGCCACCCCAGCGTAGGCAACGAACAAGGGACCCACGTCCGGCGGACTTTCTTCGGCCCTACATGGGCTGCGGAGCCCTGAATGCCGATCATGGGCGTTGGGCTGTGCAATCCCTAGTGTGCTCAAAACCATTGGCCAGTCCTCTTTTGCAGGTCTTGGCATGCGTGCCAACTGGCCTTGCGTGAGCGCAAGGCACTGCATAAGGCAAAGCTTGCATGCATGAGGCGTGAGTTCAACATCGTGATTGGTTCTTTCTCTTTTGAAAGGCTCGGCAGAAGGGGTTTTTGTGCCGGGGCTGAGTGTCAGCCTTGCGACACTGCTTTACAGTCTGCCCGCCCCTCGACCGCGGCAGCTGCATATAAATCTGCGGAGGAATCTCCCAGATTTTGGACATCAAGACGCTTGCTTTTGTCACAACTCTTCGGCCTTGTGTCTCTCCTGGGCCCTGGCGTTTCGGTCCTTGTCCTACCCACAGCTCATGGATCCCAACAGGCCACCAGGCCATTCCGCCGGCCCCGCAGGCCCACTCGCCAGGCCATCCAGCTCTTCCGTTCAGGAGCGATGGGAGTCACTCAAGCATGTCATCGAGCATCAGTACATCAACGAGAAACGCAAGCTGCTTGATCTTGCTGAGTACATGAAGAACAGGCCACCAGGCCATTCCGCCGGCCCCGCAGGCCCACTCGCCAGGCCATCCAGCTCTTCCGTTCAGGAGCGATGGGAGTCACTCAAGCATGTCATCGAGCATCAGTACATCAACGAGAAACGCAAGCTGCTTGATCTTGCTGAGTACATGAAGGTTAACTACGGCTTTGATGCAGGGTATGTGACCTCAAAGCATCGATTTTGTGTCATTCTTTACTAACATCCTGTCATTTGATTCTTCATAGAGTGAACCAGTACAAGTACCAGTTCAAGAAGTGGGGCTCGAAGAAGAACGTGCCCTCGGCCGCGAAGAACCACATCGGGCGATGCCTTAACAACCGAGCGGAGGCTGGACGAACTTCTACGGAGATCCAGTACAAGGGACACACTGTTGCGCCCGAGAAGATGCGGAGATATCTCAAGGACAAAAGGAGGAAGGAGGCGATCTTGAAAGGTCCGACCGCCGCCCTTGGGGTCGTCGCGAGTGCGAAGCTCGCATTCGGCAGGAACATGTAAGTCATTTGACTGTTCCAACTGTCTCGGGTGCTGACTGTGGCTCTCATGAAGATTTGTCGGCTGGAACATGCCATATGGGGCTTTCAGGCTATCCGGTTCCAATCGTCTTCCCCCCTCTCCATACGCGACCGCTCCCTCGCCCTATGGAGATGTTGTTGTGGTGACTCCTCCCTCAGACGCGGAATCACCAGGGGCTCAGGCTGTTCAGAGGAGAATGAACGCGGATACCTTGAACGCCGTGGCCATAGAACGAGCCCAGTTGTTCATCCAAGGCAAGCACGCAGAGCTTCTCGAGAGAATGACCAAGCAAGATTTCCGGTGAGTCACCCTTCATTCAAAAGCTAAAAGCCTCATCTAATCTTTTGTAGAGTCATGAATGAATGGTTGTACCAGTTTTGGCTGTTCTCATTCAAGTCTGCCAAACATTGGGGCCACGGTCCTCGCCACTGGACAGCAGCTGGACTACGGTTTTCCGACTTTGAAGCCATCCGCACTTCCAACCACAGCACTCCAAGGTTTGTTTCATCAACTCATGGAACATCTCCTCGGGCTGTCATGTCCCCTTCTACCAACGAATCCTTGCAACATCCTGGGCCGTCTCAGCTGTGTAACTGGGCAATTCACGTGCGAGGAGCCTCTAGGGATTTTCGTCCTCCAACAACCGCATCAGCTTGTGAGCAAGATCCGCAGGACGAAGATTCGTGGCAACCATGGAGCCCTTCATTTCAAGAACAACCCTTCGATGAACAGATGCGGGACGCTCTTGAACACAACGATTTCAGCACCATCAAGTCCCACGCGCTCCCTGTCGCCATACCCCTGGTGGCTAAGGAAACAATTCGATCTCCAAGTGAAATGCTCCTAGAGGCATTGAGCTTCGCAATCATGAGTCGCAACGTTGATCTTGTACACGACTTGATTGACAAGGCCTTGGACCAGGACATTGATATCGGATCATGTCATCCTTTCCATTTAGCCGCGACTTATCTCGAAGGGTCTCAAGCCTGCTGTACGGTATTCAGAAACGTCATGGAATTTTTCGATGAAGTTTATCTGGATATTATACCCTTGGATGATTTGGGACACACTATCATAGACAAGCTTATGCTCGTCATCCTGAAGTCCCATTCAACAGCATTGCCATCCATTGTCGACCCGACGAATCACGAGAGACGTTTCCCTGGAGATGAAATCGACATTTGTGGCCGATGGGACGCGGACTCAGACTGTTATCGTTCACTTTTGTCTCGAGGCATCCCCGCAGTTCCCCGGGAATGGAAGCACAAGTTTTGCCACACTTCGGCACAGTCAATCTGCGAAATCATCGATCTTGTAGCGGAACAGATCGACAACAGTAGTGGACTTTACTCAAGGCTTTGCACGTCCTGTGGGTTGAACCTCACGATGTCGCATCTCCACGCGCTGGTTGTAACGGCTTTCCATCTTGCCGAACATGGTGTCGAGGACGAGGATCTTTTTGGGATACTCGCTTGCGTACTTCGAATGCTCGCAAACGGTGTGGATCCTCGCTTGAAGCCAGCCATCTCGATGGAACTCCTCGGCATTCATCCGTCAGGGGACATGGATACTTGTACCCATGAAGATCTGACTCCATATCAACTAGCCCAGTGCCTTGGGTCTTACAGCATATTTTGGCCCGAAAAGCTCGTCACAGGCTGGGGAATTCTTTGCTGGATACTCGGCCGCAGCGAGAAGCTGTGGTGCCTCGATGAAAACGAGGTTTACGACGATGGGTGCGAACATGAGGACTACTTCAGAAATGATGCAACTTTGGCCACCCTTTGGGCATCTGTGCAGACAGAATTGCTCACTTACCGACGTGTCCATGTCAATGACTCTTGGGTTTCTGCCAATTTCGATCTGGAAAGGCTTCTTTGGGGCTTGACAGAGGAAGAGAAAGTGTCTGTGGGTTTGGTTGAGAAGGGCCTTATGAAACCGCATTGCCAGTGTGGGTTTTTCATCAGGGATCCGCCTTGTATGACTGATGTCTCGGCAACCTATTTCTCCAACATGGACATATGGGGACGGGCAACTTATTTACCACTATAGGCTGTCAATGGAAGCAAGCTGTGCGCGCGGTCGTCCTCATACGGGAGAACATCGAAGAACATCCACGTGTAGACTAGCCCAACGCACGCCATGTATTCAGAATCTCTGCATCGCCCATGGGTGTGTGTTCAAAGCAAAAGTGGCAATAACAACAACCCAACTTTCCCCCACAACCCGAACAACACTGGCAGCCCGCTTGCTACCACTCTCTCTACTCCTTCCATCGACTTCAAGCCAGCGGCCCCAACATCAACATCAAGCGTCTCCTCCACTTTCCCATAGTAAACGCCTGTCCATCACTGTCAAACACGCAGATCAACTATAACGTCTGCACCACGCCTTCGGCCCCAGCAGCACCTTTTCCCAATAGACTCGAGCCTTCATAAGCAATCTTGCCACCACAAGAGACGACACAATTTCCTCAGAGTTAGCGGTTTCCTCGGTACGTTTACTGTGCAAGAGGATAGCGTCGTTTACATCACTGTGTCTATCTCTCCTCCGTCCTCAAGACCGGATCAGCAGCACCAAATCCGCGCACCTTGAAGGGCATAGACACCTTGCCAGTGACGACCTGAGCGGTATTCAACCGTTTCAAATGATGGAACGCCGCCAACTTCTCCCGCATCTCCGGGGTCCCGATCTGCAGCTGCTCCAAAATCTCGGCCACCACCGCATACACAATCTCCACGCTGCCATCCTCGATCTTGACCGCGATGCCCAGCGCGCCCTCGGCCCCCAACCGCCTCGTCTGCTCCGACGCCCTCACGCCAACCCCATAGCAGCCATCCGCCCCCACCTTCCCGATCAGCATCCCACCAAACGCCTCCATCAGCACCGTGCAGAACCGCCCCTCCCCCCCCACCATCTCGGGATACGCCGCCATCGCGTCAAAAACCCTCGCCATGTCCGCCCGCCTCTCCGCGTCCCCACGCGCACCCAGCCCGCCCCCCGAGTCCGCCCCGCCCCCCGCCCCACCATCGCCATCCCCCGCCGCGTCCCTCGCCGCCGCAAACGCCGCGTACATCCCCGCCAACGCATCCAACGGCACCGCCGGCGCAGGGAGATTGCACCCGTCAACCGCCCACCGCACGTCCTCCGCGCGCAGCCCGCACGTCGCCTCCACGGCCTCCCTGACGCGCTCCTGCATCGGGCTTTCGAGGAGATGATACGCGGCGGGGTCGGCGCCGAGGGCGAGGGCGCCGGCCAGCATGCCGACGTGCTTGCCGGAGCAGTTGTTGCAGAGCGGGCCGGGCACGAAGTCGGACTTGATCCAGGCGCGGTCGACGGCGGCGTTGAGGAGGGCGGGGTGGCCGCCGCAGCGGAGGTCGGATTCGAGGAGCTCGGGGCCGGCTCGGGCGAGCATGGCGGCGGCGCGGGAGAGGTGGCGCGGCTCGCTGGAGTGGGAGGCGCAGATGAGGGCGAGGTCGGCGGGGGTGTAGGCGCAGGTGCGGAAGCAGCCGGTGGAGAGGATGGCGAGGGCTTGGGCGGGCTTGGCGGCGGAGCGGATGAGGGTGGGGCGGTGGGGGTTGCCGAGGGAGTAGAGGAGGGAGGGGCGGTTTGGGGGCGCAGCGGGGGTGGGGGTGGTGGTGGTGGGGGAGGAGGAGACGATGGCGGCGTGGACGGCGTGGCGGTTTTCGATGATGCCGCCGCGGTCGGTGAGGACGAAGTCGGAAGGGGTGGGGGAGGAGGGGGTGGTGGCGGCTGTTTTGGTCATGGTGGTGGGGTGGTGTGTTTCTGGTGTTGGCTGGTACGGGTTGGGTTTTATGGATGGGTGGGGCGACGGGCAGCAGTAGCAGAATATGGGGTTCAACAATTTAGGTGAAGGACGTACTAAGGGCCTATAGGTGTGGCCCTTTCACGTTCTTAACATGAAACGAACATTTGTCGGAACCAAGTAGAAGCCAGAAGAAAGTTTTGGTGAATCATTCTTACTCACCACGTTAGATAGGCAGAAAGTGGTGTCGCCGTTGCGAGCGTCCGTGCATGCATGTTTCATCCGCTGTTATTGGTGCGTTCCTGACAGCTTACTGTACTTACACAGTGGGCGTTGAGATGGACCAATCATGGTCATATGCCCCTGGTTCGGAAAAGGCTCCGTTGTCTTCGGGTTTAGCCGACAATAATGTCCATGACTGCATTTATCCATGATCATTTGGCAATGTGACTTCGTGATGGAATGCCACTACACGCCATCCATGGAATCGTTCCTCAACGCTCCAAATCCTTGTCAAACTCTCGTAGAATTTTGCGCCTTTGGACTTCGGCGTCGCCTTGGGTGGAGCATGCTCGGACTTGTCTATGGTGGATAGCTCGAAAGAGGCACTACTGGCTCTCTGGTAACGGTCATAGGGCGCACTCATTCCTAAGCTGTGCGGCCTCAGGCCTTTTTGTCGGCTCACGGCAGTCGGACGAAATCAGCGCCATGGAACATTGGAAATAGCGTGCATGCCCTCGAGACGACGTCGCTATTTAAATGTGGAACGGCCCCAGTGATCGACAAAAAGTTTCTTGAATCTCGGCAACCATCCTTCTCCATTGTATCGATAACCAAAAAAGAGCCGACCGTGATGTTGCTGGCGTAGGTACGCTGATAGAGGCAGTGCGGAGGGGCGCATTCAGTACGCGCCCAAACGCCACCCGGAGAACCGACTGCTGTCGTTCAACACACGGTATACCCGCCATCAACCTTGATCTCCTGGCCGGTAATGTACCTGGACGCGTCCGACGACAAGAAAACCACCGTCCCCATCAAGTCCTCGGGCGCACCCATCTCCCCCAGCGGGATCATCGCCTCCCATCTCGCCTTCAACCCGGGATCCTCTTTGAGAATCGGCGCATTCCTGATGACATCGCCCACGCACGTCAGCCGAGCAACCTCCACCCACGCACACACACCGTCGTTCGGTGTGGAGCGCAAAAAAACAACAACGAAAAAAATAAGAAACAGATGCAAAACTCACATAGCCACCTCCGTAAGCATATACCCAGGACTAAGACAATTCACACGAATCCCGTCCCCCGCCCACTCCACCGCCAAGCTCGCAGCCAGATGCCTAACCGCCGCCTTGGACGCGTTATACAAGCTCTGCCGCTGCGGGTAGTTCACGACGCTGCCGGAGATGCTGCCGACGAAGACCATGTTGCCGGCGGTCCCGCGTGCCATCATGTGCTTGGCGACGGCGGTGGCGCAGTGGTACGTGCCTTCGACGTTGACCGCGAGCATGCGTCTGATGCGCTCGGGCGGGAAGTCGATCGCGGCTGTGTTTTCGCAGAAGCCGGCGCAGGCGATGAGGTTGGTGATGGGTCCGCCGGCGTGGGCGGTGAGGATTTCGGCGAGGGCGGCGTCGACGGCGGGTTTGGACGAGACGTCGGCGTGGTGGGCGGTTACCTTCGGGGGTCTTTTCCGGGGCTGACTTAGTTGGGCTGGTTTGGTGTTGTGTTTTCTGAAAAAAGAAAAAGAAATAGATGAAAAGGAAAGCGTTTTGGCGTTTTCTTACTTCTGGTCCGGGTACGTCTCGCTGAATGTCTTCGTAATGGCTTGGGCTTGCCGGGCGGCCTCGTCCACTGCTGCCATGTCAGCGCCTGGCGGCATATCCGGCACTGGCTACGTAGAGCGTACCGTTCAAATCAACAATTGCGAGGTTGGCTCCGCTCAAGACCAGGGCGTTACTCATGGCGAGTCCCAGTCCACGTGCTCCTCCGGTGACGACGGCCGTCTTGCCCGCGAGCGAAAAGAAAGGCAACGTCGGCACCGGGGCCGCCGCAGCGGTACTCTGCATCCTGGCTCCCCGGTGCGCCGCCGATTGGAGCGCCTTCACGGCATGTGGACGCTGCAGTGCCGTCTGCGTACAGAATTCCTCGAGCGAGGGTGGAGGTTGTTGGCGCAAGACGGACCATGGTCGCAAGCTTGCCCGCCTTGCAATTTTGGAGCATGCTCTCGGTAGCGACATTTTTGAAGGAAAAAGAGAAGCCGATGCTGTTGCTTTTTTGTCACGGTGTTGTTGTTGTGCTGTTTGGAAATCCACCTTCATTTGCGGGGGATAAGAAGGCAGGCCCTCGACACGAGGGCTGCCCCACTGCATCCAAATCGAAACGAGGGCCAAGGTGTGGCGCGCTATGGTGAAACCCTCCACTTGGAAAGTACAAAATCGTGGGGTCTCCAGATTTCAGCCAAGCCATGCCGCCGCTGGTGTCCACTTCATCCAAATTCGAGAACGTATATCTGTACCTACGAATGATTCTGCTAACTACCAGCTCTGGTGTGGGGTCTCCAGATTTCAGCCAAGCCATATCGCGGCTGGTGTCCATTTCATCCAAATTCGAGAACGTACGTCCGTACCTACGACTGATCCTGCTACCTACCAGCTCTGGTACTCCGAAACACTGCCAGTGGATAAATTCGAACAAAACTATATTGTCTACTATCGATACCAAGTCAAACAATCACACTATCGGAAAACCATGTCATCAAACAAATATACGAATAAAGCGGCATGAATAGTAAACATCTGCTATCGTCACCCTCATGCGCTCACCGTTCATTTCTTGAAGGGACGTTACTCCCCCACCAACCAAACTGTCGTCATATCCAACCATGGAGAAAAAAACCAAAAAAAAAAAAAAAAAACAAAACCCTACGCATTCCTCCCCCACCAAACGCCAAAACGCGCCGCCGCCACCTTCAAACGTACACCATCGTCTCAAAACCACCTCAAACAGCAGCACCCCGATCGTCCGCAACCCTTTCCCTCTCCCTCTCCCTCAACCACACCTTGACCGGCATGTCCCCGAGCAGCCAATTCATCGTCTCCTCGCGCCTCACCTCCCACCGCGGCCCGGGCAGCGCAAACTCGTACCTGCGCACGACCGACGCCAGCACGACCGCCTGCTCCAGATACGAGACGTTGCGCCCGACGCACCCGCGCGCCCCCGCCGAAAACGCTATAAAGTACGGCTGCAACGCCTTGCCCGCCTCGCCCAGCCAGCGCTCCGGCACGAACGCGTCCGCGTCGGGGAAGACGCTTTCGTCGCGGTGCGCGACGAGCGCCGACACGGCGACCGACGTGTTGCCGGCGACCCAGGCGCCGAGGATGGGGCAGCCTTCGGCGGGGGTGGCGCGGGGGAGGCCCTGCGGGGTCGGGGGGTGGAGGCGGAGCGATTCGTCGAGGCAGGCGCGCGTGTAGGGGAGGTGTTTGATTTTGGCGTAGGGGGCGACGATGGAGGCGGCGTCGTCGTCGTCGTCGTCGTCCAGCGCGGTGTCGACTTCTTCGCGGAGGCGGCGCATGGCGGCGGGGTGCTTGATGAGCTGGTGCAAGGCGTTGGTGAGGGCGATGGCCGTGGTGACGGAGCCGGCGTTCAGCATGATGGAGACTTCGGCTACGATCTCGCCCCATTCGAGATTGTTTGGGCGCCCGTGCTTGTCTTCCATGAGGGAGTGGAAGAAGTCGTCCTGTTTTTCGCCGCGCTCGTGGCGCTCGAGGCGGCGGAGCGCGAGCTCGTTGGGGATGCCGTCCCACAGCTTGCCGTTGGCGCCCATCTTGCGGTAGCGCGGGATCAGGTTGGTGAGCTTGTCGAGGACCCTGTACCAGTCGTACGACCAGACGATGTGGGATTGCTTGCGGGCGTTGTCGTAGAGGCACTCGCGGAAGTGGCAGGTGTAGCTCGTGCCGTCCGGGCGGCGCACCGTGATCAGGTCGTCGCCCGCGTCGAGGAACCCGAGACGCTCCGAGAGCCCGATGTCGGCGATGGCGTCGAGCGAGAAGAAGTTGGCCCACTTGCGGTAGTCGACGGTGAGGTCTTCGGGGTTGGGAACGGTCTGGCCCTTGGGGAGTGGCGCGGTGCAGCGCTTGTCGAACTGGTCCATCATCTTTTGCGTCTTGTCTGCGACCTTGTGCTCCCACTCCTCTAGGTTCTTGAGCGCGTAGGCCGCCGACAGGACCTTGCGTTTGCGGGAGTGGTCGGGCTTGTCGATGACATCGGCAAGGTGGAAGTGCGAGCCCGAAGTGACGAGGTACTGGCCGTCCTTGGTGCACTTGGTACCGTGGCCGTAGATGTCCTTGATGGCGCGGGTATCGCCGTAGGACAGCGAGTTTGGGCCGGTCCGGATGACGGGATGCTTCTTGTGCAGCTCAACCATGTGCGTCGACCGGGCGCCACCACTTGCCAGCATCATGAACGGGATGTTGTAGATGCCCGAGAGCGGCGACAAGTTGGGGTATTTCCGGAGACCTGGTCGCGGTCAGCTGCGTTACTTTGCTCAGCTCGGCCGGGGTGGAAGTGCCTTTGGGATCACGGAAGTATTCGAAGACGGGGTAGACAACGAAGTAGCCCAGCAGGCAAACGCCCAAAAGGGCAGTGTATGGAGCGGCAATGGCTATCATTGTTGAGGGAGAAGCGGATGAGAAAACTGGAATTGGTTGAGCACCCGGCGGCTGGTTGACCAAGAGCGCTGCTGTCGTCGTCCTTATATCCCACCTGTGCAGCCTCACGGGGTCGGGCGTAGTTGGCCGCCCGCCGCAAGGGAACGGGAAGGCAAATTTGGCCTCGAATTTGCGTGTATGACCTGAATGGGAAATTCACATGGTGGATGGCGCCCTTGGCAGGGCCTTTGCCGGCCCTCGTACGGAAGAAGTTTCCGGCCTGGGCTTGCCAGGAGGAGGTCGGACCGGGGCAGTGCCGAACATGATTGGCGCTATCCGTGGCAAAGGCCAGAGCACAATCTTTGCCCTGCCAGCGGAGGTGCGAGGGCCAGGCGGGGGCGACGGCTTTCTTGCGGGGGTTCCCCACACAAGATGCCCCGCGTTTCGTGACGTGCAGACGGGAGAAGTTGCCAAATTCATGACGTGAACTTTCCCAGTCGGGCGAAGAGAACAAAGTCTTGTTTTGACTTCCTGTCAGCAGTAACTCACTCACTCAGAATCCCGCTCTACGTTTCCCAGGACTCCCTCAACGTCGCAACGATCCGCGAAGATCGCCATCCAACCTTCTTCTCCAGTTCCAAAAGGAATTGAACAGCTCCTTCGCGGTCTGCTTCATCTTCGAGATATGACCCGCCTGTCAAAGTCAGCAAGCTAACCTAATCGCTCACTCGACAGATCTACTCACATGCGCAGAGAATGTGTGATGCATGGAAGGTCGCCGCCGGCACACCCTCGTTGCTGATAGCAAGACCGATGACGGTGCGGAGGTGTTTTACAATGGTGGCCTGGTGACGCATTAATGTCAGCATTCTGGAAACGCGCGCCTCTTCATTGACCCACATCTGCATTTTTGCGAAGTTTGTGGCTACCGAAGCCCAGCCGCGACAAGCGTGGGTCAAACGTGCCCAGGAGAATCTTGGACAGGCTGTAGTACTGCTGCCCCACAACTGATCGTCTCGTCAGTGGCCGCGAGGGCGGCAAGTCGGTCGGGGGCGCGTATCTACTTACCGTGTGCGGGCCCCGTCATCCAAATCTCAGGGAACGGAAGCGTCTCCTCCCGGATCCACAGGGGACGGAAATGCCACGGCTTGCTGTGGTTCCAGGACTCGACCTGCTCATCGAGTTCCTCCCACCGCTCCACCGAATGCACCTGGTCTTGGCGGCACGAGTAGTCGAGGATCTCGGCGAAGATGAAGATCATCCTGTTCGCCCAGGCGCTCGACGTGTCTGCGTGGAACGACGGGGACTGCCTGTAGTTTTCCAGGTCGATGTTCAGCGGCTGCCCTGTCGTCAGCGCGACGTAGATGTCCTGGCGCAAGAAGATCCACGACGCAGCCTCTCCGAGTCCGCCCAACGGCACAAACTTGGCGATCGAGTTCAGCAGTCGCGTGCCACCGTACAGGTGGCACTTCTCATCGATGTCTAACCAGAATCAGCCACACGGGAACCACCAATCGGGCACGTTTCCCTCACCGTCCATTTCCTCATACAGCCGAAGGATCACGATGGCGGCCAGGAGGTTCTCGTCCAGCGCACCGAGCGGGTCGTCCAGAACGGGGATCAAAATCCGCAGGCACTCGCTCATGTACTCGGCGGATCTAAAGTCCTCGACACCGGACACCCGGGCAAGGTGCCTGGAGGCCAAGGCCAGGATGGCATTGGCTATGACGGGATAGTTCAAGGCGCGCAGCGGCACTTCTGTTGAGAAATGGAACTTCTCATCGCCTGCAGGGAGTCAGTTTCGGCACAAAACGCGGGCGCAGACATTGGGAAAAGGCTCACAGCAATCGACCTGTGCACAATGAATCAGTACTTGGCCCGCTGCTGTGGATTTTTTTCGGGGAGACTTACCCACGCCCCAAGGTGCTTGACGAAATGATGGAAGAGACGGGCCTCGTCCTCAGACCGCAAGGGCCACTCTGTCGACGGCTGATACAGAGACGACTTCCAGTAGCTGGCGCCAGAACCGACGGTTGAGGCATCGCCACCGCCGGGGGTGGCGGAGCTGGGGGGAACATCGCTCCTGTTTCCGAAAGGGGAATACGGGGAGCCAATGTTGACAGCATCCAGCGGCGGGGCGGGCGAGTGATCGGTAGCTGCGGGGATTGCTGCGATGGTAGTAGTGGTAGTGATGGGCGTGGTCGTCGTCGGCAGGTCGCGAAAGACGGAGGCGTCAGGCAGTTCGCTGGCTGGGGGTTCTTCCGGGCTGAAGCCAAGGCGCGCGGGATACGTCACGGCTTGGTCCTCATCCAGATCCTCAAGGGTGGTGGCCGGGGTGGCGAAGGTCACTGCATCAGGGGGTATGAGCTACCGTTGTTACACGGCACTGGGCGGGACGGGACGAGACGAGACGACGTACCTGCCGGGGGCACGCGCACCCAGACTTGGCTCTTCTTCCAGCTGAGCTCGTAGTTCCGATCGGCGTCGTCGTCTGCGGCCGGGGCCCTCTTCTCGCGGACCGACGTCACGGCGCGGAAGCGGATGGTGATGCCGCGACGGCATTCTCGGCCGGACTTTTCGCAGCGCTCGCAGGTGTTGCACCCCGGCTGGGTGATGCCTGACGTGATTGGTGAGCATTAGGTTTGCCACAAGCCGGGTCGCGACGGGCCGCAGGGTTGACGTACATTTGAGATGGCGACGCTTGCATTCATGGCTGGGCAGGGCGGGTGGCGTCAGCTCAGGCGGCAGCAGCTAAGGGCGGGACAAGAATGCCAATACTGACCAGCCTCTGCTCGTTCTCATGGTGCCGTGGAGTCGGGTTGATCGGATGCATGGAGTTGCGGGCGTGCACGATGAGGGGAGGCAAGAAAGCCCGGGCGGGAAGGGCAGAGACGCAGAGGCGGTTATACGGCGGTCAGGCCAGGAAACCATTCCCCGACCAGAACCGCCGGGCCGCGGGGCAATTTTGCTGCGCGCCGGCCAGTTCCCCGCTTTTCCATGTCCACAGACGGTCCTCCTGCTGCTTGATGAAATCAACAAATAGCTAGCGCTCCGACTACTGGTCTGCACCAGCTCTCGAAATGCACGACCGGGGCGGGAGCGGCCCCGTGGGGTTGGCGCCGCAAAACCTGGGGAAACAGTCCTGTCGCCATGACAAATAATTTTCCGGGTGCATGCGATCCAGAGGCCAGCACCAGTCGAGTCGCGCGAGAGCGCTGGTGACCATCATCGCTACGTCGCCTTTTTCGCATCGGGCGTCGCCGCCATCTGCTTCTTCGCCTAGTTATTCCTGCTTTTCGGCTACCCGGAGGTCGAGGGTCTTCCGCGGAGACCATCCGTGACGTCTATACGCATGGCTTTGGCGTCAGGTACGCGGCGAAACTGCAGAAGGAGAGGAGGATTGCGGAGACGGCAGGCCAGTCGCAGGCATGGAGGGTGGCGACAAGAGCGTGTTTGACTTGGGGCAGTCGCGCCAGGCGCCAGGCACCAGGCACCCAGGCACTCGGTCGTCCGGCCGAACGTCGGAATCGAGGGCGTGACTGCGCGACGCGCCAAAACGCGTCCACCGTTTGCCGCTCCACTTTCCACTCAACACCTTCGCCGTCCACCCCGTTCCGTCGCAACCATGGCCCCGAACGAACCGTCCGCCAGCCTCCTGGCGGCTCAGCAACGCAACTTCCACCACCCGTACGAGCCCTACGAAATCCAGAAGCAGTTGATGAGTGCTTTGTACGAGTGCATCGAGACCGGAAAAGTCGGCATCTTCGAATCACCCACAGGTGAGCCTCCTGGCCTCTCGACTGTCTGATTCCGCCTTGACTGAGTCATGTAGGAACGGTGGGTTCAATTCCAGCCCTGCCCATCTCACCCGCCCGTGAGTTCATGTCCCGCTCGGGAATCTTGTCGCCCATCTTTACCCTGCTGGAGACCACACCTCTCACCCTCCTCCCCGAGTTCGATCTCCATCTCCATGAGCATGGCCTGACTAACTTTGTCCACAGGGCAAATCTCTGAGTCTCATTTGCGCATCTTTGACCTGGCTACGGGACCACAAGCGCCGCACCTTTGAAGAAGGCCTTGCCACCGAGACTCTTGGTCAGTCCCTATTCGCGCTTCTTGGAAGCTTCCTGTACTGATACCTCTCGAGACCAAGATGAGCCCGAGTGGATGCTGGAGTACGCTCGCGGGGAGAAGCGCCGCGCCGCCTTGCAGCAACGCGCCGACCTGGAGGAGAGACTTGCAAGAGTGCGCGCAAAGGAGAAAAAACTGAAGGAAAGGTATTCAAATGGCGAGCCTCATTTCAAGCGACAGGTACCTCGACCCTCCAGTCCATTGCTCCCATTATTGGGCTGACAGGTCCAGAAAACCGCTGCCACTGACCCGGATCTCGATGACGATGACGAGGCCCGTTTTGTACTCGACGACTATGAGAGCGATGATGAGACTGCCAAAATGGAAAAGTCCCACCGGAACCCCGAGTCTGGATACTCGGCCGAAACCGAGGCCCTCATGAAAAAGTTGGGCATGCCAATCGGGAAAAAGGGCAGTGATGAAGACAGTGATGTCGTGGATGAGCTCAAAGTCTTTTACTGCTCCCGGACACATTCCCAACTGTCTCAGTTTTCTGGCGAGCTGAGACGCGTCAGGATGCCCCCTGCAATCACCTCGACTACGTCCAATGCTAAACCCGACGCCGATGACGAGGTCGGAGAAGCTTTCAAACACCTTACCTTGGGATCGAGAAAAAACCTCTGCATCAACCCCAAGGTCCAGAAGCTCGCGAGCACGGCGCTCATCAACGAGAAGTGTCTTGATTTGCAGAAGCCGGGGACCGCCGCAGACCACAAATGCTCTTTTCTTCCGACAAAAGAGACCGAGGCTATTGTCAACGACTTCCGTGACCACGCTTTGGCCGATGTCCGGGATATTGAGGATCTGGGTGCCATAGGCAAGAAGCTCGGCGTCTGTCCTTACTACGCATCTCGCCCGGCCGTCAAACCAAGCGAGGTAAAACATCACGCTTCGAGCACCACATCGATATGAATGCTGACCAGACCTAGATCGTCACACTGCCGTATCCCCTGCTACTTCAGAAGAGTGCCCGAGAAGCTCTTGATATCAACATGAAAGACCACGTTGTCATCATCGACGAAGCTCACAATCTCATGGATGCCATCAACGGAATCTACTCCGTCTCCGTCTCCCTCTCACAGCTGCAGCGCTCCCGAAGCCAGTTGACCACCTACCTTCAAAAATTTCGAAACAGGCTGAAAGGCAAGAATCGGGTATACGTTGCGCAGACGGTCAGGTTACTGGACTCACTGGTAGGCTACTTACAAGGCACAGCGGCCAAAGCTACTGACGCGGAGGGCGTGGTGCAAATCGGGGACCTCATGTCCGGTAAAGGCGTGGACCAGATCAACCTTTACAAGCTGCTGCGGTACCTGGACGAGAGCAAGCTGGCACGAAAAGTCGACGGGTACATCGTCTACGCCGAAGAGCACGATAACGACAAAGCCGCCGCATCACGAAGGTCAACTCAGCCACGCGAGGCGAAGTCCTCTATGCCGGTGTTGATGCACATCCAGAGCTTCTTCTACGCCCTCCTCAACCCCTCCGCCGAAGGCCGCTTCTTCTACGCCAAGGATGACGATGATCTGGGACTGTGCTTGAAATACATGCTCTTAGATCCTACCCACCACTTTCGCGAGATCGTGGACTCTGCCCGCGCCGTCATCCTCGCCGGCGGAACCATGTCGCCCGTGCGCCCCTCCCTTGTCCCACCTCCCCATCTCACCCCCGCTGACACACCGCCGTACCACAGATGAGCGACTACTCCCAGCACCTCCTCTCCTACCTGCCAGCATCCCGCATCATGACCCTCTCCTGCGGGCACGTCATCCCGCCGTCCAACCTCCTCGCGTGGCCCGTGACGAGCGGTCCCAGCGGCGCGCCGTTCGACTTCCGGTTCGAGAAGCGCAACTCGGAAGCCATGATGGTGGACCTCGGCGCAGCTCTACTGACCTTCACGTCTGCCATCCCGGACGGGGTCGTCGTGTTCTTCCCGAGCTACGCGTACCTGGACCGGTGCCTCGAGGCGTGGAGGCGGGTGGCAGCACCACCGTCGTCGTCGTCGACGTCTACTGCCAAAACGATGTACGCAGCCCTCGCCTCCATCAAGCCCATCTTCCACGAGGCCAAGACCAAGGCGGCCACCAGTACCGCCACCACTCCTCCCATGACTACCGATGCCGTCCTAGCCGCCTACACGCATGCCGTCACGACCGCCCCGGGTGGACGCGGCGCCCTCCTCCTCGCCGTCGTCGGCGGCTCCCTCAGCGAAGGCATCAACTTCAGCGACAGCCTCGGCCGAGGCGTCGTCGTCGTCGGGCTGCCGTACCCGCCCGCGCAGTCGGCCGAGTGGAAGGCGCGGTTGGGGTACGTGGCGCGGAAAGCGCGTGAAGGCGGCGAAAGCGCAGACGGGAAACATGCAGCCCGCGAGTTCTACGAGAACGCGTGCATGCGGGCGGTGAACCAGTGCGTGGGGAGAGCGATCAGGCATCGCGGGGATTATGCGGCTGTGTTGTTGGTGGATAGGCGGTATGAGGGAGGGTCGGTTCGCGCGAAGTTGCCGGGGTGGATCAGGGGGAGTTTGAAAAGTGCGGCGGGGGCGGAGGTGGTGGGGAGGGGGTTGGAGGCATTCTTTAGAGAGAAGGCGAGGGGATGAGGTGGATTTGGATGAGGTTCTCTCGGCCGCGACATTCTCATCTTTGGCGGAAAACGCCGAGATGCAGTAGGGCGTAGCTGGGTGTAGGTATAACCAATGGCAAAAGCTTCGGCTAACCGAGATGCCGGCCACGGACAACAGGAACGATGAGTCAATCAACTCTTGCTATCACTCAGGTTTCATTCCTCACCAAACACAAATCATTTACATGCCTTGAAAACAGAATCCCCACAGAGCACAGTCTCAATGGCGACAGGTACCCCGCCCGACAACGTCGACCCCGGCGCTCCCTCCGCTCAGCCTCGGGCCACCAAGCGCTTCAACATCATCCACGAGGGCGTCTCCACCGACCGCTCAAGCTTCACGCCCTACGATGTCATCACCGAAATCTGGACTGGGCTGGGCTTGCCCCGCGACGCACTCGCCTCCGTAAACCTACCAGGCAGCGACGACGCCGGACCGGTGCTCCCCTCATCCTACCGCATCGGCTGCCTCGCGCAGAGCACCATCGCCCTATGCGCCCTCTCGGCAGCCCTGGTCCGCTCCGTCCGCACCAACGGCATCAGCAGCAGCAGCAGTCTCTCCCTCCCGCGCGTCACCGTGCCCCTGCGCCACGCCACGGTCGAGTTCCAATCCGTCGAGCACTGCAGCATCCTCCCACCGTCACCGTCACCATCCCCAGCTGGACCCCCACCCCTCCTCGGCCTCCACCCCACCGCGTCCGGCGGCCACATCCGCATCCACTCGGCGTTCCCGCACCACCGCGACGGCGCCCTCCGCCTCCTCGGCCTCGACCCTTCCTCCCACTCCTCTCTCACCCGCGCCGACGTCGACCGCCAGACCCGCCGCTGGGACAGCAAAGCCCTCGAAAGCGCCGGCCTCGCCGCCGGCTGCGCCATGTACGCGCTGCGCACCTACGCCGAGTGGGACGCCCACCCCGCCAGCCAGGCCGAGCCCGACTTTCCCATCCGCATCCGCCGCGTCGACACGCCAGCACCAGCAACCTCTCCCTCTCCCTCACGATCCCCTCCCCACCCCCTCCGCATCCTCGACCTCACCCGCGTCATCGCCGGCCCCCTCGCCTCCCGCGCCCTGGCCGCCCACCTGCGCCCTCCCCTAAGCGACGTCCTCTGGCTCACCGCCCCGCACCTGCCCGCCCTGCCCGCCGTCGACCGCGACCTCGCGCGGGGGAAACGGGCTTCCGCTCAGCTGGACCTGCGGCGCGAGGGCGATGCCGCGAGGTTGCGGGCGTTGGTGGGCGGCGGGGACGGGGATGATGCAACGGGTGGGGGTGGAAGGGGTGGGTGCGATGTGTTTGTGCAGGGGTATCGGCCGGGGAGTTTGGAGGCGAGGGGGTGGGGGGTGAGGGATGTGGTGGGGATGAGTTCCAGAGGGATCGTGGTGGGGAATGTGGCGGCGTTTTCGGGGGGTGGCGAGTGGGGGGCGAGGAGGGGGTTTGACAGTTTGGTGCAGACGTGTAGCGGGATGAATGCTTCGGAGGCGGAGCATGCGGGGGAGAAGGGGGGCAGGCCGATGCCGTGTCAGGCTTTGGATCACGCGACGGGGTATCTGCTGGCGACGGGGATTTGCGCGGCGCTGTACAGGCGGGCGGTCGAGGGGGGCGGCGGGTCGTATTGCGTGGATGTGAGTCTGGCGGGGACGGCCAAGTATTTGCGGAGCCTGGGTCAGTATGAGGGGAGGTCGGGGTTCGAGTGCGAGGGGATCCCCGCGGACGAAGTCGAGGGCTACATGGAGGTGCGGGAGAGCGGGCTGGGAATGCTCAAGGCGGTGCGGCATTCCGCCAGCATCGAGGGGTACGAGACTGGCTGGGATTACATGCCGAAGCCGCTTGGGAGCGATGAGGCGGAGTGGCAGAGTTGAGTGGAGTGTTGTCTTCTGTGGCAATCTACGTATACTAGCGCTGCCGCTCTTTCCACTCATGCTCCAGCACTGAAAACTGCAACACGTCATGCCACGCGCCGTTGAACCACACTTCCTCCCTCCTGCGCCCTTCGGGAACGAATCCCAGCCGCTCGTACAGCCTCGCAGCGCCGGGGTTGTAGGAGAAACACTGGATGCCGATGCGGTGCAGCCCCGCGGTCCGAAACCCCCAGTCCACCATCCACCGGATAGCCTCGCTGCCGTAGCCCTTTCCCCGGTGGGCTTCGATGACGTCGATGGCGATGCTGCTGTTGCGGTGGTGCTCCAATCCAGCACACGGCTTCGCGAGGGAAACGATGCCGATGGGCACGGGATCCTTTTCCGCGGGGTTGCTGAGCGGCGCGATGCAGATGATGACGGCTATCAGGCGCTCTTCGTCGAGGTGCTTTTTCCACTCGGCGCTCGACTTTGTGGTTTCGGGCCGCAGCAGGGCCATGTTGGAGAGGGCGTAGGCTTCCGGGTCGTCTTGGACCGAGTGCACGAATGCCGCGTCTTCGGGGGTGTCCTTGATGGCCCGGTAGAGCAGTCGTTCGGAGCGGAAGGGATTCCTCATTGCGGGGGTGGATTGGTTGTGCTGGTGTCAAAGCGACGTGACTTGATGCTTTGACTTATATCGTGACGGCCGCGTCACCGATTTCTGGTTTTGTCGGCCCCGCATGTGCGGTGACCCGGTCAGGAAGGTGCATGACTCGAGTTGCGGAAGCGGGGGCTGTGTGTGCTCTCACCGGGCTCGCGATGCTACCGATGACCATACACAATCAAGTCTAGCCCGCAGTCCAGCGATAGCGGCGTTGTGGGGAACAAGCAAGAATGGGCCGTGGAATTGAAGCGAGGCCTCGTCGGGTGTTGTCCCTGTGTGTTCGAATACCGAAGAACCACATCCATGCGGAACTCGCGAGAACACTTTTGGAGTCATCGCCAGCAGAGACCAAGCCGTATTCCTTGAATTGTGAAAATGGACGGTGCAGAAGAGGCTTGCTTGCTGTAATCCGTCAACGGGAACGGAGATTGCGGACACTTCCCGCCATTCCCCCTCGGTACCGTGCGTCTCATTCCTCCTGGTCAAATATCAAATTCCACCGCCACCTTGATACTACAAGGAACGTTTATGAACCTCAGTGCTGCCGACTTTTCCGATCTCTCCAGAATTCTCCCCTCACCATGGCTCTGTTCTTCTTGATTGGCGCCTTGCTGGCACCGTCAGTCTTGGCCCAGTCAGCCCAGCTTCCACTGGTCGTCGAGATCCGGATCGCTCCGACCGTTTTCTTGCAGCCCGTTCTGGTCTCGATTTTCGTCCCTCAAGACACGTTGCTCAGCGCTGGCTCCGGCGCTGTCATCCCAGTCACCGATGCTCCGACATTTCTCAACACCGTCATCACAGCCACAACACTCCTCGTCCGGACCTCGACTCGAACCGTGCGACTACAGCCCTCGACAACTCAGCTCTCAGCCACTCAGACAAGCCTTGGCTCGACCATCTCCTCCACTGTCGAGAGTACACTCACTTTTGGTTCTCCCTCTGATTCTTCTTTGGAACCAAGCGATACTTTTGTGCCGTCGGAATCTCTTCCCACCAGCGTGTTCGACGAATCTACGAGCACTTCTGCTCCTGCGTCTCCAGGCGTTTCTTCTACAAATGACTTGGACACCCTATCCTCTGTGGCGACGAGCTTCGGTTTCACTTCTGCTGAAACCGAATTCCAAGGTTCTGTGTCCCTTCTGTCCGCACTGACAGACACTTTTGAACCTTCCAGTCTGTCCACGAGTGTTTCGAGCTCGTCTTCCGCAGTCCTTCCTAGTATGGGAAGCCCCAGCTCATCCGTTCCAAGCTCCGTCTTTGATTTCTTGACCGCCACAATTTCCGGACAATCATCAAATATCTCTGGAGACTCGAGCGGACCAGTGAATCCCACCAAGTCCGCGTCTCTTTCGGTTTCCTCGGAATCATCTCAGAGCTTTCTAGACGAACAATTTTCAGACCCGTTTGTGGATACGACGTTTGCTTCGACTTCCGGTCTGGTTCTTGCCTCCAGCGGGCAACCCCTACCTTCGAGCTCCTCAGAGTCAGGCACAAACCTCTCGGGATCGATTGCTGCCTCTACAACTACACCATTGTCGGGTATTGAGGCGTTCTCAACATCCTCAGCGTTGTCGACCAGCCTCATGGTCGGGTCATCTCTAAACCCCAGCGAAGCCTCTGCACTTGTTGCTTCGTCTGTTACGACGACAACACTGTGAAGCATTGGGTCAGGCAGTTATGTTGTTCCAACTTCTGAAGAGTCCACGGCTTCTGAACACACGCATACATTCTCATTCGTGTCCGATTTAACTTTACTCATTCTTTTCATCGTCTGCTTTAGTCTCAAGGAGCCGAGGTTCACCGACGGGACATGAAGTGTTCATGCACCAACAACATCACTAAAGAGTGTTATCCCTAGAAGTCTCAGCATCGGGTCAAGGGCTACGTCAGTATCTTCGAGGAGTGAAGCTTCTTTTGTCAAGACTCGAGCCAGTAGCTTCAAGTAGCAAATTGTCCCCATTCAGCCCAATTACGGTTCAATCGTCCAGCTTGCCAGCAATGAATACCACATTTAGGACAGTCCCTACTCAATCTGCCATGGTGTCTACTCCGTCTTCAGCTCCTGGAAGTCGTTCAATTGTCGTGGCATCAGTAACTCCATTGTTTTCGCCATCGTGATCGTGAGCTCTACTACAATGACCAGCAGCAGACCACAACTTCCATCGTGAACTTTTGTGCCTCAGTCAGTGTCTTCATCATCGCCATTGTCACTTTTAAAAAAAAGTAAAACGTTAGCCCCGTAGCTCCGCGCACGCCCCCACACAGAGCCGCCGCCACCAAGCACAGCCACTACGCGCTAAGGACTGAATCCTCCCTAACCCTCTGCGCCACACCTACCTACATCTCATCTCCATCCGACCGTGCCCCTGACTAAAAAAGACCAAGCCCACTCCCACAATCCCCACCCCCAAAAAAAACCACCGGGCCCCTTGGAAAAGAAAAAAGTACCACCAAAAACAACGACAGACAACCGCCCTCAATTCCACTTTATACCCGCAACACTGCAGTCTCGACTCGGTCGCGCACAGCGACCAGCGACCTCGCCAACGAGAGCATCCGCCGACCCTTGGCGCCGTCGCGCAGAACACCTCTCTCTCTCTCCCTCCGTCCCTCACGCCAAACCTCCATCCACCCATCCACCCATCCAATATCGATCCATCACCACCCCCCTCAAAACCCCCCACCTCAACCCATGTCCCCCTCCCCACCACCCCAACCCATGGCCCCCCCTCATCACGAGCACGACAAACACCCACCCCCCAAAATAACAATCTCCACCCTCCTCACCCCACCCACCCTCTCCCTCACCGGCCCGCAGCCTTACCCGCCCATCACCCTCCGCCTGACCCTGTCCCTCGCCGCGTCGGCCCCGGCGCCCGTCACCCTCTCCACCCGCGTCGGGATCCTCGATCCGCGCCGGCACAGCCCGCAGTGTGCGGCGTATGTGGGGTTGGTGAGGAGCACGAGCACTTCCACGACTACGAGTACGAGTGGCTCGGCCGGGGCAGCAGGGGAAAAGGAGGGCGAGCGCGAAAGGCCGGAGAGGCGGGGCGCGTGCGTCAAGCTGGGGGCGGGGGCGGGGGCGGGGGGGTCGTCGTCATCGGCGGCGTCGTCGCTGTTTTCGCGGTCGAGCGACGGCGGGGGCGGAGGCGGGACGGTGGCGCTCGACGCGCGGAAGCATCTCGTGACGATCCAGCCGGGGGGCAGCGTGGAGAGGGAGTTTGTGGTGAGCGGGTACGGGGGGGACGGGGACGAAGACCGGCCGGTGGGGCCGGGGGAGCGGCGGGCGCGGAGGCGGGGGTGGTGGGTGGTGGGGAGTGGGTTGGGGGATTTGAGGGTCGAGGAGGGGTATGAGGTTGAGGTTTTGATGGGGGAGGCGGGGGCGGGCGGGTTGGTGGAGTGGTGGGAGTGGGGGGCGAAGGAGGAGGTGGTGAGGAGGAGGGTGGGGAGGGTGAGGAGGGCGGTGGGGTGGGGGCGGTTCAGGGCGGAGAGGAGGGAGGGTGAGGGTATCGTGTGGGAGGAGGGCGAGAGGGGGACGATCAGGCTTGTGGAGTGAGGGAGGGTCCGGGGGGCGAGAGCGGGACCATCAGGCTTGTGGAGTGAGGGAGGGTCCGGGGGGCAAGAGGGGGACCATCAGGCTTGTGGAGTGAGGGAGGGTCCGGGGGGCGAGAGGGGACGATCGGGCTTGTGGAGTGAGGGAGGGTCCAGGGGGATGAGTCGTGGTTTGGAGATGTGGACTAGAGGAAGGCGGAGTTTATTTGGGTTCTGCAGACGACGATTCGTGGCTACTCTGCGGCAGTGAGTGTTCCACGGGTTTGACTAATTACGTCATTGAGCCTCTGCACCTTCCATCTGGTCCACGGTCCAGCGCTGCAGCAGGTGCCCGGTGCGCCTTCCTCAACAGTTGACCGATTGCGTCATCGAACCTCTGAGTTTTCGACCGATCCATTATTGCACTTCTGTCCACGTTGCACTTCTGTCCACGTTGCACTTCTGTCCACGCTTCTTTACTTTTAAGCTCCCACCGCGCACTTACACCACTACTACTATCAAGCTCACCGAACACATGCCACCACCATGTCTACTTCTCCGATCCAACCAAACTCTCCTGCCGCGGCCGCGTCGCACTCCGCAAGTCCAGAAATATCAACAGCGCTTCAGTTGGAGCTCCCCCAGCAGCGATCGACGAAGACGGAGAGCAAATACAAGCACCGTCTCGAGCGAAGCCGCGAGGCTTCGGAAGAGGCTCTCCACAAGTATTGCAAGCTTTCCCAGGGTAGCGCCCCAGAAGCATCTCGCCACAACCATGCCCTCAACCTCATCGAGTCAGCTACAAAAGTACTAAAGGCCCAACAAAGCGAGGCCGCACTTCGCGTGGAGTCGCTCACGGCGGTGGCGGAGAAGGCAGTACAGCGCAAGCTCACGAACGAAGAGTTCATGGACGTCCAGCATGACATATATGTCTGGACACGGGCTCGTACCTCCCAAGAGATCTTCTTACGGTCCGCAGAATCGCAAAGAAACTCAATCGTGGAGCAGCTGGCTGAACTCCCGGCCGAGAAGACTCAAAAGGTTTTGGAGATGCTCCTATGCGTCCCCATCATGCAGAGGCGTCGTTCGAGGCCGAGCCAGGCCCACTGGAGGAAGGCTGCAGTCGAGTACTACGACGCTCAGCGCCAAGTTCCTTTTCCTGCCGTCCCCCCTTCCAATCCAACTTCCAAACCCCAGACTATTACGGTGTGCTGGGATCCCATCATGCGCGCATGGTATCCGGCGAATGAAGTCAAGGCAGCGCACATTCTGCCCTATAGCATGACGAACGAAGTGCTACAGATGATTTTGGGCGAGGGCGAAGGTGCAGAAGTGCTCCTCGACATCCGAAACTGTCTACTCCTCTGGGAACCAATCGAAGCAGCGTTCGACAAAGGCATCTTTGTCCTTGTTCCAGACCAGCCTGCTGCGGAAGGACAGACCACCGAGTACAAGCTCGTACTGCTCGACGAAAGCTACCGCACAGCCCCAGTCAAGTTTGGTGTTTCCACGACTTGGAGTAAACTTGATGGCATCGTCCTCGAGTTCCGGAACGAGTGCCGCCCTCGACAGAGATACATGTATCTCAACTTCGCTTCCAGAATCATCGCAGCGCGAAAGCTTCAGTTCGACACCTACTCTCGTAGCCGCCTCGAGTCCACGGGAAGTGCCTGGGTTTCCCCAGGCAAATGGATCCGCAAGAGCATGATTCGAGAAGTGGCGCGGATCGTGGGTGATCACCAAGTGGCCGACACGTTTGAAGAAGCTTCATTCGAGGACCAAACTGGTCCAGACGGCCCAACAAAGAGTAGGGTGACGAAGGCGGCGGAAGAATGGATCACGGGGACCTTTGAGAGGCGGCTGTTCGAGAGACCCCTCGAGAAGGGCGAGGATGGGGGGTCTGATGAGGATGAGGATGAGGACGCTGAGGATTAGACGCGGAAGAGCCAGGTCCGGAGGTGAGGTTGAGTCGTGGTTTGGACATGTGGACTAGAGGCAAGCGGAGTTTATATACAGCGGTAAAGTAGGGAATCCCGCCTTTTTTATATATTAAGAAATGCCAATCTTATGGGAGTTTCCGCTTGTTGGATATAAGGCCTTTAGGTAGTTCTGAAAATAAGTGCGGCGTCGTGCCCTTGTTTAAGTGCGATAGTTGTGAGCCCGGGTCTCGCTATCTGGCCCGTTGCATTTAAAGTCATCTTCGCTTCATCAAGAGGCACCACTAGTCCAACAAGGGACACGGCGCGAACGCCGAATAAGGGGTTTATAGTTCGAACCACATCAGCCGCCTCTATTAGCGAGCGGCGTAACGATAAAAAGAACCAATAATATTAGATATAAGGCCCTCAGCCAGCACTGAAAACAAGTGCGGCGTCGTACCTTTTCTCAAGTGCGACAGATGCTAATCTTGTGGGAGTTTCCGTTCTTACACGGCGGCAACCCATTTCCCGTCAAGTCTTAGCCTCGCCCATGTGATGAGGAGTGAGCCCACAACCAAAGTCGCGCCTGAGAACATGGACAGGGCGAGGTATCCGTATTGACCAACAAGTTGTCCGGAGATTGGGGTACCGAACAGAGCTCTGTGAAAAGGCGTCAATTATCCATCAGCAAATAGAATGCAGAGGACAACGTACGTCAAGGCAACAGATCCCATGAGGAGACCCACGGCGGTTCCTTGGGTCTCTCGGGTTGCAATCTTCGCCACGCAAGCTGTCTGAAGGCTCAGGATGGCCTGTTCTGTCAGCATCAACACTCAAAAGCGTAGAATGTGGAGCATACCCCGGATGTGAAACCGTATGAAATGGACCAAACAACGACACCGGCCTCGCTCCTGGTGGTAGTCCAGCAGAATGCAATGATTCCAGATAGCAGGGCCGCTCCGGCGCAGAGGTTGAAATGGCCGTAGCGGTCTGCCAGAAAGCCAGGCAGAATGCGTCCGAACAGCGAGGCGGCGTTGAGGAAGGAGATCATGTAGAAAGATAGACTTGTCGACATGCCAAGGGAGCTGGCCCACGAAGAAACATAAAAGAATGGGCTGAAGATTCCGAGGTAGATGACAGCCAAGCCCGTGCAAAGGATGATGAATGCTGGGTTTTTGGCAATGGAGAGGTCCGTCTTTGGTTTCTCGGACTGGACTTTGGGACTGGGCATGGGCTGCGAGGGTCTGACAAAAAGGCAGGAGAGCAAGAGTAAGGGAAGCATGATAAAGGCCACGATGCGCAGGGTCCAGCCAAAACTCACGGCGTCTTGGTTGAGGAGCTCGTCCAACACAATGGGCCAGATCAGCCCTCCGATGGACGAACCACCTATGGTTATTCCGAGAGCCAGACCTCGATTTTTGTGAAAGTTCTTCGAAATGATGGCGATGGCAGGAAACATTACAAAGGACATGCTAAGGCCTTGTAGGACAGCCTGAGCGAGGATGAAGTGGTAGTACTTGGAGGCGAGGGAGGTCATGAATACGCTGAGGAGCAGACCTGTACTTCCAGATATGAGCAGTATCTGGCAATGATGCGTCAGCTCTTGCATTCTGTATCTATATTGTACCGTTGACTTACCGTAGCACCAACACGGTCAACCAGAATACCCACGAGCGGGGCGTTGGCGAACATGATGCCGAGGGCGAGGGAACCAATCCAGGATATGTCAAAGTCGGAACGGTCGGCCAGCTGATGCTCGATGTAGTATGCTTGGAAGACACCAAAGGCATTGGCGATGCCAACAGAGCAGAATAGCGCCAGAAAGGCCCCAACAAGCGACAATACTGCGCGAGCACTGCATGACGGGGATAAGCTGCGGGGCTTACGATTGGGTGTCGAGATCATACCTCGTCTCGCTGGAGAGTGGACTGTCTGAAGTCTGCGAGAGCATTGTGTTCTCGGTGTTCTGAATGAAGAGGTGAAAGTGTCTGGTTCAATGGTAACGATCGGGCGGGTACATTGCCTAAATAGGGATTAGGGTCCGCGGAGGCTCCGAGGGCTTCGGAGGCTCCGGTCAGCTCTCAACCACGTCAAACCACAATCCTACCGCGACATCGATTGCTAATCATGCCGCCGACAAAGCGCCCGCGCCTGGATCCGGTATCCTGCCAGCTGTGCCGCTCCAAGAAGCTCCGCTGCAGCCGTCAGAACCCCTGCTCCAACTGTTCTGCCCGCGGGGCCAGGTGCATCTACGCAGCTGATCCCCCGCCTCAGTACCGCAGCCCTCAACCAGACGACCCCACGGTCAATGCCCGGCTCAAACGCCTTGAAGAGGCCGTCGAAGGCCTCAGGAAAAGCGCTCTGCCTCCTTTGACGCCGGCGTCAGTGGATTCCCCCGCCGCAGCGCTCAACTGGCTCGAAGGCTCGGGCCTCAAGGCCACCAACCAGTATGTGCGCGCATCCGACCACACCGGCGCACTGAGCTTCACCGTTGTGCAAATCGAAGGCTCGAACGAAGCCCTCCCCTCGCACTCGTTCCTCCCAACCCTCTCAGAAACCCTCCGGCTGTTCGCGCACTACAACGAGCAAGTGGGCTACCTGCACCACATCATCCACACCGCCACCACCCTGGCCACCATCCACCAGATCTACGCCGACCTCCCCGACCGGATGAACCCCTCCTCAGCCGCCCTCCTCCTCTCCATGCTCGCCTCGTCCTCGCACTTCTGGGACCCGACCGTCGGCATCTTCAGCAGCGCGCCGCAAGCCCGCCGCGTCTCGCTGTGCTGGCTGGCCGACGCGCTCAAGACGCTGGACGCGTCGCGCAGCACGAACCCGCCGGGCGTCGCCGACGTGCAGGCCACCATCATCGCCTCGTACCTCGCGTACAACACGCAGGGCTACTCGACCCAGTTCCGGCTCCTGCAGACGACCGCCCTCGAGCTGGCCCGCCAGGCGGAGCTGCACAAGACCGACGCCCCGCCCGCGCCCACAACCACCCCGGCCCAGCCCCGCGACGTCATCGCCGACGAGGTCAAGCGCCGCGTATGGTGGCACATTGTCGCGACAGACTGGTGCGTCGCTACCCTCCTTCCCTCCTCCCCTCCTTTAATTCCACCCTCGCACCCGACTGACCCCTCCCCCACCCACCAGGATCCTCGCCTTCACCGCCGGCCCCCAAGAAGGGACCTACCTCGTCTCCCCGCACCACATGCGCGTCTCCCACCCGCTCAACGCCAACGACGACGACACCACCACCTCCTCCTCCTCCTCCCTGTCCTCTTCTTCTTCTTCGTCTTCCTCCCCATCCCCCGTCTTCACGCCCCGCCCCCTCTCCGGTTCCGCGCCGACGACCATGTCCTTCGCCCTGCACCGCCTGCGCTTCGCCACCGTCTGCCGCGCTGTGGCCGACGCCGCTACCGCCACTGCTGCTGGAGGAGGAGAAGGGGGAGGAGGAGGAGGTTCGTTTCCGCTCGATTTGCGCCGCGTGGCGCCGCGGACTGTCAGGAGGCTGGATGGGTTGTGGGAGGAGTTTTTGGAGGGGTTGCCGGTGGTGTTTGGGGGTCCGGCTGGTGGTGCGGCGGGGGATGGGGGTGGGGATGCGGATGACGAGGGGTTGCGCAGGCGGTTTCCGCGGCTGGAGACGCAGCGGTGTTTGATTCAGTTGTGTGCGCATGTGCGGCGGTGTCGGCTGCATCAGCCGTGGTTGGTGGAGGGGCGGAAGGAGGCGGACGGCGGCTGGGATCGCGAGAGGGGGGAGCAGGCGGCGTTCTCGCGGCGGGTGTGCCTGCAGTCGGCGAAGAGGGTGGTGGGGGCCGCGAGGCGGTTTGAGAGGGATGAGGAGGGGAGGTACGGTGGGGGCGAGGGCAGGCTGAGCACCGTCGTGCATCATGTGGCCATGGCGGCGGTGGTGCTGGTTGTGGATCTGTGTTTCTCGGGCTTGGCTGAGGGGCCGGCGCGGGAGAGGGAGCAGCGAAGGGGGGAGATTGGGGAAGCGTGTCGGATGCTGGAGAGGGCTAGGAGGGAGAGCGAGATGGCGGCGAGGTTTCTGAAGTCGTTGGGCGAGATGCTGACCAGGCATGGCATGGATCTGCGGCTTTCTGCCGACGATCGTTCGGTTGAGGCGAGTGAGGCGCAGGAGGCAGACGCGGCTTCTGGTGGCGGTGATGTCGAGTTTGAAGCATTGTTGCAGAGTTGTGCGAATGTGAGCGGGGAACTGGACATGTCCGGATGGGAAGATCTGTTTACGAGCTTCAATTCTTACCCGCAATTCATTGATCTCGCGGTATGAAGAGCTGTATTCATAGTCGGCTGCGGTACATAACGATCAGATCTTTTCCTCTGGTGTTTCACAAAAAGATTTTCGCTCTCAGCTTTGCCTCATACTACGACGCCAATGACGTATATGGCAGCTACCTGATATCAGGCGCTGAAACTTGGCATTGCGACGCTGTGGTATTTGTAATATATATATATATATATATAGACCCTGCAAACATCAGCTCTTTTCGTTGGTGGCTGCAAATGGCGTCGGGTTGGGCAGTTCGAGAGCGGGGTTTGCGGACAAGGCTGAACGCACACATGTTGTGGCGCCATGGAAATTCCCAATCATTGGCTGGCTTCCACTGTATACCACCCCCCACACCACCACCACAGTCCACATGTATGGGAATTCATTCTGACGGTCGGCTGTGCAGCCCGTCCGAGCTCTGGTGTTCGGAACCATAGCCCAATCAGATTCTAGCACGCCCATTCATAAGCACCGGAGTGGCGTACAATATGGCTGCACATGTGATGTGAGATGGCCTGAAGCAATCTCAGCCGGTCAGCTCGCAGCCTAGCTATGTCCTGCACATAAGTGCTACGCCGACTCTTTTCGTCCTCAGTTACTCTTCCTCTGAATTCGCGCATCATTTATCACAAATGCAAACCTTGCCATACATCATCTCTTTCCGCTTCGCACTCCGACAGCATGCCGCCCACAACCACGTCAACTGCCCCGGTCGTGGCACCTACCAGCACAGGGTTCGACGGCGATGACTTCTCGAACAACTTGTTCAGCGACTTGGCCCCTCTCCTCACCCTCTTCGGTGAGCAAGTCACCAAGCAATTCTTCAGCCTGTCTTTCGGATGGGCGGACCACATTCTCCTCGCCATGGGGCCTATCGGTATCATTACCATCATTGTCAGCGCCATACGCGTAAGCGGGCCCAAGAGACTCAAGGCCATAGTCGGAAGGTACCGGACCCCCTCACCGAATCGCGTTTCAAATGACACGTGAAGTGGAGAGAGCTGACTTGTAATTTAGAGCCCGTGAAAGCTTAGCGACAGCGGAAGCGGAGCTTCTGTCTTCTACCTCGCAAAACGTTTGTGAGATGTGGGATGGCAACCAGGTTGTTCGAGCCATCGGAAAACCGCAAGGAATGCAGCATCTGGTTGTTCTGAAGGATAAGATCGGAAACAATGATCGGGGCATCGACCCTGAGCTACGCATTCTCGATTTTCAGTCCGCATTTGGATTGGGCATCTTTAGCCCGCCACGTCTTGCCTACCAAAGGCAGATCTTTGAAGAACAGCCACCACCAAACATCACTCTTAATACTGCCGATTCCACATTGTCTGACACAGAGCTTTGGTTCTGGGCTATTGTGGGCACCATTCTCCAAGTCACGGCTCTGGTTGTGCCAGCTCTCGTAGTGTATCTATGGAAATGGCAAGAGGCCGGTGAGACTATTGCGGCGTACGGATATCCTTGTTTTCTTTCAGGAAGCCTGGCCATTATGGGCGGAATCATCGGCTGTTCACATGTCATTGACAAAAGGACAAAGGAGGTAACCTTCTGGCCTAAATCAAATAAGGAAGGAAGTATACACAGTATTATGCGACTACAAAAAAGCGGCACAGTTGGCGAGCAGAGTTTCTCATCGTACGCCATATTCAATCACCCTGGCAATCAAAAGATACGAGGACGAACACCGATTGAGGTAATATTTGAGCTTGGTTTATTCACGAATCTCCTGTAAACCGAAAAACCTGTACTGACGAGACTTCAGTTTGCTTGCAGCAATCTCGAGTTTTGTTACTATTGCTGGATATATTGTCCAGTTTGTTGGACTGAGGTCCCTTCACTGGTCCGCAACCATCATTCAACTTGGGGTCACGCTCGCAATGACCTGTTTCAGGGCATGGGTACGCCGAGGCTTGACGGCACAGCCTATATGTCTCTCCTTGGAAATCAGCCATGCCATTGCTAAACTTGCGTTTTTTCTCATGGATGATTTCCATGAAATACACGAATTGGCCGATCAAATTCTTCCAAACATCCATGGCTGGAACTTATACACTGCTCACGATTCGGATTGCCCCGACAACGCCCCGGCTTGGAACCCTACGAGTTTGCCTATAGCTACGCTTGAACCGTACAAAGTCAACGAAACCGTTCTGCTTCACCAATACTTATGTAAATCCCTTTAATCGTCCCCAAAAGGCTGCAAATGGTCCACTCGGCTTTGTGCAGCTGTCGAGGGCATTATGGAATACCTATCCTCCTCAGAAAGCAACATATCCCTCAATCAAAACGGCGCATCTGAAAAGGGTTATCTAGCCTGGACAGTGAGTACAACTCACAAGAGGATGAACTCAAACCACCCCGATGGTCCTACAAAGTTCGCTGACCTCACCACAGGAGTAGCGCGTACCGCACCTAGTGGTATGTACGGGCAACTTAGATGGAAAGTCAATCTGGACGAGATTCGAAGCATCATTGACTTGTGGGAAGCTACCTTGAGGGAAAAAGATGGCCAATATCTGGTTCCAACTGGTGTTTTTTCGGAAGTACACACTTCGAGGAATATGCTAATACACTGGCCCATTCTAAGCACGCTCGACTTCAAAACGGACAATACACACCCTAATATGGACTGGCTCGATGGCTCTGGCTTTTGGTTAGTCAAGAAGGTGACCACGTTGACTCCAGATTATGGCCCGGGCATCCATTGCAGGCCTGACATGGGGGCTTATTACGTATTCAAAGCACCTCCGGACTCTCTCGCCAACAGACCAAACGAGCACTTTACACATTTTCTAGTCTACCGGAATCTACGCGAAGTACGCGAAGCATGTGCACTAGAGCTACTAGGACTTTTCCTTTCGACCATCTCATCCGAAACTGAGCAGATTGGCGGGGCCACTCAGATAGAATCAAACAGACGCACCAAGCCCCGTACATCATATGACGAACCGAGAAATAAGCATACCGAACCTCTTTGGACAAATACAGCCATTGACGAGCTTTGCTCCTGTATCGAGAAAGCGGAACTGGTGAAAACGGTTGAAGAAGCAAGAAGATTCGTCATTCCGGCTCTCTCGCGGTACAACCTTCTCCCCAAGGAGTCAAGCGAGGCCCAAGAAACCCCAATCCGCGAGGAAAGGAATAGTGATCCTGGCTCCGACAGTCATACGCAAGCGAGTCCCGCCAGCAACGCGGAAGAAACCCCAACACATAGAAGCAGGGCACAAAGCTGGGCCGGAACGCCTTCTCAAAGACACTTGCGCACGTCAGATGACATGTCGAGCTTATTTTAAGTCAAAGAAGGCGCCTTGTCTCGGCTTTCAAATGTAGCTCACGACCCCAGCCCATCTCTCGCTCCGAACCGGACCTATCCACGATCTTTGCACCGGCCAAGCGAAGGAGCCGCAACAGCTTCAGGATTCTCCCTCTCCGCCTCCTCCTCCATCGGAATCCATGGAGACCTCACCGTCGCATGCTTCAACGCTACCGGTTTCCCCAAACTTCAGCACCATTCGGCCCACAACCACGCTCGTTTCCGCTTTTTCCTTCGGCAGCACGGCACACACACACAAATGCGAACATGTATGCGAGCCAGCCATTTCTTTTCTTCGAGAGTACGGGAGCGGGGATCTGGATGAAGAAAGAGGACGAGGGCGAGGGGATAAGGTGGATGAGGCGAAGGAGTGGTTGGAAGTGGGTTGGTTGGACGGCGAAAGGGAAGGAGGGGGGAGGGGGGGATGCTGCATGCGATTTGGTGGATGGGTGGGGTATTGTGACGTTTCTTGTGCGCTGGCGGTGGTGTATGTGTGGAACCGGCTCGAGCTATGAGGGAAGACGTATTGGGTGGAGTTGGACTCTTCGTAGGCCCTTGCGTATTTTTGGAATGCGTCTGTAAAATATTTCATTAATTTATGGCGTTTGAACTTTTACTGGACTTCACCGGCTTGCCAGTGTATGGCCTGCAAAGCCCCAACGGTGATCTTGCGAGGATGCGAAGATGCCTCCACACGGCTTCCCGCCATGGATGTACTGAGATATCGCGTACTCTTCCTGCGAGATCTCTTCTTTCCCAGCCAGAGCTCTAGATCGCGGACTAGACTTTCATCGAGTGCTTATTCCTCGCTATCGAGAACAGTCACCTTCTTACTACGCAGCTCTTCGTTGAGAGCCTGGCAAACGAAGTAACGCGTACGTATATCCACGCTCTAACCCCTGTTCGGTCCACATAGACTCAAGGTGGCCAACAAATAAAGACAAGCAAAGATAAGGTCCGATCTTTACTTATTTAGTGCATAGAGGATTAAGTTCTTTGTTTAATTATAAAGATCTTTGACTGTTTGGTTGGCGCGTTCACGGGCCACTATCGTGAGATTTTTCTTAGTGTTTTGCCCCGATTTCGGTATAAATGACCCCCCCTCCCCCTCCCTTCCCCTAGCTATCTTTTCTCTTAATCTACCTACCTTTTCATCTTTCTTTCTCAAAGGGGGGTCGGAGGGTCGGAGGGTCGGGGGGTCGGGGTGGGTTGTGGGGGGGTCCATCTTTACCGAATGAATCCTCGATCTTTGCTTGATTGTTGAGTTAGAACAAACAAAGACAAATGAACATGTTTAGTTGTTGGCCACCTTGCATGGACTCACATCCGCTTCCGTAAAACGAAGCCAGTCTTGGAAATCCTCGCTGCCACAAGTATGAAGCTGCCCAGCACCATGGTACCGCCAGCAAACATCTGCGCGTACAAGTACTGACCGTTCTTCTGCTCCAACAGCGCGCCGCCGACAGGACTTCCAGTCAACGAGGCGAGGCCAACCACGCTAAACCCCATGCCGATCCTAACGCCAGCCTTCTTCACATCCGTGTTCAAGCTGGCGAGGGCAGCTTGCAGCAGGCTTTGGGTGCCAGCGCCGAAGAAGCCATAGAAGACGACGAAGGCGATCATGCCTGCCGAACTCGCCACGGCAGCCCAGCAGAAGAGACAGATGCCGGCGAGGAATATGACCGGGATGAAGACGTTCACCGGGCCGAAGAAGCGGTCTGCGATGAGTGCCGGGACGAGGCGACCGGGGACGCCAACGCCATTGATGATGAGAATGAGGTTGAAAGAGTCGACATCAGAGAAGCCAAGGATATCGCGAGCATAAGACCGGACCTGCCACCCATTAGCCACCCGCCACGTCGTTTGACCAAAGCAAACAAAAACCGGGAGAGAGGTAGCGCCTCACATAATAATACGCGACCCAGATGCCCCAAAACGCAAAGAACATGCTGACGCAATACAGCGCATACGGCGGCTCCGCAAACGCGCTCCACTCGACCAACGGCGCCCTCTCCCTCTCCCTCCCCCTCTCCCTCTCCCTCCCCCTCTCCCTCCCCTCCCTCGCCCTCGCCCTCGCCAACGCCAACACCACCGCCCCATTCCCCACAACCACGAACCCCATCACCCGCACCATCCACGCAAACCCCGCCGGGCCCCCCGCCGCCATCATCCTCTGCGCGATCGCGGGGAAAACCACGCCCCCCGTCGCGCCCCCGCACGCCACACACGACACGGCCAGCACCCTGCGCGCGCTCCCCGCAAACGCCGTCGCGGCATTCGCCACCGCCGGGCAGAAAACCAAGCCCATCCCAACCCCCTGACACACGCCCTGCGCCAACACAACCTTCCAATACGCCCCAGTCCCACCACCATCATCCAAGTCGACGCCGCTCAGCGCGAACAGCCCTAGCGCCTGCAATGCGGTGCCGGCGGCGATGACGGGGCGCAGGTGGCCGGCGTCGAGGCAGCGGCCGGAGAGGGGCCCGAGGCCGTAGATGAGCAGGATCTGGAGGGTGCCGATCCAGGAGATGGTGCTGGGCGGCAGGGGGGGCCGGAGGCGCGAGGTGTAGTGCGCCTGGAAGATGCCGAAGGCGTTGATTTGGCCGAAGGTGTTGAAGACGCAGAGGTGGCCGGCGAGGACTTGGGTCCAGGCGAGGCGGGGGTTGAAGACGTCGGGGGTGGTGGTGGTGGTGTTGTTGGCGGTGCGAGCGGGTGTGGTTGGCGTCGTGGAGTCGGGTGGTGGAGAGGGGGGTGGTGATGCTTTTTCCACGTCGGTGGCCATTTTGTCTGGCTTGAGGGTTCTCGGGGTTTGGTTCTTGGTTCTTTTCGCGGTGGTGGTTCTTGTTGTCTTTTGTTCAGCGAGTGTGGTCCGCGATCACGTGACGTCCAGTTGGGCGATTCGAGTACAAACAGGCGTGGGATAGGCGCTGATAGAAGGAAAGTCAGACGTCGTCGGATCTTGGGGTGGAAGTAACGGGCTGTGTTGTGGAAAAGAGTACAGACACGAGGTGGCGACGGTTAAAACGAAGGCGAGAGGACGGTGAACGGTTTGAGTGACCGGTTCACAGGCTGTCTCCTTGCTCCAGCGTGCGTCCAATCACCAGGCTCCTCACAGGTGTAAGAGGTGAAAGAATACCGATTGTAGAAACTCGCTCGCGGACCGCTGTCCTTGGCTCAGAAAGCTTTTGCGCTCGTCAGCCAATCATCGCTCTCCGACTCGATGTCGTGATCGCACGAGATGTCCATCTATATCTCCCGCACAGTCCATGTTCTTTTCTTGTCCCAGAAGTCGGACCTCGACAACATTCTCCTACAATTGCTCTCATCCCAAGCGATGGAGGAATTGCCATAGTATGCGACTGCAACCACGGGACCAGCCTCGGAAATACGAGAAGGTCGTAATAGTAGCTCCGTCTTCATACTTCATCTCATAAACAAAGACACAGTTCGGATATTCCCGATGGCATGTATGTACAATGCAAGAGCGACCATTGATTGCTGCAATAGTGAACGGTTCCAAAAGTAAAAGAAAGTGTTGGACGGTGATCGCAGACGGTCACATGAGGACACAATTGGTCCTGGAACCTTTATTAATCTGCTGCTATATGGTGTTTATATGCACAAATGAACAAGGGGCAGCGATATCGGCAAGGGACATCAAGGGAGCTGGACGTCATGATACCGTGGTGTTGAGCACCGTTTTCGGCCAAGGATGACGTCCATCATGAAATAACAAGCATGTGATCGTCATCATCTGAAGAAAGACAGGGCCAGACCACATCAAGGGACATGTTCGAAGTGATGGGCTAGATGCTTGTGGGGGCGCAAACCGTCATTACAGCCGAAGCTTGGCACCAGGAACTATACGAACTAGCTGATAGTGAGCAATAGTTTGAATGATTGATGGAATCGAAGGTTGTTTATAAGGTGTTCAGTGTAGACTTTGGCGTTGATCAGCAAATCCCGAACATGGAGCGCATCGACGGCCTCTTCCAGACGGCGGACGAGCATTGTTTGTGGAATATGTCGCCCGAATAGCTAGAGACGGTTGGACCCGGCGGCCTTGACATGTCAAAACCAACATGAATGTATTCCAGCGGTATTCGCCTCGGCTCCCCCAAGTCCGCAAGTCCGTAGTTTAGGGTCGTTGCTATGAGCACCGGCAAGTGTTCCGAATAGGACCCGCTCCGCCAACCCAGTGGCGCGCTCGCCGACACCGAGAATCATTACCGCGTTAGCAATTACAAAGACGTCCATGGCTCTTCGTGCTACAACAGCTGGCCGAGAGGAGTGAAGATAGACGAACAGCGTATCTCCGAAGACGACACAGAATCAGCCATTCCATGTCCCCTCGTATAACCATCAGCGTGTAGTTTCCCTCTCGACCGGCAGTTCCATCCACCAGTACTCTGCCACGCGCTCTTCTCGCCGCGGACATGAAGTTCGGTAGCTGACCCGTCTATCTGGAACAGCGCCACCGACCGCAACTCCGGGCAGCCACCTTCCAAGCTCAGCACGTCATGCTCGTCATCTCTTCATCTGCCACGACTGCAGCCTCCGGGACGTCGTCTACCGCGCCACGGATCCACTCCACGTCACCGTGCGCATGTTGAGTTGCAGGCCTTCCACCCTGGCGTGTAGGGTCCCTGGGCGGAACGGCAGGGCGGGACGGCAATAAATTGCCTACGCTTGCAGTATCCGCACTACCGGCATGGCTTGACTAGCCGCCGCATCAGCTGTTGCGTCCCGGTCCCCCGCGCGGAGTGGCATGAAGCTAGACCAATGGTTGCTTTCGGTGCCGGTTCCGGTCGGCCTGGGGCGTCTTCCCTTTGGGGCTACCCGCACCAAGTGGCTTTTAGGAGCGCTTCTAGCGCAATCCATCACCATCCAGCTCGCCAACTACTGCGGACTCCTCATCCACCGTGGGTGACTGCTTCCCGTCTTGGCGCGACCACGAGCAAGTCTCGGCTTCGATCTTCCACATTATTCCATGACCTCTTAGTTTGCGAAAAGCTCATCGGCATGGGCCCTGGTTTAATAGATGCCATCCCGTTCCCTCTCTGCCCTTTTTGACCCGCCCGGCCCCTACCAAAACACCCCAGACATGCTGTACGACAACTCTCGCTTGTTGGCGCTTTGCGTCATAGTTCTTCTGACCTCTGGCTATGTTTCGTTAGTGTTGCGCATCTATGTACGGCTCACAAAAAGCCCATGGGGCTGGGACGACACCTGTGCGTGTCTTGGTGCGGTAAGGGAATCATCACCATCGATGCAGCCTCGGCCGTCATTTCTGACTCGATGCGCAAAAGATCCCCTTCGCATGGCTCTGTGCCGAAACCCTCATTGCCGCAAATAACGGACTCGGTGCTCACGAATGGCACATCACACCCACGATGCAGAAGGAGGCCTTCAAGGTAACCACACAACCCTCGCATCAAAGTGCTTGCCTGACCAGTTGTCGTCTTGCCAGGCTTTTGTCTTTTTCGAAGTCGCCTACTGCACGTCCATCATACTCATCAAGTTAAGCATCGCCCTCACCCTCACCCGAATCGTCACCGACCAAACCGTCATCCTATGGATCCTTCGAACCACAATCGTCGTCTTTTCGTCCGTCACCCTCTCTGTGGCCATCTACTGCCTGTGCCAATGCCAGCCCATCGCGTAAGCCCTCATGCCACGCTTTTCCCCGCCGGTCCGAGAGAGAACTGATCGTCGAGAAGTAAGATCTGGGACCCCACCATCGAGGGCCATTGCCACCCATCCAACATCATCACAGCCCTCAGCATGACCGTCACCGTCACCAGCATCATCAGCGACATCATCATCTCCGTTCTGTAAGCCAGCCAAAGCCCTCCCGTCCGATCCGAACAAACCCTCGTCTCATGACGCGCAAAAACAGGCCCATCCCGCTGCTCTGGAACGTCAAGATCAACCGATACTCCAAACTCGCCGCCGGCTTCCTCCTCTCCCTCGGCCTGTTGTACGCACACGCCCGACCGCATCCTCGCACGTGAAAACCGCAGTTAACAGCCCGCAGCGCAAGCATCTGCTCCATGGTCCGCCTCGCATACACCCTCGCGCTGACCTCCACAGACGACTATCTCTGTAAGCCCGCCTAGCACCCAGCACCGTCCCGCAACGAACGAGAAATCTCTAACAACCACCCACAAAACAGTCCACATCTACGGCGTAACCGTCTGGTGCTGTACGTACCCACCCACCGCAGCCCTCCTCCCCTCCCCCTCCTCCGCAGACCCACCACCCCATCCCCCCCGCAGACCAACTAACCATCCCCATCTCCAACCCAGTCGCCGAAGTCGGCGTCGCCCTGACCGTCGGCTCGCTCAGCACGCTGCGGCCCCTCTGCGCGTCCTGCCTCGGCAGCGGCCACCACCACCACTACCGCCGCAGCCGCAACCACAACGGCGACCCCGACAACTCCAACAGCCCGCACAACAGCGCACACAACCGCGACCCCCCACACTACCACCGCACCTGGTCCCGCAAAAGCTCGCGCCAGACCTTCGACCCCGCCGGCGGCTCCGCCGACTCGGCCGGCAAAGGCTCGTCCGTCTCGTACGAGCTCCGCAGCGGCAGCGGCAAGAAGAGCAAGAGCGGCGTGCTGCACCACCACCACCACGACGACGACGGCGGCGCTGCTGTGGGCGAGCCGGGAGACTTTTGTGGCGGCGGCGGCGGCGGCGGGGGAGAGGTGCGGATGGCGGTGACGGCGCCGCTGCCGCCGCTGCGGGGGTCGTGGGGGCGGGAACCGGTGCGGGAGCGGGGGTCGGTGGTTGTGTTGTCGTCGGTGTTGCCGCCGCCGCCGCCGTCGTCGGCGGGGGGGAGGACGACGGCGGGGAGCGAGAGGAGTTTGAATGGTGGGCGGGGGGAGGAGGGGGAAGAGGAGGAGGATGATGATGAGAGTGGGAGGGGGATATTGGGGCTGGAGGATGTGAGGGCGACGATGGGGTATGGGGTGAGTAGTAGTCGGAGGACGTCGATGGTGTAGGAGTGGTGGCGGCGGGGTGGCGGAGCGGATTGTGGGATATTCAGCTCTTGTCCCTTTTCTTTTGTTTCTATACCTTGGTGCGGGTTTCGGCTGGTGGCGTGAATGCGTGATTTTGAGTGCAGCGTGACGCACGGATTCGTTGGGCTTCTCGTGACGGTGGATAGGAGGAGAGCAGGGAGCCTGGACCGGCGGTCGGTGGCTGACATTTGGATGCTTCAAATCCCCCCCATCGATCAAGTCCGGAGCCCATGTATCTCCCGATCCACCACATCGCCAATCTCAACTCATCAACCGCCCGAGATCCCAAATCTCGGGATTCACTGACTCATGCGACGCCCGGAGCTCCTCCGTAGCGCGGGCTTTGCGGGGTACGGTCCGTCGATGGGTACCAATGTGGCGGGGCATCCGTTTCGGCTCGGTCCGCTGATTGGTGCAGACGGAGATCCATGGCGGCTGGGAATAGGGGCGCAGCCGCCCATGGAAGCTGTTTCGCGTCTTCTAGATTCGTTAGTCTGCAGTAGTGGAGTAGATCACTACAGCGTCATAGTCTGAAGGATCGTCGATGAGTGGGCTGAGTCAAGTCAGTTGGACACGACGCCGAGGACCAAAAAGCAATGCTAGATGCAATGGGGCGGGATGAGCGCAGAAGCCAACAGGGGATGGAAAAAACAAGGAGAGGGGAAATTGGGGGCCGCAACGTAGATGAGGTTAATGAAACATCCGCGCCGTGGAAAGGATGCGGAGTTGTTCCCAGATTTAATGCCGGTTTGAGTGGGGAAACCTCTACCGGATTTGGTCGGGGCTTTCAAAGTCCACAATCGCAGTTCGATCGGTACCGAAGGACAAACGGAACAAGTTTATGCAAATTCACTAATTATTTGATCCATGATCAGGTGTCAACAAGACGCTCTATCGCAAGCAACACCTACCGAGCTACGCCGAAGTCAGCAACAAGAGTCAACGCCATCGGTCCTAAACGAACAAGCGAAACGACAAGCAATTCAAGACCACGCCTTCAGTGGCTAATGTACTGGAAGACAGCACTGACAGCTTCCTCCGACGTCTCTTGCCTGAGCAACAAGTCCTGGATCTTCGCAAGCGCTCCCTTGTCTCCATCGTTGACAAAGTGATTCCAAGTGCTCGTATCGCCGTACAGCATGGCAGGAGCCTTGATGTGCTGGTTGCCATCAGGCCTGCACCGCTTGCATTTGAACGTATCGTGCGTGTCACTTGTAGTTTTCGGCTGGTACTGGAAGAGCTCGCGAAGCGAGTCCAAGCTGAAGTGGCGTTCGACGTCTTCTGCAGAGTCTACCACGCACGACGAGAGCGACTGCTTGTGAGACTGCCGCTGGAAGATCTTCTCTTCGATGGTGCCCGTGGCGATGAAGCGGTAAACGAAGCAGTCCTTCTTCTGGCCGTCACGCCATACACGCGCGAGAGCCTGTTGGTCTGCCGCAGGGTTCCAGTCGGGATCGAAGAGCACAAGCCGGTTGGCGCCAATGAGGTTGATGCCGCACCCACCGGCCTTGGAGCTGAGCAGAAACACAAACTCGGGACCCTCGGGATCATTGAATTTGTCAACGAGTTTCTGACGCTTGTTGACATTCATCGTGCCGTCGAGACGAAGACAGCCGTATTGGCGCGTCCGGCAGAGCTTCTCGAAGACATCCAACGTCTGCGTGTAATTGCTGATCAGGACGATCTTGTCGTTGGTGTCATGCCGGATGCGGGCCAACATGCGATCGAGCACGGCCATCTTGCCCGAGTACCACGCCTTGACGTCCCGGTCGCGCCCACGAGCATCCTTCGGAACAAAGTCATCCGGGAAGCATTCCTCGGAGCCTGGCAGATCAGCCGGCAGCTCCAACAGATCTGGGTGGTTGCAGAGCTTCTTGAGGATGTTGATGGCCTTCAGCGGTTGGCTGCCCTTGCCCCGGAGCAGCTGCTGGATCTCGGGAGACTTGATGAAAAGATTGTACAGGTCTTTTTGAAACGGCGCAAGGTTGCAGAATACAACGTGTTCGTACTTTCGAGGCAGGTACTTGGACAAAATGTCGTTGGTGCGGCGGATGATGAACTTGTTGACCAAAGTGAGCAGTTCGGACAAGCGCTCGTTGCCTACCTTGTGGTCCTCGTCAGTGCCATCTGCATCGCGGCCACGGAGAATGGGAAGCTCGAAGCGCTTTCTGAAGTCGTTCTTGGTGCCGAGGTAGCTCGGATTGGCAAAGTTGAGGAGTGCAAAGTACTCGGACAAGTCGTTCTGAATGGGTGTCCCCGAAAGAATGACGCGCCGTTGCACGTTGAGAGCAGTGAGGGCGGTGAAGGTCAAGCTCTCATCGTTCTTCAATCTGTGTCCTTCATCGCAAAGCAGAAGACCGATCGGCGTCTGCTTGAGCTCGCCGACGTACATACGGAGCGTTTCGTACGAGACAATGAGGACGGGTCTGACGACGGCACGGCCGCTGGCAATGGACCACTGGCGGAGTTGCTGGATAAGCTCTTCCTTGGAGGCCTTGCCATCGACTGCGAAAGGAGTGATGGCATCCTTGCCCAGCCACTTGACCAACTCATTTGCCCAGTTTTTGACCAAACTCGAAGGGCAGGCAATGACGCACTTCTGGATGGTTGGCTTCCCGGCTTCGGGTGACTGGCGGAGAAGCGTCCACAGCAGCGCGATACATTGCAGCGTCTTGCCGAGACCCATTTCGTCGGCCATGATGCATCCATTGGCCTTCGGGTCGATCAGGCCGGTGGTGCAGCGGTATAGGAACTTCACTCCCTCGACCTGATGCGGTCGTAAGACCTTGGCCAGCCGAGGGTCGATGACGACAGGTACCCTCGGCCGTCCTTCAACCTTCTTCTTCAAGCCGAGAATATCTGCCAAGCTCTTGTGCACGAGCGGCACGTCCAGCTCTGTCTTTGGTGGCTCCTCCGGCTTGGGGTCTTTGCCATCCTCGAGCGGTGCGGGCTTGTCGTCGACGGTGGGATCGTAGAGGACGATTGCGAACTCGCCGGTGGGGTCGTGCAACGGACGGGCGAGGAAGACAGCGCCTTGTCGCATTCCCAGCAGTGGGGCAGGACGATTGGAATTGTACTCGGCCGTGTCCTTCTTCAGCATAGGGACGGAGAAGCGCTGGCGGAGAGTGCTGTCCTTGTCCTTCGCCTTGAAGACGGGATACCTATTGACATCTCGAGTGGCCAGAGCAAGGCGGTCCTCGTTTGTATAGGGCTTGTCGCCATCCTCGGCGTCTCCATCTGCGCCAGAGTAATTGATCTTTCTCCTCTTCCGCGCCGGTTTCTCCGAGGCCCGTGTCGGGGTTGCAGAGCCAGGGCATTTGAACGGCTTGATGAGGCGGTCCGCAGACTTGGGTGTGCCGCCATACAGTGTGGCGACCTTCTTGGCCGGAGTCGAATTCTCCTTGTTGTCGTTCAATGAGACAGGCCGCGACCGATACCTAAGGTTGTCAGCGGTTCCGAGCTCGTGTTGTTGTTGCGGTCGGAGCGTACATGGCAGCCTTCCGATGTGACGATTCGCGAAGCGGGAGGCGCACGCCAGACGAAAATGCGCAAGTCGGTCTCGGGTGCAGGGCGAGGAGATGGCGAAGACGATGGAGGTGGGATGGCGACGGGTGGTTGTTGCAGTGGCGAGAAGCGGACGCGATCGGACGCGACCGCGTTCCAGGTTGCCAGGCAGCAACACGCTAACACGTGATGGGCTTTGTTGCCTAAGGCATCAAGGATTCCCCCGCATTCCCCCACGTCTGACTTGACATGGACGCTCACTCGTCATCACCATGATCAGTCATCCGGGATGACGAAGCATTCGCTTGTAAGGTTAGTATTATGTCTCGGGTATGAATCCAGTATTGCTTTTGTGCCGTCCGCAGGAAGCGGGGTACTGTCAGCGCCTTGTATCCGGGCTTTCTAATCGCAGCCGTCGCGAAAGTAATCATAATCAGCATGTGTTTGCAAGCTCTGTGCAGCCCATAATGTACCGATAGCCAACTACAAGCTATTTTAGACTTCATCTCCGCCCGCACTCCTGCTCACCACCACCACCACCACAATCAAAACTGGTCACTGTTCTGTTTACCTCGAACCTTTAGCCCAAGAGTCCCCAATCATGACGACCTACGAAGATGCCAAGGACCAGTATGTGGAAGTCAAAGGGATCAAGTTCGCGTACCGGCGATTCGGTGCTTCGACGGGGATTCCATTTGTTCTTCTGATCCATTTCAGGTAAGCTAGTCAGCATGGCACAAGACCGATGAAACGCCGACCGCACATGTCCGCAGAGGAACCATGGACCACTGGGACCCAGCGTTCCTGAATCCCATCGCCTCGACAAGGCCTGTCCTCATCATGGACAACGCGGGCATTGGCCGGTCCGGGGGCGAAGTCGCGAACGACTACAACGACTGGGCGCAACATGCCATTGATGTCGTCTCTGCACTCGGCATCGACCAAATCGACCTTTTTGGATTTTCGATGGGCGGTATCGCAGCTCAGATGGTCACTCTCCGCGCTCCTCGGCTGGTGAGACGGTTGGTCCTCGCTGGGACGATCCCGAGCATGGGAAAAGGCGTGGTGCTGGCGGACACGGGCCCGTTTGAGCAGCTGAGAAGGGCGGTCACGCAGGAAGAGCAAAAGAAGGCCTTTCTGGATACCTTCTTCGAAAAGTCCGAGAGCAGTCGCGCGGCGGGCCTTGAGTCGTGGGAGCGGATTCAGTCGGGGCGGCAGAAGCGCGTGGACTACGTCAGTGTCGAGGGCGGCAACAGGCAGGCGGCGGCGTTTGCGAAGGCCATGAAGCCAGCGCTTGCTAACCGTGGCTCATATGATCGGTTCCACGAGATCAAAATCCCCGTGTTCATCGCAAATGGTACCAAGCCTTTCCGCCTCGGGGATTTTGTCTGCTTTGCTGATTGCAGTCGCGCACAGGCAGCAATGACGTCCTGTTACCGAGCGCCAACAGCTTTGTCATGTGGGAGAAGGTCGTGAATGGCGCACCTCATTTGCACTTGTTCCCAGACTCGGGCCATGGCTTCCTGTATCAGCACGCCGGTCAGTATACGAGGATGATCAACGAGTTTCTCGACGCGCCGTCCTCTCCGCGGAGTCGCCTTTAGATGAGCAGCAGAGCCGTCGGTGAGGCGAAGGGGAGCCCGAGGGCGAGGGCGAAGGTGCTGCGGCTCAGCGGGCGGGTGCTGCAGACGCATCTCCGGTCATTGGAAGGTCAAGAAGGCGACGTGAGACTTTTGGAGACGCCCTGGTGGGGTGAGGTAGCTGAATGTCAGTGTCGAAGTCGTGCCTTCCTGCTTTGCTGCCTGACGTCGTCACTGCCAAACGGGACCCAGACTGCCTCGTTCGGTCAGCGCCGCCTTCAGCCTTCAACTTGAACCCCGACCACTGCTCCTCCACCGACTCAATCTGGCCCATCATTTTTAACCACCATGGTAGAAACGCGCAGCACCACGCCACCGTCGCCTTCGCCTGACGGATTCGACGACGGCAAGCGCCAAGTAAGTCAAAGCCTCCAACCCTCTCACCTCGCTTCAACTCATTCCCAAATCTTCGCAGCCCGAACCGCGAGGTCGCGCCACCGAGCCGGAAACCCCCAAGCCGTCCGGCTTCATGGACCTCCCGCCCGAACTACGCAACGACATCTACGAGCGGGTTCTCGTCCATCCGCACCCCGTTATTCTTCGTCATGACAGGCGCCACGGAAGGCACGTTGTCCGACCAAAGGGAAGGTTCTGCTACTTTTGGTTTCTTCCCGCCGGGGTCCATTACAAACCCTTCGCTCCCACGACAAACTTGCTGCTCGTCGACAAAAGAATACATGATGAAGCTGGATCAATCTTCTATAAACAAAATAGACTTGTCCTCGATGGCTGCCACGCCTTGTGGCACTTCCTGGACCCACTCAGCCAGAAGACAAAGGGCTTGATCAAAGAACTTGCACTGAACCGCTTCAAGTCTGGAAACTTCGCCGCTGGATGCGCTTTTCCAGCCTTTCAATCACTCGCTGCTCTCGAGAACCTGCAGTGTCTCCAGGTCATGTTCTTGTCTCATAACAGAAACTTCACTGGCACTGCCGCTCAAAGCTCCGCTCTCTACAGGGAGATTTATGGCTGGCTCGAAGCAGTGGGGGACGCGAAAGGAGACAAGTATGCCGCTGTGGATATCCTCTGCGTAAACAAATGGTTCCGCATTGACCTCTGGCCCAATTGGCCACTCTGGACCACAGCCGAGCTTGACAGAAAAAACAACGCGCTTCGTACCAACTTGAGGAACCTGATGCCGTAAGCAGATCAGCACACGGCATCTTCTTCGCTAAACTACCATCATTAGAGTATTCAGTAACTTGATCATAGAGTGGCTGATGCAGTGAAGACAACGAGTCATGGCCATTTCCTCTACACAATCTAGTCAGCAGCCCAGACTTATACTACTAACCTTCACAAACTAGCCTTACCTCACCCACGTGCTACAAATTCCCATCCGCTCCTCATTGTCTCCCTCTCTCCCCCCTCAAACCCTCCTACCCTACCCACGCCGACAACCCAGTCACCGACGACACGCACAAGCCCCCACCCAAACAAGGGCTACATAATACGACTGCGCAATCAATGTAATCAGACGGGTAATAATCTTTACGATGCTCACATGGGGGTTAACATTTATTTCCCCCGCGGTGTTGCTGATTTTTATTTATACAAGTTTCAATCAAAACGTTCGGATTTCAGTTTTTCTATCAAACTCCCCGTATGGCCAGTCCTACGAGTTCAACATTGCTGCCAGTCTTTCCTGCAGAGCCTCCAAGCTTTCCCTCGCTTCCTCCGCTTCGTTCGCATACAACTGCGTTGACGTCGGGTATTCTTTTAGTATAGCAGACCATTCCAGCTCCCTCTCTTGCGCGTAATCAACTGGAGATTTTCCGCTTGCATCTTTCGAGCTCAAGTCGAATTGGAACTGCTTGGACAACAGAAATTTCAGCAAACTCGAATGCCCCTGCTTAGCGGCATAAGAGAGCGGTGTGCGCCCCAGCGTGTCCTTCGCATCCAGGTCCGCCGTTCTGGCTTCAAGAAGGTTGACGACCGCATCTGGAGGTATGTCTTTGGATTGATACGCCATGGTTGCAAAATGAAACGGAGTTCTTCCAAGTATGTCTCTGGAGTTCGGATCAACATTTCCGGTATCCAGCAATATGCGCATGACTGCCCCGTGTCCATAGAAAGCGGCGTAAGACAGCGGTGTAATGCCCAAAGCAGTTCTCGCACTCGGGTCCACTCTCCCAGTAGCCAATAGAAGTTCCACAACAGCCGTGTGTCCTTTCTCAGCTGCATAATGCAGGGGCGTTTGGCCTTCATCCATCTTAACGTGATGTATGGGCGTTTGGTCTTGATCCGTCCTAAACGAATCGTCTAGCGGCGAAAAGGTATCCCACTCACCTAAGCCCAGAGCTGGGACCTCTCGATCATCTTTGGCGTTGGGATCCACATTTCCAGTGTCGAGGAGGAGCTGCACAATTTGCGTGTTCCCTGCCTCGGCCGCGTACGAGAGTGGGCTTCGGCCGACGTTATCTTTGGAATCTGGATCGACTCTTGAATCTTTCAGAAGTGCTTCCACGACACCCGAAGACTTTGGTTCCATTGCTGCACGAGATAGGGGTGATCGACCTCTCTCGTCAATGCAATCTGGGTCAACGTCAACATGTTTGAGGAGCTGTTCGGCAATCTCTCGGTGTCCCACGGCCGCAGCTATGTGCAAAGGCTTCTTTCTGTCCCAGTCACTCGACGTACAGTTGACGTCAACCTCAGGGAAGCGTAGCAAAAGCTCAACGGTTTCTATCTGCCCGTTCCGAATTGCTGCAGTCAACGGCCACTTTCTTTTGACTTCTTCGTCCGCGTCCGGGTGTGCAATGTTGGTGTGCAGGGAGATTTCTGTCTGGTGTTTCAGAAGCTCGATGGTGCGCCACATTCCATGTTCTGCTAACATGTGCACAATTGGGTTCCCATGAAAACGAGAGATTTGAAGAATGGAGGGATACGACTTCCCAGGATAGAGTCCGTAATGGCCGAACGCATAGATACGCCCGGCCGTTGATGAATTCTCGTAGACGAAAGGATCCGCAGGCAAGTCGAATGGTTTGAGCAGACAGTGAGGACCCTCGTCCAGACTTTCAGCCAGCTTTCCATGCCGAGGCCAGTTTGTGAGAGCGTAGTAGAGAAATGGTTTTAATTTCGTACTGGCTTCTATGGCTCCTTGACAATCGCCATGACTCATATTCCAGACTACACCTTTGACTTCGTTCATGTTGAAGTACTGGATGCACGTTTTTGCGAGCTGCAAGTGTCCGCGTTCCACGGAGTGCATTTGAAGGGAACAGTCAAGCTCGCCGAAGCCGCCAGTCAAAAAATAGTCGGGTACAGATTGGTGGATAAAATGGAGAGTAGTAGTCTTACGAGAAAATCCAGCGGAAATTTCGACAAGACCCTTGGAAAGATAGCGGATTTTTCGCACAACTTCTGCTTCAGACTTTCCAAATTCTTGGGCGGTCACATACTCTTCGATTGAGCTTGATGGAGTGTCTGCGTTTATGACGATTGCAGGGAGGATCAGATCAAGAGTCATCGGCTCGTTTGAGAAACAGATCCATTGAAGAAGTCGAATCGTCTGTGCCCTGTCTTCTGTTGACTGATGCAGTAAAGTCGAGTATAGAGAGTGCAAGTTACCGGGAAACCTTTGGACTGTCTCCCCAAGCGTTGCAGGCGGGTTTCCCTGCAGATGTTTTTGCCGAATGTGAGCGACGACCAAGACGGCCCACTGGAAAATGCCATTGGCCTTCTCGACGACCAAGTCCTCCAGGCCTTGCGAGTTTGGTATTCCGCGAAGCTTTTCCCTGACAACGGTGTGGATGTCTCGGTTGCTCTTTTCTTCCACGACAATCCGGAGGCACTCGTCCAGGGTGAGTGTAGGGTAATGTCGACAAGACAAGCATACTCGGAACTCGGAATCATCTTCAAGATGAGTGACCATACTGTGAAAGAAATCAATCACATTGGTTGCCACCTCTGTACCAAGCTCGTCGAGCGCGTCAACCAGGATCACCAGCGGTCGAAATTGAGATGCCTGTTGCAGCGCAGATCTGAGTGTGTCCTCGAGTTCTCTCGGGCTCCAATTCCATTTCTGTCCGTGCAGTCCGACCGTGTGGTTCCTTTGTTGAAAAACATTGGAAAGATTTTGAAAAGCGGGCAGATCGGGGAATTCCGGGTATAATTGATGTAGAAGCGATTGAAAGAGTCCACCGGCGGTTTTTTGCGTTTGCTGTCCTTGGCCGTACACAAAGAATGAGGCGATGATTGCTCTTTTCTCTGACAACAAGTTCTTCACGGTCCCCAAGATGTACTTCATCAAGGTCGACTTGCCAGCTCCTGGCTTGCCTTTGATCCACAACAGACTTCGTGGTTGGGAAAGCCACTTCCAGTACGATTCGTGGTCCACAACCCAGTCGCAGGTGTCGCTTGCAGGATCGATCTGGTCTATTCTTCGAGTTTGCTCCATGACTGCAAGTGACCTGAGGCAATCTTGTTCAATTAGTCAAGACGGGTTTCGTGATCGTGACAAATTTGATCTTACCTCCCTGTTCCGCGGACAAGTTTGGTAAAAGCGCTAATATTTATTAGTCTCCATTTACGGACAAGTAATGGACTACGAACGTTTCTGGAAATTCTTTTTCTCTTTCAACCTCTTCAAGTGGAAGACTACAGCTAAATAGGTCCTGTCGTGTGTGTTGGGAAACTTGACCATATTAGAATGCGTTCGATCGACTGCATAAACGTTCTGTGCGTTGCCACATGTGGCAGATATCCGGTCAACTAGGACAGCATCAGGACCGGACATGCGCCAGATACCGTTTTTCTATGGATTTTGCTCAGTATCTCCAAATTCTGACGGGCGAAACAAAACACTCACCATTTCTGCAGTTGGAGATGTTGATGTCTCATAAAACGAAACTATTTCTAGGCCTTGAGAGCCAAATACCTTCAGAAATTGTTTTGCTTGGTAATCGAGTCTTTCTGACGCTCTGTTGAGCGTCTCGATGAGATATCGATTGGGTTGATCGCCCGCCATTGGGATCAGGGACTGGACATTCATTCCCTGATTCGGGACTCCGAAAAACAGTATGCCATGAATCGATCGGAGTAAGTCTTGATCCGATTGGTCTCCCGCTGACATCTGGATGATTGCCTGTCCTCGATAAGCATATGCGCTCACGGCAAGCTATCATGAGCTGAACCAAACCTCTTTTGTGATTATGCCTCCGAGACTGTGTCCGATGAGTATGAGGGGCCGGCTCTAACATGACTTAGCAAAGTTTCTTTGAAGAAGCAACAATAGTCGCTCATACCGAACCATATCTCATCGCTTTGATGTCTGTCAGGAAGTTGGACCCAATATCCGTGATACTCTGGAAAGATGTGCTCCCGTGCACTCGTGTGTTGTAGCCGTAAATGAAGACGCGAACGCCGGGGATGTCATCCGGAAGGGCATCCCGCAGCCACATGAAGTCGCCACCTCTCTGTTTGAACGAACCAAAGGCATGTCCGCCCAGGCCGGATATGGCAACAAAGCTGATGTTTCTCTGTAAGAACAAGACTTGGCATGAGTGCAAGTGGTCACATACTCGCAATCGCATTCGGCGTCTTTGGAAGAGTGCAACGGCGTGAAGCCGTGGAAATGAGAATCCAGGACCATGTCTTTTCCTGTCCAGGTTCCGCCTACTTTTCGAAAGCTGGTGTCCAGTGTCCAACCATCTTTGGCAGCTTGCGCACAGATACTATCTGAAATTCTTGAAAACCGCAGGGTTGCGACCTTCTTGGTCGGTCGAAGTGGGTCGCTTGCGAGCGAGCACAGCTTAACATGAACGTCTGTGTTGAAGCCTACGGCATTCTTGAACACGTTTTGGATGTCTTCTTGTGTTCCAAAGTCTTGTGGTATCCCTCTCAGCCGGAAGGTTGTTGGACAAGCTCGGGAAGCAACGCTTTGGGCCGGGGGTGATTCTGGCTCTCCTACATACAATAAGCAAGCGTGGGCGTCTTCAGTGCGCACAATAAGGCCTTACCAGACAGTGTTGAACTCGCCTCTTCCCGCAAAGTGAGGGATGCGATGCATTCACCTTCTTCAACACGGGAAGTCGGCGGCGATTGAGAAGGAGTAGCAGCCGTTACATCTACAAGACGTCTTCCTCCATGCCCTTCCGGTCTCTCCAGGACCTGCGAGGCCTTTCGTTTGCGAGGACTTCTTCTGGGGCCTGACTCCATAGAGCTGTATTAGAATAGCGGAAGCCTCTGTAGCTGGATCCAAAGGGGGGGCGGGAGAGAGGAGGATGGGTTTGTCTATAGCAGTCTTGCGATGAGCGGCTATTTTCAGCTTCCAGCAGGGGTGGGGTACCAAGTACTCAGCTACGTGGGGCCCATGCAGCATGCTGGAAGTCGTAAAATAAGCGAGACGAGAAGGCCAATGAGCTCACGTTCCAGTTGGTGCGGTCTCATGGGGGCCAGCATTTTGCGGTCACATGTTGCAGAAACAACAATCATCGGTAGGAAGGCCTACGAAGATATGTATATTGATATCGTACTCTGCAACCCTTGGCCCTTTGTTGATTCTTTTTTAGAGTCAAGAATACCGGCTCAGCCTCTCTCTGACAACCTTCAAATATACGGAAATCAGTCTTTCAACCCGCTTCTTCTCACCTACACAACCAACAACTCCATACACATTCATCAGTGATCACCAGCAGTTGACACACTCCTCCTCCTCCAAAAAAAAAAAGATCCAAAAACATATACCCCCTCCCCTCTCCCCGCCCCTCCCCCAAAACTCAACCCTTACACATAAACCACCCTCTCCCTCTCCCTCACAACCCTGCCCCCACCCCCACCCCCACCCCCCGGACTCACCCCCCTCGGCCTCCTCTCCACCAACTGCACGCTATGCCTCGCCGGCTGCGGGTGCTGCTCATACTGGCTCTCGACATACCGGTGCCGCTCGCTGGGCACACTCGTCGCGCTGGAACGGTACGTCGAGTGATGAGCGGCATGGTGATGGCGATCGTCAAAGGAGCGACGCGAAGGAGGAAGAGCGGCGACGGGGCCGGTGCTCGAGTGGCGGTAGGTGCTGTGGTAGCTGCTGCGGGAGGCGGGGCGGGCGTAGGCGGTGTGGGTGGGGATGCGGGGGGGTGGGGGGTGGTGGGGGTCGTACTGTGGTGGGGCGGAGGGGGTCAGTTGGGGGAGGAGGAAGAGGAGGAGGGGGAGGAGGAGGGGTGGTGGTGGAGGGATGGAAGGAAGGAAGGACGTGAATCACTTTTTTTTTTTTGCGGGGAAAATGGAGACGGGGAAAGTGGAAAGAAGGGAGGGGGAGGAATTAAGGTTTTTGGTTTACCTCGGTGGTGCCGGTGCAGAAACACATGGTTGCGCGTGCGCGAGGGATGATGATGATCGATCGTGTGGGGAACGGAAAAAAAAAAAAGACTGGAACTGCGGAGAAGATCGGCAGCGGGCCGCTGGAGAATGGCAGTCCCTCAGTTCCGGTAACGGGAGTACCTAGTAGTCGGAGAGAAGGGAAGCTCGAGTGAGGGGTGACGGAGTTGGAATGCAAGACCCCGACGTTCAGATGAGGGGCAGGAACGAGCTGATCAATGGTTTGCGGCTGACGATGAGAGCGGGCGGGACGGCGAGACGCATATACAGGCGCTGACAATGACGCAATTGCTTCGCTTGGCGGCCGTTCGAATCCAAGGCCGCAACCCGCGCGCTAACCAGCCCGACCTCTTTTAAATATAGCAGCAGCATCAACCCCTGCGAGCCCGATGACCGGGGTAATTATTTCATAGGCCACCATTGACGACTCAAGTTCAACTATAGATCTCCCTGTATAATCCACACATCTACTCCTGAATATCCTCCCCCCTCAACCTCGCCAACCTCTCCCGATTCCTCTTCCCGATGACCCGCAGCGTGTTCCGCTTCTCCACCTCCGCCATGCGCTCCCAGTTGGCGATGCGGCTCAAGCTGCCGTCCGCATTCACCACCATCGGCCCCAGCGCGTCCAGCCTGACTCCGTCGCCGCCGAGATCCAGCTTCAGCGCCGCGCCTGCCTGTTCTTCGGGGGCGGGGAGGGCGAGGCCAGCACCGTTCGCGCCTGCGTCGTTGTTGTTGTCGTCTTTCGGGTGGAAGGAGTCGGCGTCGATGGTGTGGGAGGTGGAGGTGGAGGTGGTGGAGGAGTCGGTGTTGGCGGTGGCGGACGACGGCGGCGGCGGCGACGACATGGCGGGGATACCCGTTTGCGAGGAGAAGGAGAAGAAGGAGAAGAAGGGGTTGTTGGCGCGGAAGAAGCGGGGTGGCAGAAGAGGTGCCGCGGCGATGGGATTATTGCGGTGGAAGATGATGCGCTGCATGTGCTCGATGACGGGCAACGGCGGCGACGACGAGGCGGTGGTCGGAAGAAGTGGGAAGACGAGGGCAGCTGCTGCGAGAAGCGCGACGAGTGCCGCGAGGACGATGCCGAGGAGGCGCGGGATCGGTGGATTGGTGCGGGCGCGGCTGCGGCTGCGGCTGCGGCTGCGGCGATGGTTGTGGGAGGTTCTAGAAGATGAAGAAGAAGCGGGAGTCTTCGACTTTTTCGACATGAGAGAGAGGATGGGCGATCGTGCTGTATGGCTCAGTAGTCAATTCTTCTTCTTCTTCTTTGCGGCGCTACGCCTATACCAGCATGCATGCGGGGCATGGACATGCGGTTTTGGTCGCGGTGTGCGATGGGCGTGTGGGGAAACCCGGAGACGACGGACGCGCTGGAATCATCGCGAACCCTCTGGCGCGACCGACGCAAGGGCCGCCGAAGCGCTACCCGGCGTCCGGGCAACACAACAGGTACCAGTACTGCCTGCCCAATGTCTGGTCAGTTGTATACATACATAGGTAGTCCCCAGAAAAGCGTCACAGGTAAGCCGAACGGCGGAGGCCTTGGGCCGCAACAACCCCATTATTGCTTGCCCTGTGTCAACTCTCCAACCCCCGTGACCGTCACACGCGGCCCAAACCCAAACAGCAACCACGTAAGCGCCCTTCACTCGCGCCAACGAAGCAGAGCCTCACGATCCTTCCTCCCCTTCAGGCCACCCGTCTGCCGAACGGGACCGCTGAGACAACGCACCGAAAGTAGTGTCAGGTATGCGTCGAGTATATATTAAAAGCCCACGCAAACACTGCTAAAAGAATTAATCTATGGTATCGTTGTTCTAAAGTACCTAAACCGTGGAAACCCTCAATTTTGTATCCTTCCCGTTTATGCGGTTGTTGTACCCTCGTCAAGCGCCGAACCACCATGCATCCATCCGAACAGAAAGGAAATCCCGAGCTAATCGACTCCATAGAACAGCAACGGAAACCACACTCATTAAACGACGAGAGAGAAGAAGAGTAAGAAAACGAAAAAAAAAAAAAACACAACAATCAACCCACTCCATCGCCCTCGTCCTCATCATCCTCAGAAGAACCAACGCCAGACCCACACCCGCCGAACCCGGACTCAACGCCAACCAAAAGCAGACCCCCGCCCCAACACCGCACTGCTAAAAAGCCGTATCCATGGCGCTGCCCTCTGGCACGCCCGGCGAGCGGATCAAGCTGCTCCGCGAGCGCATGCTGCGGCCGTCGTCGCCGCCGGGGCCGGCACCACCACCGCCCATCTCCATGGCGCCGCTCAGCACGCGGACGACCTTGCGGTCCTTGGCGGGGGGTTTCGCGGTGAGGACCTGGGCGGGGCAGACGACGATCTCGTCGTCGCCCTCGCCGAGGTCGTCGCCCTTCTTGACGACGAGCGGGAAGAGGACGATCTTGACGACGGCGCGCTGGCGCTCGAGCTCGTCGTTGGACGACGTCTCGCCCGAGCGCTCGTTCATGAGCGCCGCGTTGAAGTAGACCTTGCGGACGAGGTCGCCGTTGGTGTCGTACTCGGGCTGCAGCGGCGGCAGCATGATGTACTCGGCGCGCTGGGCGCGCATCTCGATCGAGAGCTTGACGGCGAGCCGCAGCACGTTGCGCAGCGACTCCTGGATCTTGTCGGCGAGGTGCGACGGCGGCGGCAGCAGGGACGCGAGCGTACCGAAAATTTCCTGCACCACCGCCTCCGTGTCCTGCGCGCGCTGGCGCTCGAACGGCTCGCGCTGCGACAGGAGCGTGAGCGTGATGGCGCGCCACTGCGCGACCGCCCGCGGGGGGCCCACTTCGGTGAGCGTCTTCTCGAGCGCCTTGAGCTTCTGGCGCTGCTCGCGGTCCATGCCGAACAGGTAGCGGGTGAAGACGTATTCCCAGATCATCGTCATCACCACCGACATGAAGACGTCCCTTCGGCGCACGCGGTCGGCGAGGAGCATGTCGACGTCGGTGCCGTCGAGGATGGCGTTGTCCAGGCGCGTCTCGATCTTCTCGTCCTTGACGTCCGTCGACAGACGGCAGGCTCGGTTGTCCGAGAACTTGGAGAAGCGCAGCACCCACTGCTGGACGTGCTGGCAGAGTTGTTGGCAGGCGCTGTCGAAGTAGTCCTCGTCGCGGACGGTGAGGAAGCTGTCGCCCTGTTTGGATTCGAGTATGGATTGCTGCAGATTCTTGACCTGCTCCGTCGCATCGACGAGCTCTTCGTGCAGACGATGGATCTCGGCGTCCTTGTCTCTGACGGCGGTCTTGATCTCCTGGCGCAGGACGTCTTCCATGCCGGCGGACAAGGTGCTGTGCTGGACGCGAAGCTGCTCGAGTGCGAGCTCGGCCTCTCGCCATCGCCGCTCGTGGCTCTGCGTCTCGGCCTGGAGGGTGGCATAGCGTTGGTTGGTGTCGTTGGTGAGATTCCGGTTCGCGTCGGTCAGGGCGGCGTTCACGTCGGACAGACGGGCAATTTCTTGGCGGAGGTGGTGCAGCATCTCGCTGATCTGGGCGAGCTCGGCATCCTTGGTGCGGATTTGGGCGTCACGTGCCTCGACCGCGTCGGCTACCTGGCGATCCTGGTTGAGGTTGGCGTCTTGCATGGCCTCTTCTGCTCTGGCCTTGGCTTCGTGGAGCAAACGGTTCTCCGAGGCGAGCTGGTCGAGCCGTGTCTCGAGGTCCATGATGTGGATGCTCTGGCGCTTGCGCACGCTGGGCGGGCGGGTTGGCGACAGCGGTGGGTGTGGCGCATCGCCCCAGCCCTCCTGCGAATGGGTCAGGAACACGGAGTCATCATTGGCTGGGGCGGCGGGACTTACGTAGCTCTGCGACATGTCTGGGGCGCGGCCCTTGCCCTTGTCGCGCACGCGGTCGTAAGTTGACGGGCCGGGGCGAGTGGGCGACGCGATGGGTGCTGAGGTTGCGGCCGGTCTGGTGCGCGCCTTGGCCTCGGCAAGCTGCGACGCAACCCGCAGGTCACCTGACACAACCCTGTCCACCCGACGCAGCGGCGGCGTCTCGGACCGCGCGCTGATGGAGCTGGGTGACCGCAGCTGCTCCGGCGTCTTGATCCTCGCGAAAATGCTGCCTGCGTGGCTGCCGACCGACCGATCGCTCACCACGCTCGACGGCCGCTGCCTGTCCACGAACGGGTCTCCGAGAACGCCCTTGGTGTTGTTGACGCTGGCTTGGTCTTCCTCGGGATGGCCCGGCGAGGACTGCATCTCATCGTTCAGGCTCTTCCCGGATCCGAGGCTGCGACGCAGCGATTTGACTCCATGATCTGGCATGCCCACGTCTGAAATCGGCCGCCCTTTCTTGCTGTATGGAGCCTGATCGTCGGGGCTGTACTCGCGGATCGTGTTGAGGCACATGCTTGGAGACTTGAGATGGCGCGATGCCGTCGTGCTCGGCGGAGACCTCTCCGGGCTCTGCTGGCTGGGATCTCCAAAGAGTGATACCCGCGCTTCTTGTGGCGCTTCTTGTGCCTGTTCCCGCGCCGCCGCCGGTGGAGAGGGAGGCACGCTCCTGGGTTCGCCGGCTGTATCTGCTTCTTTCAACGGGGTATCAATAACGGAGCCTGTCGAAGATGAAGAGAACAAAGTGGACGATCGTGCCCTTGTCGTCGTGAGGGATTCAACGGGAGATGCGTATACCGTACCTTGTGCCGTATTTGCATCGGCCCATTGCGAACTGCTCTGCTTCACGGGTGTTTCTGTCGGAGGAACCCCCTCATCATTATCTTCCACGGCGATCTTTTCGGTCGATTCACCCTGTCTGACGGATGTCTCCCATTCCGGCCCGGTTTCTACATCCACGCGCATTGCTTCAGCCGGGGAAACCTGTTGTTCGTCTTCAATCGGCGTGTGATCGCCGTCGTGGAAACCGCTATCCCTTACCATGCTCTGGAACGTGGGCTCGTTGGGAATCGTCGGCGTGTCGTTCATGTTGACCGCGCTGTCCCTGTTTGGCAGATCCGGCGGAAATCCCCATGTGGGTTGTTGCATGACATGTCCAAGACCACCCAGACGACGCTGAGGTTCTGATCCCGACTCCTTCTCAATGCTGCGCTTGCTGTGCAACGGCGAGCTTCTGCGCAGCCTTTCAAACGACCCGCGGTCACTCAAATGGGAAGACCGGGAGTCTTTCTTCTCGAGAGAATCCGTGCTGGGCTCTGCTTCCTTCGGTGGTGGAACCTTGCGCTTCACCCTTTCGAGACCAGGGAAAAGGTTCGCAATCTTGCTGGCCTGGCTTTCAGCCGGTGATGGCACGTCCTGCCCGGCTGGCTCCTGCTCCGTGCTGAGCTTCGGAAGTGTAGTAGCCGGTTCCTCAACCGCTCCGACGTTGATTGGCTCCTCCACGTTCTGCCTCTCCACCTTCACTTCAGCTGCCTTCTCGTTCATTGGCAACATTGCTTGCTCAGCCATTTCCTGAACCGACATCCGCTTCGTCTCGTCACTCTTCTTGTTCCATGGGAAGTCCCACTCTGACTTCGGTTCCATTTCCTCCACATGAGGCTCTTCGTTCCGCTGTTCAACCACCTCAACGGGTGATCCCGTCTGCGCCGGACTCTCAATGGGCGTCTCATCCTCCACCTGGTCCGCCCAAGATGTCGAAATTGGAGTTTGCTGGCCAGACTCATCTCTCACCCCCTTCTTTCCTTTCTTTCCCTTCTTGCTCTTCTTCCTGGTCGGCACATCCCACTCGTCTTCCGCGACAGGGTTTCGAGCACCGCTTGTATCGGCCGTGGCATTTTCAACAGAAAGGTCGCGCTCGTTCGCCTCTACATTCTCGACCCCAACCTCGGTAACTGGATTCTCAACAGCGGTGGGCACATCCGTGGGAGCCTCGACCGCCGGAGACTCGACAGCCTTCTCCGGGATGGGTTCGTTCGCAGTGGGAGGTTGCGTTTCCTCAATCGTGATATCCTTTGAAAGTCCGACTTCGACGGGCGACTGATCGCTTACAGACCGAGGTTCTTCAGCAGCGACATCAGGCAGTGTCTCAGAACCCACGTAACCAGCTTCGTATTGAGGCGTACCAATGGGCGAAGTGGGTCGTTCTATATCCTCGGCTTGACCCTGGTCCGCCAACTCGGCTTCAGGGTTGACATCTTGACTCTTCTTGCCCTTCTTTTTCTTTGGCCGTTTCTGGAAAGGGAAGAACTCATCAGACACGGCTTCCTTCGCGGCGTCGGGCGAAGGGGTGCGCCTATTGAAAGTCGGGTCATCCAGGACAGAAGCCATCGCGGCAGCGAAGGCCGGTTCTTGGCCGGGAGCCTCTTCCACCGACCGCTCCTGGCTGGGTGCTTCATGGGTGGCGACTTCTTGTGTGGCAGAATCTCCCTGAACTTCGGGCGTCGCGACAGCCATCTTCTTCTTCCTGTTCTTCCTCGGCTTCGGCCAGGCAAATTCATCGTCAGGGTCAGCCTCAAGAGCTGAACTCGATGGACTCTTGCGTTCGTGAAAAGCGGGGTCGCTGAGAACAAGACTGGGATCGAAACCGGAATCTTGCAAGCCTGCGGCGAGGGTAGCTGCGAAATCAACATCGCGTTCAGGAGATCCGGATTGCCTTTCTTCAGTGCCAAAAGCCGGTTCGGTTATCTCCCTTGGTAAATCTTGAGTTGGTGAAGCGCTTTCAGCAGGCTTGACTTCAGAAGGCGCAGGTTCATCAACAGGCGCGGATTCGATTTCAACAACTGATTCCGCGGGGAACTCCTTCGGCTCAGGTATTGACTCCTCAGTAACGGGGGTTTCTGTGCCAACACTCTTCCTCCCCTTCTTCTTTTTCTTCTTGCTTTTCGTGACTGGCGCGAACTCCTCAGAAGGGTCCACCTCCGCCTCCAATGGCACTGAAGTAGGCTCCACAGGCGGCTCATCGGTATCCCTCGAAGTCTGCAAGGGCGGGCTAATAACGGCCTCAGCTTGCGTGTCAGCTGCCTGCTGCGCTGTAGTTGGCTCCCTGGGCGCATTGACATTTCCAATCGAAGCAGATGGTATTTCTGTAATTTCCGGAGCGAGATCAGACTGCCGTAAGTCGGGAGCACTTGCTAGATCACGCCCTCCAAAAGCGTTGGAAGCTTCTTCAGCTATGGGCTCGGTTGACTTCAGGCGATCAGGAGATTGTTCTTCAGGCCGCGAACCGGCAACAACATCGGTCAAGATGCTCGCTGCATCTGCAAAGCCAAAAGGCGCGGTTACGGAGCTGGCCTTCCTGTCTTCGCTTTCCGGAAGTTCTCTTGTGGGATGTATAGAGATTGGCCCTTCGACCTCTAGCCCAGGCTCTGGATTGAACGACTCCTGTGGCATGTCTCGAGACATGCGTTCCGGAGTGACGTCTTCCGCAGCGTGAGGCACCAAAGGTTCTTCAGGCAAAGCCCTGCCGATTTCGGCAATGTTGTCTTTCGCCTCTTCTGTGCCTTCATGCTCTCCTACTGTCGGAGGCTCCGATTGAGCAACGGGGCTTTGCGGCTCAGGTTCCTGGCGCTTCGAGTCAGACAATCCTGCAGCCACAGCAGTGGCAGCATCAGCAAAACTGAACGAAGGAGCAGTCGCCTCGGTGTGCTCCTCAACCCTTGGAAGTTCCTGCTCAACAGGCGCCTCCTTGGATACGGTGTCATCGAAGGGTGAAGATGTTTGGACCTCTGGCGAATCATCAATCGGCACAGCCACAGCGGCGGCGGCAGTAGCAGCAGCGGCCTTCTTCTTTTGCTTCTTTTTGTCCTTCTTGCTCAAAGGCATGCTGAACTCGTCTGGAACGGTCTCGACGAGTGCAGACTCTTGCAACCCTGTTGGAGTGTCCTCGGGTTGCTGTTCACTGATGATTTCAGGCTCGCGCTGGGGTTCCGGAAGTTCGGTTGGCGGAGTGGAGATGCTTTGCTGCTTGCCCTTCTTGCCCTTCTTGGACTTCTTCCGCGTCGGCACGGCCCACATATCTTCAGCCTGCGCCTCATGAGGCGTGGTTTGGATGGTGGCAGTTTCTTGAATGGGCGTCTCCGTGGTGCTTGTGTCGACAGCGGGCTGAGTTCGCTCAACGTCATGTTGAACTTTGCCTTCAGTCGGCGAAGATGGCTCCAGATTGACAAGCTCAACGGAAGTTGGGATATCGTTGAGTTCATCATTGTCGCCAAGTGACGTTGGTTCTTCAATGAACTGAGGCATAACGTCTTGCGTCTCTGCAGCAATTTGGGTAGACTCTTGTATGACCGAAGCAGGCTCTTCGGCGACCGGTGCAAACTCCTCGACAGCCTGAATAGGTTCCTCAACAACGGGACTAGTTGTTTCCAAAGGCACCGTGGACTCTGCAACGGCAGGGGCAGAATCTTCGACAACCGTAACTGGCTCTTCAACGACCAGTGGCGTACCGGGCGTAGAATCGCGCTTCCCCTTCTTGCCCTTCTTCTTCTTCTGCTTGGCTGGGAGAGCCCATTCATCTTCGCCTGCTTCCTGAGGGGTCAGGACGCTCGCAGTTTCTGTTACGACTGGCTCAGAAGGCAATGATTCCACGGGGTTTGGCTCAATGGAGGCCTCGACAGGTTCTTCGACGACGAGCGGTTCCGGTGGCTGCTTTTCGACAACGGGCCTGTCCGATGGTTCATCGACCACAGCTTTATCAGCGGGCTCCTCCGCTAAAGACTCGACATGCGGCTGCAGCTCGTTGTCTTGTTGTTCCGAGATTTGCTTTCCGATAGCCCGGACAACAGGCTCGTCGACGTCCTGCTGTGGCTGTTTACTCGAACTTAGTTCGGCATCCTTGCTCTCCGGACCATGCGCCTCGACAGCCTCAATAGGCGTCTCGAAGGCAGGCTCCACAGCCGGCTGTGGCTGCTCAATCGGGACAATCTCGACATCGTTGCTTTCGCGATCTTGCTCTTGCACCGCCTTCTCCTCAACAGCCGTCGGCGCCTCAACGGGGGTGGATGGAACCTCAGACACGGAGCCTTGCTTGCTCTTCTTCGCCTTCTTTTTCTTCTTAGACGACATCGAAGCAGGCGCCCACTCATCCTCAGCATTGGCCTCGCCAGCGTCGCCAGCCTCGTTGACCTCGTCAACTACAGCGGGTGTCTCGAGAGCGACTTCAGGCCGCGACAGCTCCGGACCGGCTTCAGGCTGTGCGTCTTCCACGTTCAAAATTTCTCTGGACTCCTCAACCGGCAGAGTGCCAGAGACGTCCTCAACGACCGCGCTGGGCTCAACGACATCGGGTTCTGTCGTATGTGGTGATGCTGCAGGCTCCTCATCCAAAGACGCTTGTTTCCCCTTCTTCTTCTTCTTGCTCTTCTTTCGCATTGGCAAAGCCCAGACATCTTCAACCTCGGCCTCCTTCGGCTGCTCCGGAGTTGGGTCGATTTCGGCTGGCTCCTCCGTGACAACACCGCTGGTTGACTTGGTGTCCGAGGATGGCTCCTCCCTCGGCAGCTCCTGAGCATTTTGCGGTTCCAGAGCCCCAGCGGAGGACTCGACGGGCACATCAACGCTCGTAGCTTCTTCCACGACTTCGTTTGGAACGTTCGCCGGGACATCCGACGGTGCCGATGCACTTTCTTTCGTCTTCTCATCGCTCTCGCCGGCCCGCTCCGGCAACATCTGTTCAGGAACGGCTGGAGTCTCCGTTGCCTGCACAGCCTCCTGCACGACTTCGGCCGAACCATTCTTCCCCTTCTTACCCTTTTTCTCCTTGGCAGGAAGGGCCCATTCGTCTTCACCCGCTTCTACCGAGGTTGAGGGCTCGCCGAAGGGCGCAGGCGACTCCACGACCGTTGTTTCGGCCGGAGCGCTCTCCAAAGGCTTGTTCTCGACCGCGATTTCATCCTCGATGGCTTGGACAAAAGGCCCCGGAGCTCGGTCTGTCTCTTTCGGAGTCGACGAAGTGGAGTCTTGCTTCTTGCCTTTCTTGCCCTTCTTGTTCTTTCTCGCGGGCATGGACGCCCACTCGTCGTCGGCAGCGGTGGTCTCCGGAACGACGGGAGATGTGGCTCGCTCTTCCGCCAAAGGAGGCTCAGCCAGCTGCAAGGGTGCCTCAAGCCGTGGCTCGGCAGCAAATTCGATGTCCCTCGGCACCTCCTCGGCGGCTCCAGACTGCGGCGGTGGAATCGACTGTGGATGATGCGCAGAAGCCGCAGCGGGATCCTCAGTCCAAGCGTCGGCGTCTCGTGGCACTGATTCAGTAGTCTCCGGAAATGGGGTAGCGGTGCTGGAGATCCGTTCATCAGTGGGCACCACGTTTTCGTCCGCCAGTTCTTGACCGGTGGAGGCGACGTCACGCTCGTTGCTCTCCTTGCCCGTTTCCTTCGACTGAGTTGGCAGTTCCCACTCGCTTGCATGAAGCGGTGGCTCCTCACGTGACTCCTCTGCCATTAGATTCGAGGAGTTTTCCTCGCTTACGGGAGCACAGGGGTCGATGGGCATCAACGCGGCCGGGGAAGCGGGGCCACGTAGGTCGTCCGCGACGCTGGCTGGCCCATGGCTAGCCACAGGCGTGATTTCATCTGCAGCCTCGACATTTTCCACTGCAGGCTGCAGCTGGTCCACTGCAATGATTGACGGCTCGCCTTGCATTGGTGACGCCACCGTCGCAATGCTCTCGGCGGCTGATGCCTCCAATTTTGGGCTTGCCGGTGCCGAAGATTCGATCGGTGTCTGGACTGTAGAGCCGCGCTTCTTTTTCTTTTTGTCCTTCTTCTTGCTCTTGCTGGGGGCAGACCACTCATCCTCTGGTTGAGCTTCGATGACGGCGGGAGATTCTTGGCCAAGTGTAGGAATTTCTTCAGCAAGCGGGTCCTTGACATGTTCTGGATCGACTGCCTGCTGTGGTTCCGCAACCTGTTGATCATGAATCTGCTCAATCGCGGGAGTGGTAGCAATATCTGAAGATGGAACGGGCTCCTCGATGTCCGAAGGCAGTGGAACGTTTGCAGCCTCCTCGGCGGTAGAAGATTCCAACGTTGAAACCGGCGCTTCAATAGGCAAGTGTGGCTCAATGACATCGGTGGTCGAGGATAACGACATGACAGCAGGTTCTTCCTCCGTCTTGATCTCTTGCGTGATTGAACGACCAAGGTCATGCTCGGCGTCACGCTCGACGTCCATCGGGCCTGGCCCTGTCTCTGCACCAGCTACAGTAGTGGCAGCTGTGCTCGTTGCAGGCCACTCACCGGTATCACCAACCACTTCAAAAGTCTCTGCGGGCTGCTCCAAAGCGTGATGAGCGCCAGCTGGGTCCATGATGTCCGCCTCACGTGCGACCTGAGATTCACTGCCTTCAACGGGAGTTGACGGCTCAGTGATGTCCACGCTGGATTGAGCAGAGACCTTCGCCTTTTTGCCCTTCTTGCCTTTCTTTTTCTTGGATGGTTTGACTGACCATTCCTCTTCTGGCTGCGTCTCATCGATGCTGAGTGGAATCTGAGATTCTTGGGACGGAACAAGTGGCTCATCAGGGGTGTGGGATGCAGCAAGAGGATGAGAAGCTTGCGCAGCATCAGAAGCAGCCGGTTGAGGCTGGAGCTCTGTGACAGTGGGCATGGCTACAGCCTCATCGGAGGTGTGAGCTTTAGCAAGCGGTTCGGGCACCTTGACGACATCAGAGACAGCAGGTTCCTTTTCAGCCTTGGATATAGCGGTCGTGGTGGTCTCAGGCTCCCAACAGGGTTCAGAAATAACAGCCGCCTCCGCAGGAGTACCAGTAGCCGTCGGCGCCTGAAAAGCGTCGAAACTCTTGTCGATGACCGGCTCCTCCACAACACTTTCCGGCTCAATCTGCATAGCCCGTGCAGCCTCGTCGAACTCCCGGCGTTCATCTTCAGGCATGGTCAGCTGCTCAGCAAAGTCTTTGTCGTCTACCTTAAGCGGAGGCACCCCAGCGCTGAAAATGTCGTGGTGTTGCTTCTCTTGCACTTCCTCAACGAGGGGTTCGGCTTCCATCGCTGCCCGAGCAGCCTCGTTGTGGTCCTGAGGCTGCTCATCTTGTGCTCGTTCAACAATAGGCTCAATCTCAGAAGGATGGTAGGCTCCCGACAAATCCTTGCGTTCGTCCTGCGGCAAAGGCAGCTGCTCCTCGGATAGTTTGTCACCGGTCGCTCCAGGTAAGGATATGTCAGCCCCAAGGTTATAGTGAGGCTGATTCTGCTGCACGTCTTGAAACACAGGCTCAGTCTCCATGGCTTGTTCAGCCTCCTTAAACTCCTCACGCTCGTCTTCTGGTAGGGGTATTTGCTCAGCCAGATCCTCATTGTGGCTTTCGGGTAAAGGCGCATCGGTGCCGAAGAAGTGGTGGGGATGTTTCTCTTGCACCTCCTCAATGTGGTCTGGAGCAGAAACAGAGAGCTCGGGAGTGGGAACAATCCCTTCTTCCCGCTGCTGCTGGTCCTTGGAAGGAATGACCGGAAACTCAGCCTCCTGGTCCGCCTTGGGAAGCACCTCTTCGACATGCTCAGGAACGACCGAAGGGTCGGGAAAGATCACTTGTTCGGGGATGTCGGTTGTCTCGGCAACGTCGCGGTGCTTCTCGACTTCCGGCTCTGCGAGGTCCTCGTCGCCCTCTGCATCGGGCAGAGGAATGAAGACGGCATGAGGAACTTGGCCTTCCGCTACAGTCGTCACAGGCTCGGAGACGACCTCCTGCGGCATGTCTTTCGAGCTTGGCTGTTCAAAGCCAGCTTCCACCGGAGCTTTGTCCACGTCGGGTGCCTCGGATACCAGCATCTCAACAGACTTGTCCAACTCGGGCTCAGCGGTAGCTGTAGGCAGTACAGGCTCGAGCGCCTGCACGTCTTCAACGGGCGTGGTGACGACATCAGCCGGACTTTCAGAAACGCTCTTCCTGCCCTTCTTGCCCTTCTTCTTTTTCTTTGCAGGCACGGCCACGAACTCCGACTCCGGATCGGCTTCGACAATGTCAGTAGGCCCCGCCTGTTCCGGTTCCGGGCCCGGCACGACCTGCTCTTCGACACCAGCAGAGAACGGAGGCTGGGTGATGATGTTTGATTCAGCTGGCTGGACGGCAGCGACGCCCTCCTCCAGCACCTCCTGCACCCTCCGCTCGTCCACTATCGGAACAGCAGAAGCGTCTTCAGTTGCTGACGCGGGCTTCTCTTCGTCAAGCGCGGGGTCGGCTGAGCGATCTGGATGTTCGAAAACAGGTTGCGGAACAGTCTGCTGAGGCTCCTCAATGACCGCCGATTCACTGGCCTTCGGCTCATCGACGCTCAATGCGGTTGATGCCGGATCTTCAACGGGCGTCGCGAATCCCGAGGCGCTGCCGCTGCCGTTCTTCTTACCCTTCTTCTTCTTCTTTTTCGAAGATACGACAGGCGCAAATTCGTCTTCCGGGTCTGCCTCAGGGGCCGGGGTGGTGGCTTCAACTTCAACCCTAGGGAGCTTCTCCGCCGGAGTATCACGACTTTCTGGAGCAAGCTCAGAAACGATGTGTTCAGGCTCGTTGGTGACGGCCGCGGCTGGCTGAGGCTTCTCGGCAGTAGCCTGCGCATGTGCCGGCAGCTCGACAGCCGGATCTTGGGAATCAGGCTGCTCAACAACCGACTGCTCGAAAGTCTGCTGTTCGGCCATCGGCTGTTCAGTGATTTGCTCTTCGACAACCGGCGCTTTCGCCAGCTCCTCTTCGACGACACCCGACTGATCAACAGCCAACGGCCCAAGGACCGGCTCCGTGTCGATCGGCTCTTCTTCAACCGGCGTCGCCACTCCCGCACTGGCACTTCCACTCGCACTCGCACTCCCACTCTGCTTACCCTTCTTCTTCTTCTTTTTGTTGTTCTTCGACGCTGAAGGGGAAGAAGAAGAAGCAGCGGTTTCGATCGGCGCAAACTCCGCATCGGGATCAACATCCCCAGCAGGCGCGGGCATAGGCGCCGTCTCCTCAACCACCTCTTCCTCACCAGCACCAGCAACATCAGCACGAGGCATCACGTCTCCAGCGGCAACGGGAGCAGTAACAGGCTCTTCTTCACCAGTGAGAACCGGCGGCGGCGTCTCCTCGACGACAGCAGCAGCCGGCTGCTCCACAGCAACGACAGCGGACTCTCCCTCCTCCTGCTTCTCCTGCTTCTCCTGCTGCTGTATGGGCATCTTCTCTTCATCGACGACCGGCGTGGCAAAGCCAGAACCCGACCCGACACTGCCACCCTTCTTCGCCTTCTTCTTTTTCTTTTTCGACGAAGAAGAGCGCGAGAGAACGGGTGCGAACTCCGCCTCTGGTTCAGCCTCTTGAGCGACAGGAGGCGCGACGATGGGTCCTTCCCGGGAAGCCTCCTCACCCACCACGTCCTCCGCGGAGACGGCCGGTGTCGTTTCCTCGCCGGCAACTGGTTCCGGAGCCATGACGGTGGTCGGCTCGGACAGTGTTGACGGGTGCTCCGTATCCGTCTCCGGCTGCGGCTGCGGCTGCGGCTGTCGCTGTTGCTGTTCCTGGACGGTGGCTTCTTCGACGGGCAGGGGTTCCTGGACAGCAGCAACGGCAGTGACATCTTCGTCCAAATCTGGCATCGCTGGTTCGGCTGCAACGTCCGCAACGCCAATGCCCTTCTCCAGCAACAGGTGCTGCTCATGCTCCGGAACATGCGGTAGCTCGGGCCCAGCCCACTGGACGCCTCTCTGGGGCTCTTCAATGGCCTCCAGCGGCTGCACTCTCGTCGTCTCGGCCCCGTGTTCTGGCTCCAACGGGGCTTCAGTGGTAGGTGATTGGTATGTGTCAGGAAGAGGTATGTCTTCAGGTAGCACATCCCGAGCGTCTTGAGCTTCGACGATAGGCGATTGCCCGCCCTCAGGAAGAGGCACGTCTTCAGGCGCTACAACATCCCGCGCGTCTTCAGTTTCAGCCAGCGGGGTTTCCTCGAGGGCAGCAGAAGCAGCAGCAGAAACATCGACAGGCTCCGCTGCAGTGTCGAAAACCTCGCTCACGGACCCACTCTTGCTCTTCCGGCCCTTCTTGCCCTTCTTCTTCGCGCCCTTCGGCTCTCTAGCCAGCAACGCGCTCGGCACCTCCACAGCAGCAGGCGTCTGCGCCTCGCTCTTCTCGCCCTCTCCCTCTACCGTTCTTTCCACCACCGCCGACTCCGGCACAGCTCCAGCTCCAGCAGCACCATCAGCAGCGGCGCCAACGTCGGCGCCAGCGGCAGAAGGCACCACCTCATCATTACCATCATCAGCAAACCACGCACCAACCGCCTCCTCGGTATCCCTCAGCGTCTTCTCGCGCACCTCCTCGGGGCTGAGCTGTGCCGTCTCCTCGCCATTCGCCGGAGAGGTGGTGCCGAGCTTCGTCGCCGCCTTCTTGCCCTTCTTGCCCTTCTTCTTCTTCGACGACGAAGTCCGCGTCAACAGGGCAGGCCTGGTGGCAGCAGTGGATGGCGGCGACGACGACGGCTGCTCGGCAGCGGCGACGCGAGCCTCTTCGATGGCGGCGTCGTCGGGCTCGCCGGCCATGAAGTCGCCGTCATCGAGGGCGTTGGGTATCTGTTCTGCCTCGACGACGTCTCGAGACGCAATCGGTTCTTCGGCAGCGGCGACGGTCGACGATGGTTCAGGGTCCAAACTCGAGTGGACATCAGGTGCGTGCTCCGCAGCGGCAACATGAACGGCCGGAAACCCTGCATGTTCCTCGACGACGGCCGTGACAGGAGGAGTATCATCGATCCCGCCGCGTGCGGTCGCAGTCTCCGGTTCTTCCACGGCCGTCGGCCGGACGACTTCTTCTTCCTCCTCCTTCACGTCCTCCGGCTGCTGCTCCTCCTCTTTCACCTCAGCAGCCGCCGCCGAAGAAGCCTTCGCCTCCCTACCTTCGTCCCGCTCCTTCGACAACTCGTGGGCGGCAAATCCAGCGGCTGCCGCACCGCCCATGACCGCGGCGGCGGCGGCAGCAGCAGCAGCAGCAGCAGGCCAAGATTCAGAGCTTCGCCCCTCATCTTCGATCTTCCCACTGCCACTGCCTCTGCGACCAGCCAATGCCGCCTCCTCCTCCTCCTTCTCCCGATCCTGCTCCAAATCCAATAACTTCTCAGCAACCGCACCAGGGACGTCTACAGCCACAACATCATCATCATCAATCTCACCTCTCTCATCAGGGGCAGCAGCAGCAGCAAAACCACCCGCACCGAAAGCCCCCGCCTTCGGCGTGCTCTGCTGGCTCCCCAGCAAATCGTCCGAAACGACAGCAGCCCCCGGCGGAGCACCGGTGTCGATCCTCAAGCCCGCATGCCTCCTCCAGTCCGGCGAGCGCTGCTGCTGCTGCGTCGTCGTCGCCCCACTCCCAAACACATCGGCCTCGGCCTCACCCTCGCCATCGTTCGCGCTCGCATACCCGCTCGCGCCTACGCTGCCGCTGCCGCCGCTCTCGCTGAAAAAACTCGCGTCTCCCCGGCTCTCGTCGTCGACGTCTTCCACGGCGCTCGCCCAGTCCTCCCCGCTGCTCTCTTGGCTGACGGACGGACTCCTGCTGCTCGGCAGGGTCGGCAACTGTTCTTCTTCCTCTTCCTCTCCCGCTGCCGCTCCCGCTCCCGCTCCCTTGTTGCCCATGCTCCCTCTCCGGCTCGCGTTCCGCTCGACGAGGTAAAGCGGCCTGAACGTGCCGCCGCCCTTGAACTCCGTCGACGGGAGTCTTTTGTGCTTGTGCTGCTGCTGCTGCTGCTGCTGCTGTTGCTGCTGCGGCATCAGCGGCGTGGCCATCGTGCCGAGCGGGTCAGTCAAGGGCGCCGTCGGGCCGTTTTTAGGGGGCGAAACGGGTGATCGGGGCGCCGACGTGTAGCCCGGGGCTCCGGTACTGGCGCGGCGGCCTTGCTGGGCGAGGAACGGGATGGGGACGGCGGTCGTGCTGATGGGTCTTGACGGCGACGACGAAGAAGCGGCAGGAGTGCCCGCTTCGCTGCCGGGGCGAGGAGACGATCCGAAGCCTCTGAAGTGAAGCGGCACGGCGGTCGCCGAGGTCGCGCGCATCGTGCTGCCGCCGCTCCGCGCGCTGGCTGGCGTGGTTTTCCTGTTGTTGCTGAGCTGCTGCTGCTGTTGCGGCGAGGAGGCTGCTGCTGCGTCGGGGCTGCCGGACCTAACTTTCGGCATGGTTATGCCCTTGGCGTCGGAAGCGCTGCGGTCGTCGGTGACGCCACCTTCTTCGATTGGAGAGGTGGAGCGGCTGCGTGGGAGCGGGGTGAACATCGGCAACGCGTTTTCGAGCTCGTCTTGGTGTTCGAAGTGAGCGGGGGCGATGGGGACGTGGATGGTGGGCAGGGGAGGTAGACGCTCGGATTCACCTCTTGCCCGAAGCCCTAAAAAAGACTCCGCGCCGTGATAGGTGTTGCGTTTGTTACCGCTACCTGGAGTGCTCGCGTCGGCGGTGGTGTTGTCCTTTGTTACAAGATGATTTAGCATGTCTTCGCGGTCGTCGATTGCGTTTGGCGACACAGCGTTGAGAATAGAAGCAGTGTGAGCACCGTCATCGACCACTGAAGAAAATCTCGAAACCTCGACTGGAGAAATTCGAGAAGAAGTAGATGAAAGGAAAGGCTTCTCTGTCGTATGTACCTTGTAGTGTCGGGAATAATCCATACCTGAGTCGTCTCTGCTACCGCTCAGTCTCTTGTCGCGTCTGCTGCTCATGCTCGAGGCAACAGAGCGACTGTCATCATCCGATCCGTACGAGGAGCCATGCGTGGAGCTCCTATGCTTCCGTCTCCTGTGTTTGTGATCATCCACGTCGTTGTCGTCGCGGGCCTTATCGAAGGACTTGGTGGAGCTCGTTTCCGGAAGGCTCTCCTTGGACTTTCCTCCGAAAATGCTAGAGAAGATACCCTTCTTTTCTTTTTCCTTGTCCTTCTTCTTGTCGTCGTCGTACTTCGCCGGGCTCGACACCACAGAGGCCGCGTCGTCGAGATCGCCCTCACGCTTGGACCTACGCTTGTGCTTGCGCCGCTCAGACTCATCGCGTTCACGGACGTCGCCCGGATCAGAGCGAGCATCACGGTCGCGGATTGCATCATCGAAGATGTCGCTCTCTCGCTTTGACCTACGATGCTTGTGCCTCCTCGACTCGTCGCCCTCGTCATCGCGGAACTCGGAGACCACAGACTTGGAATCATCGTCGCCGGTCGACCGATGCTTGCGGTGCTTGTGCTTGCGGTGGCCATCCTCATCGTAACGACCCTCGGAGACGGACGACCGGGTCTCGTCGTAAGTGCCATCCGAGCGCTCGCTCTCGCGACGACGGTGATGCCTGTGCTTCCTTCTGCCTTCCGAGTCCCGTTCATCCGATGCGACTGACCTGGTGTCCGCCGGATCTTCGCTCCGTCTCCTTTGATGGTGCCTGTGTTTCTTCCGTTCACCCTCGTCTTCCCAAGCGTAGCCACGCTCGGGATAATCCTCCCGTGGCGGCGACGGTGAGCCGTACGGATCATGTGGCATGGAGACGCCGGCATGAATGGGAAACTCCTCCGGCTCATCATAAATGTACTTTCTCTGCCTAGAATCCTTCTCTCCCGTGGGCGACCACGGTGGCGAGTCGTCTCTCGGCAAAGGAACGTTGGCTGCTTCGGACGACTCCTGTGAAGCCTTCGATGTGTCCCTCCCAGCTGCTGCCGCTGCTGCCGCTGCTGCGGCGTCCATGCCGATGTAGTCATCGAATGCAACTTCGGATCTCAGCGGGCTCCCTGGGCTAGGGTTGCTGATGCCCAGCCGGCTACGCCTCCTGCTGCCCTTCTTGAACGGCTGTTTCGCATCGGCAAGCTCATCATACTCATGGAATGCCGTGCTCGGGATAGATCGTGCAGGCGATTCAACGAGGTATGGAGCATTAGAAGGGTGTTCGCCGTTCGAACTTGAGGGATACGGCACAGAGGTCGAAGGTGGTGATGGGGCACGAGGCGCGGGTTGCGAGGGTGTTGTGGCGGCCCAGAGGCTATCAGGCTCAGCCTCCTTGCGCTTAGAATCAGCAAGGCCACCGGCAAGAATACCAGCCGCTGTCGCAAAGCTCAAAGGCGTAGCTGAGCTGGGTTGATGACCAGCGTCAAGGCTCCGACGGCGGGAATTGTCATCTGTAACCTCCGGCATGCGGCTTGGGGCCACGCCGAAGTCAGATTTGGCATCACGAGCTTCCTCAGCAGTGGGCTGATACGGGTAGCTGGGCTCTATGTCGCGAGGATCACGATCGATAGTATCCCGCTTCTTTTTCTTCTTGTCCTTCTTGCTGCCGGAAACATCTTCCCACAAGTCTTCAGCCTTTGGTTCCTCAGCAGAGGTGGAGGGCAGCGAAGAGCTCTCCTCGCGGGTCGAGCTTGCGCGCTTCGCAGCTTTGTCGCGCTTCTTCTTGTCTTTTTTGCTCAGCGGTTCATCCCAGACATTCTCGTCAAACCTTGGCTCTGACTCGATTCTGGAATCTCGGTCGAGGTCTTTCAGAGAACCAGTGGAGGAAGCCAAGTCTTCCAGCGTGTCGCCACTTGCACGCTTCGCAGCCTTGTCACGCTTCCTCTGTTCCTTCTTGCTGAGCTTCGGTTCGGCCCAAGAAGCAGTCTCCACTTCCTTCACCGGGTCCTCGTCGTCCCAAGCGCCAGGCATGTGTGGCTCGGCTTCTTTCGGTTTGGATGCGATGATCTCCTCCACGGGCTCGTCGACGATCTCACCTTCCACGAAGCCGTGCCGATCAGCCCCAACCTCCGCACCAGGACTAACATCGTACGCCGCAAGTCCGGGGACCGTCTCGAAGAAAGGCGTCTGATACTTCTCATCTCCTGGGGTGATGATCGTGGGAGTATGTTCAGGAGATGTAGACTCGATCACTGGACGGCCATCGTCCTCAAAGCGCTTGATCTCCTCCACGGGAGACGCAACGTCCGAACTCCAGCTGTGGCGATAGTCGTGAACGTTGGGGCGATAGGTCGTTCGCTCTGTGCCTGACCGAGGCGAGTCGGCTTCGATGACAATCTCGTCGTTTCCTTGATGGCGGTGCTGATCGGCATACGCATGGTCGCCTTGAAGCACCCAATCTTCAGGAAGATGCCGGTTCATGTCCTGCTCAGAAATGTAGTGCTCGCGGAAGCTCTCCGGAGTCCGCGCCTCGTAGTGGAAGGTCTCATCGGCGCCCCAAGTAACACTGGTCCTCTTACTCTGTCTCTCTTCCTTCTCCCTCTCATGCTCAGCGTCTCTGACAGCCTCAGCAGCCTCCTTCCGCGCCTCCATATTAGGCGACGGCGGGGCCGAATGATCACCTCTCATACTGCCTGCAAGGCTAACCGGCGGAGTCGGTTCGATGAGGTTAAGTGTGGGCACGCCATGGAATTTGTTGGACTTGTGGTCGTCACCGTCCCTGCTAGCCGTGAAGTTGTATGCAGGCTCGTACGGCGGCTGAACGACAACGTAGGGCGAGTGGTAGACCTGAACGTCTGCATCCGGGCTGTGGCTGACCTTGCTTGATGGCGAACGATCACGAAGCTCTGGAGGCGCCCAGAAATCCTCCATGTTCTGCTTGTCGGCAGGATTCCTCCAACGTTCCTCAATGTCCGCCATGACCTTCTTGGCAGCGCTTCGCGCAATGCCCTCTTCACGTTCACGACTCGTCTCCCGCTTCGTATCACGCGAGGTATCCTTCTTCTTGAAGTAGTCGGGATCCATAATCTCGTCTTCGTAGAGATGATCGTCGTCGAACTCAATCTTGCTGGAACGGTTTTCGTCGCGATCTTTCTCATGAGCGAGGCCAGCAACGGCAGCGCCTGCAGCAATGCCAGCCGCAGCAGCGACGGCGGGCGTGTTCCAAGAATGATGTTCTTCGGGCTCAACAATATCGCGCTCCCGAGCGCGAAGCTCGCGATGTCGGGCTTCGATGTCATAATTGAGCTTCTCTTCGCGTTCCTGCTCCCTCTTCTTGGCCGCTTCGTCTTCCTCGCGCTGGCGATTGAGCTCTGCCTCGTAGATTTCGCGCTCCAACTTTTCTCGCTCACGCGTGGCAGCCTCATGCTGAAGCCTCCTACGCTCCATCTCCTCTCTTGCAGCCACTTCTCTGGCGGCGGCCGCCTCGGCAGCCTCGGCTCGCTCACGCAAGATGCGCTGCGTCTCGCGATCGAGATCCGCTTTGTCCTGGGCTTCCTGTCTGGCATGCTCGCGCCTTTCCGCTTCTTCGGCTTCACGCCGAGCAGCCGCCTCGCGTTCGGCCTGCTCCTGCTGTCGGCGCTCCTGGACACGCGTCTCTTCCTCGATATGGCGAAGTCGTGCGTATTCACGCTCACGCTCCAGCTGAAGCTCAAGCTCGTGTTCACGTTCCCGTTCACGTTCACGCTCTTGCTCCAGCTCCCGCTCAAACATGCGATCATGCTCGCGCTCGCGCTCGCGCTCCTTCAGCGTCTCCCTATCCTGCTTCTCCCTCTGATCTCTCGTCAAGTCAAAGCCCACCGTCTTAGGCGAGTCGACCCTGACCGAAGGCGAGCTGGTTCTCCTCCTCGACGTCGAAGAGGACCGGCCATGCGATGACGCCGCAATGACGCCTGCGGTTGCCGCAGCAGCGGCTCCCGCGATGACTAGGTCGCGCTTCGTTGAGCTGTGGGTAGGAGTGGGCGAGGAGGCGCGCCTGGGGGGCATCGGGGGCCGTTCTTCAAATTCGGAGTGCCCGGACAGGCCAGGGAATGTCGTGGGAGGGGCTTTTCTGTTGCCGACATCACTGAAGATCGGCGGACCGGATGGCGCCGTATATGCGGGAACCGGAGCATAGCCGGCTTGACTGGTGTACACCGGAGCATTGGATACTGGCGCCATGGGCTGGGGTTGTTGAAGAGGAACAGGTCCAGGATGAGACGTCACGAGCGGTTGACCGTACTGGCTCCGCTGCTGAGAACTGACTGAGGCTGAGCGACGGACAGCATCAAAAGCATTGGGGTCGGAAGTGGCCACCGGCTCAACCGTTTGCAGTGGTGTGGGGACGCTGCTGGCACTGCTCCTGCCGTCAGCCGCAGCTGCATTGGCAAGGCTTGCGCCAATGCCAACGCCAGCGAGACCGGCAGCACCAGATTTCAGGCTGTCATGGGACGTGTGCTTCTTTCTGTCCTTCTTGTTTCCCCATCTCCAGTTCCACTTGTCAGTACCGGAGGCGTTGGATCGGAGACTCTCCATGCTCTTCCGACTCTTTGGACCATAGTCACCGAAAGCGAGGCCAGAGTCGAGACTAGAAGTGTCACTCTCGTCGTCAGAAGCCGACTCCCAGCCCTCTTCGTCCGAGCCCGAGCCCATGTAAGAACCAGGCATGCGGGTACGGTCGCTGGAGTGTCTGGCGCCATGATGCTTGTAGCCTTCACGCAGAGCCAGTTCTGACTTGCGTTTACCGCGGTGCTTATCACGACTGTTCAAACCAGACAATGCTGCGGCAGTAGCACCGAGACCGATGAGAGTTGCGTTGAGCTTCTCATCAGAGTTCCGACGCTTCTTGTGTCCATTGTTGCGACGCGAAGCTGCACTACTGCGCCGAGACAGAGAGCTACCGCCGTACGTCAGACCAGACTCCTCAGACGAGGAAGACGAGTTTCCAAAGTTGAAGAAGCCCTTCTTTTTCTTCGCATGGGCCTTTGCCTTTTCGCGCTTAGTGGATGTTTTTGGGGTTGAAGAGAAGACACCCCCAAACACACTGCCAGTGTTCTCCTTTGCCGAACGGTGCGACCTCGTGTCATCATGACGCGAGGCCGAGGAGATGACCGAGTGACGGGTGTTTTGGTGGTGGTCTTTCTCTCCTACGCCAAAGAATGAGGTCGAGCTGGAGGGTTCCTCAGTGTGGTGCTTCCGAATTGCATAGCTAGGTTGAGGGGAGCTCGAGCGGCTCCTGCTGTGACGTCTCGCGGCTGCACCGGCTACGGAGGCTCCGAGTGCAGCACCGGCGGCTGCGGAGAAGAGGCCACTCTTCCTGTCCCTCGAATGTGAACGGGACTCGGAGTGGTGATGAACGACCTTGTACTCTTTCCGCTCAGTGGTATAGCCTCGGCTAGCGCGGGAGTCCCTTGATCTGCTTCTGTTGCGCACAACACCACGTGAGGTAACACTCCGCCTGTCTCCCGAGCCACTTCGGCTTCTTGCGCTTCGCGACGAACGAGAAGAGCGGTGGCGCCGACCAGACTTTGCGCTATAGGTATCATCGAAATCTTGGTTCTGCCACCACAGGGCCTTGCCGACCTTGGCTATGCCGTAGCCCGCGAGGCCTTTGGCGACCCAAGAGTGGCTCTTGCTCTTGCGCTCATCGTCTGACGAAGAGTAGCCGTAACGAGATCCTTTGTCGATACGTGAATTACGAAGAGAACCACTTGAACGACGGTGGGAGTGATAGTGATGTTTGCGAGGCGCCATCGACGGAGGCTCGTATGGGTCGAAGCAGTGGCGACAAACACCAATATATTCGGTGTACTCCTCCATCTTCCTCACATCTTCGTGGTCTTTCCACCAATCAACGATCTTGTCAACAGGGCCGCGGTTCTTGTGTTGCATGGCCATGCCGAGATCAGAGTAGGCCGGAACTTGCGAAGGGTGATGGCCCCCGTTCGGTGGCAGTGGCGAGTGATGATGGTGATGTGCTTGATGTTCGTGCAGGCCGTACGCACCAGCCGCCAATCCAGCTGCGCCCGCGGCGTAGAGACCTGCGTTAGAGTGGGAGGAGTGCTTACCTGACTTGCTGGGCTTGCTGGTGGCGGACTGGGCGTAGGCTGGCAAAACGGGCTCAGATTCGGCGTATACCTGGCTCGCGGATCCGACGGTTGACGGCGTCGGGTAGTAGTGAGAGTCCTCAACATGGTGGTTGGAGACTTGCGGGTAATATGTGGTGCTGGTGGTGGTCTGGTGGATGCTCGTGGAGTGGTGGGAGGAGCTTCCGTGATGTGAGCTGCTTGACTCGTGGCCCAAGCCATAGGCCAGAGCAGCTCCTCCGGCGGCGGCGGCACCGGTGGACATCTTGCTATGTATGGAGTGTGGCCGCGGTGGCTTGGCCGGCGGATCTTCCTCGAAACTGCCTGGCATGGACAGCGGCCTGGGCGGCTTAACGGGTGGTCTGTCACCATTGATGGTCGGAGTACCGTAAAATTCAAGTGCAGCGCCTTGGCCAGTCTCTGAGGGAGGGTTTGGGGCGGCGGATGGCGACATTAGGTGTGGTTGGGTGCCGACTATCACACTAGGCGGATCAGGCCGAACACCTGGTTGATAGTGCACGGACTGGCCATGATCCCCGTAATAGTCAGAGGCGAGGCCAGTCTGGCTCTGGAGCACACCGGAGGGCGGGCGGTACGGATTGGAGAAGTCGGCAGGATCTTGACCAGGAAATTGGCTTGCTACATGTGCATCCATTCGCCCGTAACCGGGAGAAGTAGGACCAGTCTTTGAAGCACCATACGGGGCGGTGTACTGAGAAACAGTCGGGCTGGTCATCGGGAGGTCATAAGCGCCGGAGCTGCGAGCAGTGATGTCTGCAGCCCGAGGGCGGGTTGGCTCATCCACAATCTCCGAGACCTTGCTACCACTCCTGGTGCGTGTCGGCTTCGGCTTCTTCCCGGATTCGTCCCTCTCCTTTTCCCGCTTGTCCTTGGTGTCCTTCGAGTCTCTCTTGTCCTTCCTCCTATGTTCGCGATCGCCGTCTTTGCGGTCTCGCTTGCGGTCGCGACTAGACGAGCGATCGCGGCGGCGCTCGGAGCGCTCGGAGCGGAGGTCCTCGTCACGGTGCCTCTCTGAGCGGGTGGAGCGGAGATCGTCGTCGCGGCGCCTGTCGGAACGCAGGGAACGAAGGTCGTCATCGTCGAAGCCACTCCGCGAGGGAGCGGTTCTCTCGGATTTCTGGTCGTAGTCTCGAGCAGTGGCGTAGGAACCAATTGACGAGACCGAGGGAGCGGGCTGGGCGTAGCTGTTGCTTCGAGAAGACAAGGTCGGGGGGTAGTCGCTGCGATCCTCGACGCGAGAGGGAGGGTTACGCGCGGTGGAGGACGAGACTATCGACTCTGCGCGGCGTCGCGACGACGAAGAGCCATGCTCTTTGCGGCGACCGTCGTGCGACGAGGCGTCGCTGCCCTTGCCAGTGATTTTGCTCCACATGGTTGCGCGCGCGTGGCGGGAGAGGTGCGATGATGGGGTGGCGACGGAGTCTACGCAGGAAACGGAATGAATTACTCTTGTCTGGGTATTGGGTTGCTGTTTTGGGTATCAGGCTTCAGGTCGTAAGTCGTAAGTCATAATATGGTACAGTGCCGGGGTGAGGGCGCGTCGCAGTCCGTGTCGCGGCAAGCGCAGTGGCCGGCGTGGGTCGTCGTTGCCTCAGCTCGCGCGCTGGCCGGTGCAAGGTGTTCGGTGTGCGATCTTGTGAGGGTTGCGGTCGTCAGCCGAGGGCGAATGAGAGCTGCAGCGAGCGGCGGGTTGTGGTTGGACGCGGGCTGGCAGCGCACAGAGCTCTGAGCTGGCGATCTGGGCGGGTCGTTGATCACATTGCGGTCCAGCCACCGAATTAAAATCCGGAGAGCCGCACCCTCACGCGAATCCACACGTGAATGCGTGATCGGACCTCTCCATCAGCCCTACTGTTGAGACGTGTCAAATAGCATTCGATTCATCTGTCTTGCTGCGCTGCCAAGTATCGCCGGACCCTGGTGTCGTTCCCGCCGGACTGCTCAAGCTATTGGCGCCCCGACGACCCCCGACGACCCCCGCCTGCTCCCTTGCGTGCAGCGAACTGACCGGTCGTCTGCATATGTAGTAATTTACAAATTCAGAATGGTATGCCTCGTCATTCCGCATATCGAAAAGCTCCGCCATTGCCCAGATGATGCAAAAAATCGCGCCAAACGCCCGTCTAGGCCGCCATTTGCCCCCGTCCCTCCGGCCCGTTTCTAGAAGGGTGATCCCGTCGCCATGATGCGCGCCCGCAGCGCCTCTATCTGCGCCCGGTCGCTCGGTGGCAAAGCCGCTATGGTTTCCGGCGACATTTGCATCACCTGCCGAATCAATGCCTGCTGGTCGAAAGGTACTTGGGGTTGAGCGGCAGGCTGCTGCATCGGCATCGGAGGTTGTTGATATGGATTGCCCACAGGGGGAGTGGGGACGTTCATCACACCACGACCAGGCTGCTGGGGCGGGTATCCCGGGAATGCCTGGGGTGGCATAGGTGTGGCAGCAGGTTGTGGCTGGGGTTCCGGTTGCGGGATGGTTGTCGTGTCCACGACCGAGGTGAGGAGAGACTGGTCGATCAATCCCAGAAGCAGCAACGCCTGGAATATGGCAAATGACAGCTGCGGGGCCTGTCTCAGCAGTTCGGTAGCCTTGGCCGGGTCGGTGGTAACCAGTCCCTTCATCTGCGAAAGTATGTCCAGCAATTGTGGAGGAGGCAGGGTTTGGAGCGTTTTGGAGATGGCGTCGGGACAGGTAAGGTTTGGCGGCACGTCGACACCCGGTGGCAAGGGAGGGAGCGTAGCGGAAGGCGGGGCGTCTTGGCCGTTGGATGCAGGCTGTGGTGGGTTGTAGTTCGCGGGGGCACTGTCGCCGGCGCCGTTGTCGTTGGAGTAATCAACCCTCAACTTGCGGCCCATGAGCTCGTAGTCGTTGAGGTTCCGCACGGCGGAGGCGGCATCTTCAGCATCAGAGAACTCGGCGAAACCAAAGCCCTTGGGTCTGCCCGAGTCTTTGTCGTAGACGAGGCGGAAGTTGAGGACCTGGCCGACGCGACTCAGGGTTTCGGTGATGAGCTCTTCGCTCACGCCTTTACGCAAGGTCAGAAGCGGCGCGTGCATGGCCAACTAAGCGTATGCGACTTACCATAGGGGATGTTGCCGATGAAGACGACCCTTCCGCCTTTCTCGGGAGGCATGCTGAAAGAGGCTGCGGACGCAGCGCGACAAAAGGTTCTTCGCTCGCGGGTGCGGACGGATGAAAGCAACTACAGCAAAGGTGCAGCTCAACAGAACAAGATTCGGCGCGCGGCTGGCGGGGTTTGGGTGGGCGGAGGAGCTTCGTGTCTGGCGCGGGAAGCTTTGGTTTCGAATGCGCGAGCTCGCGAGCTCCAAGCAAACTGCCCAGCAGTTGCGATATGGTCCGTGCTCTCGTCACCGCCCGGCGGCCCAGCTGGCCCAGCTCCGCTTTCTCCTCGGCAGTATCCACACCACCTTGCAACGCGACACATAGAAGCAGCATTGTTCGTGCCTGTGTGTACTACTGGCTCGAGCAAACAGCTCTTGTTCTGAACCCACTCACAGGCGACAGCGCATTTGTGTACCCCGTCGACTGCCTGGAGACGACTCAAGTGTTTGCGGCTCAGTCAAATCCTCCGCCACCTGACTACCTTAGTGCCCGCTGGCTTAGCCGTACCTTGCATCTATCTACATGCGCCATGGCGGGTTCTGGAAATGGCAGCGTCCTTTCAGATCTACCGCTGCAGCTTGGCGGAGCAGCTTGGCTACCGACATTGATCTACTCCGGGCCTTCCTCATCTAAGACGATGCCCGCACTCGACATTATCGATCCTGTGCCGGAGTGGAGCATGCGCTGCTGCCATGCGGTCAACATGTGGTGTACTGGAATGGCGTACATCACTGGCCTGCACCTCCGTTGGCGCCTAGGACTTCCGCTTGGGTACGTACGGCTAGGCGACAATCGGCCCTGTTGGGGCTATTAACGGCAGGAAGATCACTCTGGCAGGCAGGCCTCATACGTGCGGGTCGGTTATCCACCAGAGCAGACTCCTTTCGTAGCTTGCCGTCACACCGCATGCCACACGGCCTCGTTCAAGGACACGGCAAAGCGTGGACGGGGCAGCCGTCTCTGGCCGTCGGTGGCAAGCAGCCAATCAGCGCCAGTCGCGCTCAACAGGGCGCCGAGGAGCCTTACTCCCTGCGGAAAGTCCATCCGGCTCCGCAATCGACGACCACAAAATGCCCCATCCCCACTTTGCTTATCGCCCAGACAAGCGCGCTGTCAGCGGCCTCGGAACCCTGCCGTCTAGCCGTCGCACCCATCATATAAATCCTTGGACGTAGCTACTCGCTCTCCAGTTGTCTCATCCATCCGAGTAGCAGAGACACCCCGCCGCCATGTCTACCGAGTCTGTCTCGAGCTTACCCGTGCGGCCCGTCACCCAAGCGGCAGCCCATCCGCTAGCACCGCTCACCGGAGAGGAGATCAAGGCCGCCTCAGCCATCATCCAAGCTGCCTGGCCTCAAGGCACGAACCTGCACTTCAAGGCCGTGACGTTAGAGGAGCCTCCCAAGGCCCAAGTTGTTCCTTACTTGGACGCTGAGCACAGCGGAGCTCCGCGCCCCAACATCCGCCGAAAGGCCTTCATAAACTACTACATTCGCAATACGGTGCGTTTTTTTTTCCCTTTTCAGACTGCTGTGGGCGCGGGGGAGTCCTTTTTATTGGGTTTGTCTCAAAGCGCTGGCCATGCTGACACTCAACCAGAACAAGTATCACGAGGCCATAGTGGACCTCAGCGCCGGCAGCGTTGAAAGGAACGTCCGGTTAGGCCCCAATGTCCATGCGAACGGCGACGGTGATGAGATTGTCGTCATCGAGAAAACAGCCTTGGAGGACGCCGGCGTGCAGGCTGCGATTGCCAAACTGCAACTGCCCAAGGGCACAGTAGTGGTGATTGACCCCTGGATCTACGGTTCCGACGGTGTCAACGATGATGACCGCATGTATCAGTGCTTCATGTACATGCGGGATCCGCTCAACCCCAACGAGGCCGACTCCAACCATTACGCGCTACCCCTTCCCATTTCTCCCGTCATCAGCACCGAGACCATGACCGTCATTCGGATCGACATGTTGCCAACTGGCGTGGACGAGAAGATCAAGCCTCCAGGTCCTCTGAAGATCCATCCACCCAACGAGTACATCCCAGAAGCCCAGCCCAAGCTTCGCACAGACCTGAAGCCGCTAAGAGTGGTACAGCCCGAGGGCGCCTCATTCACCGTCACTCAGGAGGGCACATCATCCGTGATCGAATGGCAGAAGTGGAAGTTCCGAGTGGGCTTCAACCAGCGCGAGGGAATGGTGCTGTATGACGTGCGGTACGACAACCGATCGTTGTTCTACCGCATTTCGCTCTCCGACATGAACATCCCGTACGCAGACCCGCGCCACCCCTTCCACAAGAAATCAGCATTCGACCTGGGTGACGCAGGCGCGGGCATCATGGCGAACAACCTCCAGCTAGGCTGCGACTGTCTCGGCCACATCTACTATCTCTCCTCGGTGCTGTCCGACGACAAGGGCGACACGGTCGACATGCCCAACGTAGTCTGCGTCCACGAGCAGGACGCAGGAATCGGCTGGAAACATACAAACTACAGGACCGGCCGCGCCGCCGTGGTGCGCAACCGCGAGCTCGTGCTGCAGAGCATCATCACCGTCTCCAACTACGAATATATCCTCGCCTTCCAGTTCAACCAAGCCGGCGAGCTCGCCTACGAGGTCCGCGCCACCGGCATCCTCTCGACCCAGCCCATCGACGAAGGCCTCTCCGTCCCCTTCGGCACCGTCGTGCACCCCGGCGTCCTGGCCGTGCACCACCAACACATCTTCTCCCTCCGCATCGACCCCGCCCTCGAAGGCCACGCCAACCGCCTCGTCTACCAAGAAGCCCACCCCATGCCCCGCAGCGCCTTCAACCCGCACGGCACCGGCTACACCGTCACCGAAACCCCCCTCACCCGCACCGGCGGCTACGACCTCTCCACCTCGGCCAACCGCGTCTTCAAGATCGTCAACGCCGGCGTCCGCAACCCCGTCAACAACCAGCCCGTCGCCTACAAGATCCACGCGCCCCCCTTCCAAAAGATGCTGTCCGACGCCCAGTCCTTCAACCACGCCCGCGCCGAGTTCTCCGACCACAACATCTACCTCACCACGCACCGCGACGGCGAGCTCTACGCCGGCGGCCGCTACACCAACCAGTCGCGCGGCGGCACCGGCGTCCGCTCGTGGGCCAATCGCGCCGACCCCGCCCTCGACGCCGACATCGTCGTCTTCGTCCAGTTCGGCATCAACCACGTCCCCCGCATCGAGGACTTCCCCGTCATGCCCGTCGAGATCCTGAAGGTCGCACTGAAGCCCGTGAATTTCTTCGACAGGAACCCCGCCCTGGATGTGCCGCCGAGCGAGCAGGGCTTCAATCGCAGCACCAGCGCGCAGGAGAGGCATCAGCAGAGTGTCGGGACGGCGACGGTGGGGGCGGGCGGGAAGTTGGAGGCGGGGTCGTGCTGTGCGCCGGGGAGTAAGTTGTGAGAGTGGGTGGGGAATTGGTGGGGGAGGTGGTGATGGGATATATATATATATACATATAGGAGCGTCGAGACGCATCTTTTGTGCGTTGTTGCTGTCGTGGTGTTGGTCTCGACGAGCAGGTTATCTTTGCTCGGCAGGAAACTCTTGAGTAGAGAGAGATCTTTGCAATCTTTCACTCAACATTCTCCAGCATTCTCCCTCGTATGAAGCCTTTTTTTCGGGATGTGTAATCCGTATAAGAAAAGTAAAAATACTTGCCTTAATGCTATGATTCGTACCAGCTACGTCATGTGCTAAGTTGAATATTTCTTAAGAGCTCTAACTCTACTGGGTCGGGTTGGAACTTGACGATGTCGGACTGCAAAGCTGTGGTCCGTCTGGCCTAGGGCTGAACGCAAGCCGTGCGTTTCATCTCTATACTTCTACATAAGAGCTGCCTCACACTGTATGCAAAAGTTAACTAACCCGTCTACATCCATCTCACGTGGGGAGTGGGATTTTATATCTGAATGCATTCGTATATGCAGATTTAGTACTCACATCCACATCCGGATCTCTGCTTGACCGCCTAATGAAGAAGATGATATGTTTGGACCTACATCCACGTCGAAATATCTGCGCCGTCTACCCACGCAAACAATCGCCGTATATTAGTTCCTTTTCGCACACACCGTGGCTTCGACAGCAAAGTGAGGAGTAGCTCGAGCTGTTCGAAATGACTCCAAAAAAAAAAAAAGTCTATCGTGACGACGAGCCGAAGAGAGTGAGATGGTAAGGGTGGGGAAGTAAGACCCACCAAAAGATGGTAAAAGAAAATGTCTCGTTAACGAGAAAGGATCCCGTGCGGCTTTCTCTACCTCACATTCTGTGTACGTTCGAAGAGGCAGCTGCACACCCAAGGCTGAGACTCCATTCACATAGTCAATCTTTATGGATGCGTTCCCAAGTCGGACTAAAAATATAAAAAAAAAACAGATTGAGTATACCGAGTCCCAGTCAAGAACCAAGGTTAGCTACCGAGATGCGTATTTTACACGCACCTCTAATGTCGCAAGTTTGTGAGGGAGGATATCGAGTGCTACTGTTTCCTCCACATTCCATTCCTCAAAGGGCCAAACAAGCTGCAGAAGCATTCCCCCGGTCAAGATTCGGTGCGGCACCACAAAACACTGCAAACCAGTCACGGCAATGCAGGTGTCGTGAATCGAAAACACAATGATGTCAACCTCAACCGCTCAGTGCCAGTAAAAGGTGTCCAAGTAAGCTGGCGCGAGGCTGATTCGCCGAGGATGGAACCAGTCACAAGCCATTAAAGCACGCAAAAAGCAGATGAGGATACACAAGCATAAACGCACATGCGTCAAAGACGGCGCTAAAAAAAGAATGATAATCCCACGATAACCAAAGACTTCGACGGTACTGCCAATCAAACAGACCAGCGACCTCGTCTCCTCCCCGACACATGCAGCACGTGGCACCACTCAAAGCGAATCGCACAATTTTCCAAACGTATCCACAAAGAACACAGTATACATTAGTCTAACCAATAATAAAACCATATCTCCCCACTATAAGTCTAAGCAATCAACCCTCTCCAAAAAACAAAGATCCACATCAACGTCATCAATTCATGCAAAGCCTTAGCGAGAGTTAGAGAAAAAAAAAAACTGGCCAACGATGCAACGTCATCGAGAAGAAGATGGAAACAAAAATACAAGGCCATAGACAAACGACGGCGGCGGCGGCGAAGAAAAAGAAGGAGAAGAAGAGGGAAAGGCGGAGAAAGAAACAAAATTGTTCAAGTCCGAGAAAGAAGAAAAGATCCAAGTCATCCCTCCCGCAGAAGAAACAGCAGGATATCATTTCAATCTCATTCCGTTTCCCAATCATCCCTCATTCTCCATCCCCCCAGCAGCAGAAGAAGGCTCGGGGCCACCTGACCTTTATCATTCGCCAGACCCTCGTCCCGATGCTCGTCGTGAGAAAGTGATGAGAAGAGAAGGTAAGAAAGATGTGGTGGTAAGACCGTCGGTCCGGGGCGTATGTACTGGACCAAGAAAAAGATGGAATGAGAAGAAGAAAACAAATTGATTACATCGAACTCCCACCAAAAAAGAGGCTACCATCTTGTACTCCTGATTCTTGTTACTCTTGTTCGTGTATGTGCGTATGTGGCAAGGAGCTGCCGTGTATGGGCTGGATCATGAAATGCCGAATCAAAAGAGCGGGGGAAGGAGAAGAAAAAGAAGCAAGTCCTGGAGAAGGACAGGCATGAAAATGAAATACTTTTTTGTTTCTTCGTGACCAAATGAGTGAGTGAGCAAGTGTGCCTGGAGACCTTGCTTGACGTGCAAGGAAGAGAAAAAAAAAGAATATCAATATGCCAACCCTGTGCTACGGGAGAGCCCCCAGCAGTAGGAGAGAAAATTATCAAATCCGTTCGCCTTCTCTGCACGAAACACCTCGTTCTCTTGCCTAGGACAAGAGCATTACGCGCTACGGGAAGTAGACCCAGAAAACAAGGGAACGCTATTTGTTTGAATGACGCCAGGTGTCCCCCAATTTGCTTTTGATTTTTAGTGACCCGCCGTTTTGAACATGATGCCGTATCCAGAAGTGCTGGTGTATATTTTTCGTGTGGTTGTACAGGGTCTGTATCCTTCAGACCAGTCTTTTTTCTTCATACTTCGTTTCCGATTTCATATCCAGATCGACTCTTGAGAAACCTTCGAGTTGCTGGGGGTACTCGTGATACCACATCGACTGTTAGCGGTTTCGTGAGAGTTACGAGCTCTTCTCGCTCCCAACGCCTGCACCTAAGCCCGGGAAGACACCCCAAGCCCCTCCTTGCGAGGAGTTGGTCCCGCCAAGGCCGCTAGACAGCCTCTTCGCCTTCTTCTCCTTATCAGCAGCGGATTCTTCTTCTTCCATGTCGAACAGGCCCTGTTCTTGCTCCTCTTCAATGGGCTCACGGCCAATGCTGCTGCTGGAGATGGCGCGGTCCATACCGATTCCGGACCTCGAAGCTGCGGAGCCAAGACTGGAAGCTGAAGTCAACCGTCCAGACATGCCCGGGTGCTGTTTGTCTTCCGGACCTTCGGGCTTGGAGTCCACGACGAGAGATGAAAGGCGCGTACGCTGGAGCTGCTGACTGAGCGTGCTGATGCTGCTCTGGCGCGGCGGGCTCGCAAGACCGAATGGGCTGGCCTCACCGGTCGAAGGGGTCCTGCGATCTCCGATGGGACGGAGGGACGGGCTCGCGTTCGGGTTCAGGGAAGAACCACGGAGAGGGGAGCCCACATGGCCGAAAACGTTGGCGCCAGGGCTCGATGAGATCTCCTCGGCGGGCTTGTGTGTCCGGGAGAAAAGCGCGCCAAAACGGGAGGGAGAGGAACCCAAGGGTGAGCCGACCTTGGAATCGCCTGGAGTACCCAGGCCGGAAAGCGACTGACGGTGGTTGAACCCGTGTTCGTCTTCGCCAGCGCGGGAAAAGCGGCGCATCTTCTCCTGCGGGGTCAGCAACTCGTGGAGGCTGTTGGGGACCAAGTCCTCCTCGAATGCGAAGTTCTCATCCCACTCGTCCTGGCCAAAGCCCGGTCGCGTGCCCAAGCTCGCCGACATGACCTTCGGTCTCGCGAAGCGCTCCGAGTGCATGATGCGTCTGCCCATCATCGGCTCTTCCGTCGTGGGCGGGGATGATCCCAGGCCATTCCTCGCGAGCGCCTCATCCCCAAACGCAGAGCTGTGCAAGTTCCTCAATGTAGATGTCTCAAGCGCTTTGTTCTGATACGAAGACGGCGGGGAGGAGCCCTCGAAGCCGAAGCGCGAGGGGACGGATGCGGCGATGGGACCGTAGCGAGCCATGTGAGAAATTCCCTGGCTGTCGAAAGAAGCGGGGAGCGGGGCATCGAGGACGCTCAGGCCCTTCTGCACGGGCGACGTCGGGAGACGGCTGTCATTCGGCGGTGAACCGAAGTTGGAACCAGGGTTCGAGGAGAAGGTCTGGTCGATGGTGGGTATCATGTCGTGAAGATGTTTGCCCTGAGCGCCCAGGTAGGGCTCGTCGGAGGACATGTAGGGGTATTGCGGGCCGCCGGCCATGGCTTGCATGGTGAGCAGCGAGCTCTGGGTGGCGGGCGGGCGGCCGTAGGGATGCCTGCCCATTGCGAGGTTCGGGCCGTTGACGCGCCTGCCATCGGGGAGGATGTGTGCGAGAGCGCATTTTGCGCCGAACTTGCAGTTGCCCTGGGGGTTGTGTCAGCTCGCGGCGTCGGGGACGGGCGCATCGGGGGAGCAGCGGGGGCGGGCAGACCTTCTGGAAGTACTTGCACGGGGCCGTCTCGGTGGCCAGGTCGTTGGTGTGCAGGAAGGGACAGGCCTTGCCGGCCTGGCACACGCCCTGGCGGTAGAATTTGCACGGGACGTGGGCAGTGCCTTTGAGCTCAGTGGGATCAGTGCTAGTGGTCTTGGGCGGGTGCTTCCGGTGAGGCAGGCGCTCACTCTTGCTGTTGGGCGGGCTGCGAGGCCCGTCGAAGCCGCTCATGCCGCGCACATGGCCCTGCTGGCCGTTGGAAACGCGGTGTTGTATGGGCACGCCCTGCTGGCTGGTGGGGCTCTGGACCTGGCCGTTGCTCTGGGAGCCGCTGAAGTCGCGCGAGTGGCGGTTCGAGACGCGGGCGCCGTTGGCGGCGGGCTGGGGCGGGAATTGGGGCGCGAGGGCGGGCATGCTGGGGTTAGGGAGCGGCGGCGGGGTATCGTGGGTTGGGCTCTGCGGAGTCGGGGAGAAGAGGGCCTGCGGAGGAGCAGGCTGGGGCTGGCTCTCGGTGGTCATGGTGGCGGCGGTGTCGTGGCCCGGCGGCGGTGGGCGAGGCTGCAGCTCAGTCCGACGTGGTCGAGCGAGCGAGTTGGGACCGGGACGGAGACTGGTCTGGCGCTGGCTCTGGTTCTCTGGCTTGGGCGGCGGGACGATGGCCGTCGCGATGCTCGCTTACGCTGCAACCAGGACCAAGACCGGTGACGGGCGCTGTGATCAGAGCTGCTATCAACGCTCGCCCTGCACCTGAAAGCCGCGTCTTCAGCGCTGCGGCTGCGGCAGTGCATCGCCCAGATATGCGTGCCGCCCGCCCGTCACGAGGCGCGACAGGCAGCAAGTCACCCAAGTCACGCAAGCCGGCCGCGCGCACGCGTCTTCGCAGCAGCTATGAGCTCATGTCCCATGTCTCACTCGCCCGCCCTCGACAGCACTCCCCGTCCCGCGCCTCCCCCACGCTGCTCGTGGGCCAACCGAGCCCCCGTCATGCGCCCGCTGACCGGGGTACTGCGCCGTCCCTTGCTCGCGCTGTGGCGCCGCCCTGGCCTCAAGCCGCATCGAGATCGGGCCCTGCCGCCCGAACACCGCGTGCCTTCAAACCTTACTTGCAGGCCCACCGTCGCCCGCCCTTCGAGCCTGAGCCTTCTGACCGCTGCCCTGCCTATAGCTGTGCTTTGTTGGGTCGTGTCAACCGTCAGCTGGCGTGGTGGGTGCCGCTGCTTCGGTAGGTACACTCGAATCCAAACCACACCATCACACGCTACTCCAAATAGACGAGCCTCTATCGCGCCGACTATGCCTTTGCGCGCTTGTCCTCGTGACCAACTGCATCCGCGTGTTCCTGAAGAACATCGGCCTGTGGTTAGCTGGTGTCACTTAGCCCCCTAGCATGCCATCAGGCACCTTTCGCCGTGCGCCGTTCCGTCATGTCCCGCGTGATGGATTTGTGGGGTCTATCAGTATATACTAGTGTCTAGAAGCTCCAAAAAACCTCAGCAGCTTTGAAGAGACTCTCGGTACCCATGCGGGTCACAATTGAACGTTTTACGACAATACCTCGCACGCACAATCTTCACGTCAGAAGGGCTGTCATGGACATGAGTTTTTTTTTTTGAGACCAGTGCAGCTATTGATTTGTTACTCACGAGGAGCACAAAGTTTCAGCTACGTACACGAAGGCCCGGTACCCTCCAGGTGCGCTTTGGCATGCAAACGAGTGGAGTGAGAAAAGCAAAAGCAACAGAAACTTCACCCCGATCTTTCTTCAGATGTCCTGGCCCCGAATCAAGCCGGCTGCGAGACTGTTGTCAGTCCAGCCCAACTGCAGGTCATCCATAAAGAACACCCTATCTTCGTCCGGGTCGTTCCAATAGTATGCCTTGATGCGGATCGAAGACAAGTCCGTGTAGTCTCCGCCTTCGGAAGAGAAGTCCACCTTGGTCAACTCGCATTTGCATTCCTCGTCCTCTGTCGCCTCCGAGCAGGGAGCCATGCCAAAGGTCGAAATCGCGTGAAGCTTTTCCTCCTTGGTTTCGGGGATCCAACGGAGTCCGGAGACCTCGAGAGTGCAGTTGAGCGGCTCCGGCGCATTATCCTGGGAAATAGGGCCCTTTTCGCAAGAGAAGGATCCGCCATAAGCGTTGAAATGGAAGGCCGAGTTGATAACACGGTTGCCGCCGGGGCCGATGCCACCATTTGGAAGCGAGCCATTTTCATGCGAGTCTCTTGTCATGTTGGGCATGTACATGGCCAAGTACGGGGGCGAGGCAGGACTGACTGCATCATAATCCGGCGGGACGTAGACGAAACCCTCGTTGAAGCGTAGATGGTGATCCGTGCTGTTGATGCCAACATACGGGTCCGAAGCGTTGACCAAGATGCCATGATCCTCATCAAACTATGTGTAGTAAGTTCACGGTACACAATGGGGATTCAGGGTAGACACTGACATCGATAGTGAAGTTACCACAATCGCAACCCTCACCGCAAAGCGCACTAGCGGTAGCCATCGGGCGTGTGGTGGAACTGGCATTGGCGTGCTTGGAGAATGTGGTGAGAGTTGAAATTGCGCCGTTGGCTGTTGCGGTCCTCGGCTCGATCACCGAAGAAAGACCTACCGACGTTGTGGCATTGCGAGCCAAGGTGACCGTGACGGTTCGAGTTGACGGCTGAATGGAGTGAGAAAAAGGGGTTGTCGGGACTTCACCAGTGACTACAATGACTCCAGTGCGATTTCCAGAGCTCTGAGGGCCCGGAGTGTGTGTTGAAGAGTTCCATCCATGAGAGCTCCAGCCATTATATGAAGATGCATCCGAGCTAGCATGCGTTGATACGGTAGCCTTGGACGATGCGGGAGCTTTTGAGGGTGATCCCGTCTCCAAAGAGTCATCAGAGGTAGTTGACGTGCCAAGGAACACAGTCGAGTAAGTAGTAGCAATGATGACCGTTGTCGGTTCCTCGCTGTCTGTGACCCACACCGTGGCTGTCAAGGGGGCCTCCGAGGGAGCGGGGTCCGTCGCGGTGAGATACTGTGTGCCAGTGACCCAAACCTCAGTAGTCGTTTCCTCGCTCGGGGCAACAGTAAACGTAGAGTGACCAGGAATGATGGTGATAGAGTCCGTGGGGCCGGGCGCTCCACACGGCCAAAGGGTGGAGGTGCCTGACACAACCTGGACAAGTTCGCCACCAGTGGGGCAAGAGAATCCCGAGGGGACAGGTGCGGCAGAATCCGGGTAGTGAGTGGAAGCTGGGTGAGTAGTGAAGGCCGGATGGGAAGCAGAAACCGAGGACGAGGTGCAACCGAGAAGAGCAGTCACAGTGACAGTGGGACCCGTGACCGTGGCAGTCCAACCAGGGACGGTGACGCTGATGAAGCGGTCCACAGTCACGGTAGTCGTGCTAGCAGTGGATACGATGGTCCTAATACAGCATGGTAAGAGATGAAATGGCAGTGGGGGGATCTGAGGAAAGAGATTTTCAGGTGGAAGATCTTAGAGTGAAGTGGGCGCGGAAATCAGCAAATACGGTAAACTCAGAGAACATAGGCAACGTGAGACTGAGAAATGAAGGGAGAATGGCACGTACTCCTGGGCGATGGCCGGCAGGATGGACGCCAGGAAGGCGAGCCACGCGTAGACGAGCGTCATGGTGCACTTGACGAGTGAGTTCGGATGCGAAGCAGTGGGGTGTGAGGTGAAAGAAAGGAAGAGGTGTGACGACGTAGAATGTGCGCCGAAGGTTGAATGAGTGTGTTGTGCGCCGCGGGCAAAGAACGAAGGAGTGTGTGTGGTGGAGAAAGAAAGAAGAGGAGAGTAGTGGACGAAGAGATGAGTCCCTATGCTCGGCGGCGGGCGCTAGGATGAAGTAAGCGTGTCCGGCCCGTGGATCAACCGCCTGCTCCCTGTCGCGTATGGCTCTGATTGGCTGAAGGCGGAGTCCGCACGGTCCACCATCCGTTTTGCTCAGCCCAAAAAAGCAAGCGCGACGTCATAGGCATCGGACGCGTAAAGCTACGGTCGGCTGCAGCCTCGTCAGCGACCTGACTACGTCGGCAACAGTAATTGGCGTTCTGAAACATCCAGTGGCGCGATATGCAGGGAAAGGACGATCACCGCAGTCAATCTCCAAGCCATAAGCCATGCAGGTACCCTCTGCCAGTGCAGCCAGCCGGATCCACAGCAGCAAAATGGAACCCTGGTCTGTGGGTAGACTGACAGCCATGCAGGGCGGTCCACCCATCTTTGATCGTGTCACGCCAGCGCGGGTAAGGCAGCATAGCATTGACGCTGTGTTACCATGGCTGGAGCTGTGAGTATGCTGTAAAAACTGGCACGAGACGACGGTGGCTTACCATCATCTTCCGAAAGCTTGGACATAGACGACAATATGCCGTACGGGTTTCACTCACCTTCTTTGAGTTTTAGGAACGGCAATGGCTCTCAGATATTCTGCTACCAAAAACCAAAAAAAAAAAACCAAAGTCAAGATTCATGAATCAAAAGCAACCCACACAATCTGCAACCTCTAGGTACAAACACAAGCAAATTTTCCGAAAAAAAAAACAAAAACAAAGCAAGATCATCAGAGAGCATGGGAAAAGCAATTTCAACCCCCATCCCCCACCGCATCCCACACACACCAACAAAAACCCCAGCACACGCGCCCGACCAACCCCATTCACTCAACCTTATGCAGCACCAACCAAACCGGCGGCCTCCCGAACCCCCTCCCCCTCTTCTCCGTCCACCCCTGCTTGCTCAGCGTCTCCCCCGCCCTCTCATCCTTATACTGAATCGTACTCCCCTTATACCACCTGCCATTCCCCCCCTCCGTCACCTCGCTCACCGCCCACGCGTCCTCGCCCTTGCCCAGATACTCCAACAGCTGCTTCACCGTCCACCCCACATCCGCATCCCAGATGTTGAACCCGCCCATCTTCTGCGCCGGCACCACCACCCCCCGCCGCGCGCCGTCCTTCCACGGCCCGATGTCCGTCTTGCGGAAGATGTGCAGCCGCGTCTGCTTCGGGTTGTAGATCATGCCGACGCCCGCGCGCGCCCCGGTGCGCCGGTGGTGGTGCCCGCCGATCACTTTCGGCGTCGCTGCGTTGTCGTCGCCGTCGTCGCCGCCGTTGTCGTCACCGCCGCCACCGGTACCACCGCCGCCGCCGCCACCACCCTCCTGCTCCGCGCCCCACTGCCACCCGCCGCGCCCACTGCCACCACCAAACCCCGGGTCCATCCACGCGGGCGGCATCCGTGGCGGCGGGCCGCCATGCGCGACGTGAGGCGGGAAGAAACCAGGGGGAGGATGATGGCCGGCGTGCGGCGGCGGCATGCCGAAGCCCGGGTGGGTGGGCGCGTGGCCGGGGAAGAACGGGGGAGCTCCTCCTGGGGGATCTGGGGGACCGCCGGGGAACAGGGCGGGAGGGGGCCCGTGGAGGAAGCCCGGGGGGACGCCGCCGAGGGTGGGATCGGGGAAGTAGTCGGGCGGGGGCTGGTAGCCGCCGTAGGCGCCGGACCAGCCGTGGGGAGGGAAGTGGGACATTTCTTTTTTTTTTCTTGGTTTTTTTTTTGGGGTGGTGGGGGGTGTTTGTTGTTGTTGTTGGTGGTGGTGGTGGTGTTGTTGTTGTTTTTGGTGTCAAGGGGGAGGGGTTGAAGAGGAGGTGGGTGGGCTCCTTGGAAGGATGGCTTTGTGGAAGCCTGGAAGTGTGGTGCTTGAGGATGTCGTGGCTTGCTTTTGGCTTGCTTGACACGGAGGGGCAATGGTCAAAGTGGATGGAGAAGAGGTGGGAGTGTTTGAAAGGAGGGGGTAGGTCTTTTATGCTGTTCGAATTCAGATTCAGCTGTGGGCAGGAGACCGAAGCATAAACTTGTTGGCATGGTGGTCATAAGCTGTGTGGCGTGTACTCCTTTGTACTAAACAGCTATGATGGGTTACGAAAGAACAATGCTGATCCAGAGGAGCAATCGCAAGACCATTTGGTCTCTGTTGGCAGTCGGGTCATTCGAATTCGCTGGCAGATCGTTTTCTGTTCCCCTTGTTTGTTGGCCGGGATTGTATGGAGACAGGTTTGAAGACAATCATGTGTTCGTGAGAAACAACATGTACGTGGATGACCAGTACTCATAGTGTATGATCAAGAGTTTTGCAAAGAAACAAAGGAGTATACACCACGGGGAACTCACATAGACGCGAATTCCCTCAAGAAGGCCGGCAGGGGGATCTTGTGGGCGTAAAAGTTGTGCAAACACACGGGCTTCCAGTAAAGCGGCACCGGGCAGCACACCACAAAGATATCAAATGACAAGGAACGTGGAACGAAGATATTGGATATCTTAAATCTTCATTAGTTAACGACATTGACGAATATAGAGCAACCGATCACTCGCCCAAATGTCCATTCATACAAGCTTTTCCTTAACCCCCGGCCACAACGGCCAAGCCTTCGTAAATCTTCCTCTTGACGGCGTAAAAAGTACCGTCGGGCCGCCCCGGCCCCATGACGCCGAACCCACTGCTCTCCACCTCGATCTTGCCTGTCCCACTCTTTCTGACAACCACCGAGCCGTTGATGAGGAGTGTACCTTCACCGCGGAACTCCGCCGCAAAGCCTGACGATTGCATGATCTTCCGTAGGTCCGCAAGTCGCAGGTCGCCCACATGCAAAGGCTGGGCGACGGAGCGCGTCGCAGCGGCCATGCTCGCCGGTACGATGTCGAGAATGGGCGTTATGTTGACCTGCTTGTTCCCCTCGCTCTGGTCCGATACTTCTTGACTGTCGCCCTTGGAACCCTTGACCTTCTTCTTGATGCCGCCATCTCCCGTTGCCGAGTCGTCTTCCTCTGGAAGGAGCGCTTCCAAACGCCCAGTGATCGCAACGACCCCAAGACCCTTCACGTTCTGCCAACGCAGACGACGAACGATACTTTGACTGAGTTTAACCGTCCAGGCATTCGTGTCGACGCTTGCGTCAACCGTGACACCGACCGTTGGTGTGAAAACGTCGACTGCGCTCTCTGTTGTATCAGCAGTCGCTGCTTCAATCAGCTTCCGGCAATCTGCTGCCAGTGCCAGCGTCTCCTCCTGCTCGCCACCAACGAGAATGAGCTTGCGCGGACGGATCATGGGTATCAGCAGCTGCAGACTTCTCTTGTCGTGCAGGCCCGAGAAATCCACAAACGCGATCCTGCACTCAAGTCGCACAGTCTCCTGCGTGAAGATGATCTTGGATGGGCCTGCAACAACCTCCTCAGAGGCCTCGTCTTCAGACTCCCCAGAATCCTCGTTTTCAGCCTGCTCATCATTGGTCACACTGCCTTGCACTGAGCCATCCTGTTGTCTGCGACGTTTCGTCGTGCCGTTCGCCGCCTGCCGTTTGCCCGAACCGGGCTTGCCTGTCTGCTCGTCCCACTTGCGCTTCTGGCCAACGGCCGCATCTTTCTGCACGGCGCCGTTCCGCATGTCCTGGCCATCCACCTCGTCGCGCTCCTCCGCGCGGAGGTATTCCTCAGGGCGGATGAGGTCTCCGAACTCATCTCCGCGCCTTCTCTTCGCAACGTAAGGGAACATCTTTTCTCTGCCCTTTTTGCCTCGAGTGTCGTAATCGTGAACGTTCTTGCGGCGCAGCAGGATGTTGATGCCCAGTTCTGCATCGCTGAGCCCCAGCTTTTGTCGAGCGTGCGTCATGGCTGCCGAAATGTTCAACGACTTTCCCTGGTGTTCGGTATCTGATTCTTCCGAGGACTCTGAGGAGGACGACGAGCGGTCGTCGATGACGTCTGCTGCTGTCTCCAAGGAAGTTGCGCCGTCAGGCTGTAGAGTGTTGTGCAGTTGACGCTGCTGTGCGAGATAATGCTGGTACAACGGGACCTCGTTGCCTTCGAGCGGTGTTGCCTGAGGCACATCCACAGTCGCCTCGGCACCGCCAGCTCTTTGCACGGCAGCATCTTCGCCAGCCTCGGAGGACTTGGTGGCGCCGCTTCGTTCGGCCCAAAGTTCCCAAAGCAATCTGCCGAGGCCTTTCTTCAAGTCTGAGGGCTGCGCCACCCTTTCAGTCAAAACGACAAGGTTCCGGCTGTCTGCGGCGAGGTTGCGCAAAGCTTCTTTGGAAAAGCCCCATTCCAACGAGACGTCGCTTGCCAAGATGACCTTCGGGCCGTTCGTGGAAAGCATGCGACTGACCTGGGATTTGCGTTCTAGAAGCCTCACATTTCTGAAGTCAAATGGAGCGTTGGCCTTCTTTGCATCATCCTTGCCGTCCTTTGACCTGCCCTGTTGATTCCTGGTACGTTTGACATCGTCCCCGCCCTGCCCGCTGCTGGCCACTTCGAACTCGCGCACGATGCCCTCGTCCATCCACTCCAGCATGCTTCGCGCGTACCGCATTGTTGCGCCACATGTACGGCTGGTAAGATATAAAGGAGCATTCCCAAGCGCGTGAGGCTCGGCCGACCAGGCACTCTCTAGCAGATAGGCCAACTCCAAGATGCGGGCACTCGAGTCAGAAGGAATCAGCACGGAGCCTCCATTGGACACAGTTTCCTTGATCATGTTGAGCAGCAGTTCGTCTCGTTTCTGTCTGCCGCCAGCCAGAGCGATGCGTTCCGCACCTCTGCTGCTGCAGATCATGGCGGTTGGTCGCCGCAACTGCTCGATGACCTCGGCGCCGCCGGCACCAGAGCCACCCAGCCAAGCGGCGCCGGAAAGAACATGCTCTCTAGCCTGGTTCCAGTCTACCGCGTAGACGACCGACTCCATGCCATGCTGGATATGCCATATTGTGCCGCCCAAGGTATGTCCGGCGCTGTAAGCGGTTATGGTGAGGCCATTGAGAGGCGGGGAGAAGGGCGAAGGCAGGGGTTGATGGGGTTGAGAGTATTTGAGTGGATTGATGAGCGAGAAATAATGTGCGATCTCCTCGGTGGAGGGAGGTTGGAGGAGGATGTTGGGGTGGCTGCCGCCTTGAAGGGCCGGGAAGGAGTAGGCCGAGTCGGATAGGGCAGCTTCCGGGATGATGGAGGATGCGAGAGGGCTCGACGAGTAGAGGTCCTGGAGGAGAGTCCGGCCTAGGGATATAACGGGAGTGGTGGCGTAGACGGGAACGCGGGCGAATAGAGGGAAGTGTTTGCAACAATGAGCGAATGCACCAAGGTGGGCGGTCGTTGCGTGAGTGAGAAGAATGACCGAGAGAGTCGGGATTTGCCTGTAGGCGGGCGGGTCAGCATCGATTTGAATCTACCAACAAAGCAGCGGCGGTGTCTGGGTGGAGCATGCGTCTGTACCTCTCAAGCTCCTTGAGCTTCTCAGCATTGAAACCCTCGTCCCAGCCGACATCTATGAGGATCTTGATGCCACCATCGAGCTCGAGCAGGGACTGCGATGCGGCTGAGGTCGACTGCGCGCCCAGCAGGGGAGTGAAGTTGAACATGGCTGCAGCGCGAGGTATGCGCGGGCACGAGGGCGCGAACTATCATGCAACGGGCATAGCAAGACGGGCGACGACGATGATGGAAGGGGTGCTGGCAAGGCTACTGCTACAGGTGCTGGTGGCCGCGGCGCGCGCGTGCTGATGGTGACGGCACGCTGGCTTTGGTGTCGTAGCTGCACGTCGCTCGCCCGCGACCGCGTTTCTTGCTGGCCCGTGCCCGCCCAGCCTTGCAAACGAGGCAAACACCGTCGTGCCCGCCCTCCATTTCGGGAATAGCGTGTCGTCAAAGTATGGGCGCGATGTCATTCTTTGACCGTCCTCTAATTCAACCTCTCCTCCTCTGATTATTGTTGCTCGCCTCCCTCATGCAAGGCCAATTGATCCCATACAGGCCGCGCGCTGCGTCCGGTTTCACCCAGAATATCACCTGGACATCGTGCACTCCTGCTTAACTCCGGCCACCGACACCGTCGATCATTCCGGAGCTTACACCCGCATATGAACGTCCATGAAGTCTGACGTGGGCTGTCCACCGCTGGGGTTCCGCCAGATAAGCGATCTTTCATAGTTGGCGTCAAGCTTCGCTGTGGCTGGCAAAGTCCCCTATGGCCTGTCATGGATCTCGGCCCTTGGCCTACTACAGGTCAAGCTGCCGATCACCATGCCCATGGACTTCGCTCCTCTGAAGAAGGCACGAGTATTCTGCCGTCACTCGCTAAACATTACCCGATGGTCAGCACCCACGCCACTTGGCCCCATTCCGCCTGCTCAGACTTGGTGACTGCTGCATTGGAGACGGCCTGACGCGAGCCGGTAACGCTTTCCGGCGGCACGCACAGGGGCTAGTTCCAGACCCGCCTGTTTGGTGTGGTACAGCCAGCACAGCCAAAACGACACCGCCAGCCGTTGCCGATACTGCATGCGATCGCGACGATTGTACCTCGTACTCCTGGATCTATCGCCGAACGAGATGGCGTCGTGGTACGTGCCGGCTTACTATTCCCGCAGCTTACAACACGAACGGCCACTCCGTCCGTCGGCGTCCTCCTGGAGGCCCTGGCTAAGCCTCAAGCATGGCAGGGTGAAGGCCGGTACGGCATCTCCCACTGTCCTACCGTGAGCTAGATGCCGCCACGGTCGACCATGCCGCATCCCGTGTCGCAGCTCTTGCCAATCTCTCACCGGCCATGCTGCCGCCTGCGAACGCTCCTGAGCCGGCATGCTACAGGTCACATCCTGCCGTCCGTCTGCCTCGACCATTTTGGACCATCCCTGCAGAAGGCATATCTGGGGCCTCATTCTCGAGCCCCGGTGTGCTGCACCTCATGCATGCTGCATGGGAAGTCAATCATACATAGACATCAAACACTCCGCACGTTGGCCCTGCCAAGCCCCGGGCGCATGGCATGGGAGCGCCTGGGAGCGCCTGGGACGTTCGGTAGGCCAGCCGAGCGAGGTGTGGCTGGAGGCAGCAAGGCAGCAAGTCAGCACCGGCAGTCAGCCCCAGCCCAGGGCAAGAGCCGTTTTTGTGCAACCTTTCGCTTGAATCTGGAGGCTGCAAGGAGTCTTCGGCTAGCAACACGCCCACACGTCCTCCAAGCCGTGCCACTCGCACAGCGCTTTGACAGAGGTTGTGCGCGGCGCAAGTGTTCGCCGCTTGGAGCGGAGCATGCTCCGACGCCCACCCCGGCCCAGGGACAACGAGCATCTGCAACCTGAGGTCACAACCATGGCTCCGTTTCGAATGTGCGGCCGGCGCCCACGTGCGGAGACGGCCTCTCTGCAGCGGAGTTGCCCCTTCGGTCCGCAGCTGCTCACGTCCCTGCGGATGGACGTGCAACCTCGCTTTGAAAGCGGCGCGCCACCAATGGAGCGGCATCGCCGGGCACTGTTTCGAGCAGATGCACTAGGGAGGGCGGCACGGAGGCTCTCTTCTGGAATCTCTCAGCGGGCGAAGTGGTGGGGAAGCACTCTACGCATGTGATATGTCTCTGACAATTATCGCCACAAGCGGCCGGGTCGACTTAGTCTGGGTCGGCAGCCTGTTTCTGTTCTTCCTGGAGCGATCCAGGCCGCTTGAAGCCGGGCGTCAATGGGCTACGCTCGCACTAATAAATAGCAGCGTGCAAGAGGCAGGACGAGTGGCTTGCGATGCTCGGACCGGCCGCGTGTCAGGCGACTGCGCTTTCACAATCCCATCACACGCCAGGGCGCCCAAGATAGTCGGGCGATGGGGTTCATGTACAGCATCTGCTCAGCCCCCCCACACTGGTGGATTTAGGGCTGCAGTTTGCGGTAAGCAGCGGCGCAAAGAAGCAGCAGGCGGGGGCGGTGATTGGCAGCGGCCGTGACGCTACCGGAGGGCTACCGGAGGGCTACCGGAGGGCTGCCACGACCGGAGGGTTACACACGATCTGGCGAGTGCTCGGCGGGGAGTGCCGGGCTGTGACGCGGTGCGGTGCCGTGCCGTGCGCTGGTGGGATCCCCGGGATCTGCGGCGAGGCGCGGGTGGTTGCTGCGGGCGCGCGTCAACGACGTTGCGGTGCGCTTAAGGGCGGGCCACGGGCGGATGTGGTGGCCGTCGCGAGGTCAAGGGACTCGGGCTGGCCCTGACGGCTCACGCCGGGCAAGGATGTGCGTGGCGCGCTGAGCAATGCTCGCGGCGTCTGATCAGCGCGCGGCGGAAAGTTGGCCGGGATGCAGGCGGGTACGCGACGTTAGCCAAAGTCAATGTGCCGCAGCGAGGATCGGCCCTTTTCGACGGCGCCGCTCTCGACTCTCGACTCTCGATGCCCGCGCGCTCCGGCGCTGCTGCAGCGCTGCATCAACCACCGCGCCCCCGGCCGCTCCACCCGCACCCACGCACCCACCGGCCCAGCGTTGGGCGAGCGCTGCTCCCTGGCCGCTGCCCTGAGATCGCAAAGATTGGCGATGCCAGCAGGAAAATGCCCTCGTATACCCGCGAACCCCACACCCGCGCCACCAGCCAGCAGACCAAGATTGCTCTCCCGGCCAGCCTAGCCGCTTCCATCCCACGGGCTCCCTGCCCGCCAAACACCGCCCCCGCCTCTGTTTCGCCCGCCCATTTATCACTGGCCGCTGATCCGCTCGCGGTAAGCAGCCTGCCGACTCGCGCCCTCGCTCCTCGCTCACGCTCAGTCAGCCCGCCCTCCATCACACTCCAAGCCCTCTACATAATCCGGTGCTCGCCGTCCGCGCGCCCCAAAGCCCCAGCTCCCGCCGTCGCCAGGTGACGCGCCTGAGGGAGCTCGCCCAAACCTGCTCGCCCGCTCTCCTGCTCCAGAAGCCCTGCCAGCGAGCACCCGTCTGATGCCAACGCCCCGCCGCTCCGCCCTCCAATCCTCCTCCAGAACATGGCTGCCGAAATGTTTGGCCCCCAGCCCGTCTCCTACGGCGCCCGCTTCAGCATCAGCTCCTCGTCGTCCAGCCAGGCCTCGCCCTCGTCCAGCGAATCCCCCCGGACCACCCCCAGCGTAATAGACTTCCAGTATCTCCCGGACCCCAACTCAATCGACGGCATCGTCCCCAAGATCGAGGAGCTGGACGACGACGATGACACGTCCAAGATCTCCCCCATCACCAACGAATCCGTGCCCTCCCCGGACCGCATTGTCGTGAAGCGCCCGCGAGGCAGGCCGCGGAAGCACCCCATCGCACAGCCCGCCTCCATCACCAAGCCCCCCAAGGGCCGCTCCAAAACCGGCTGTATAACGTGCAGGCGGAGGAAGAAGAAGTGTGACGAGACTAAACCGGCTTGTAAGGATCCCGCCTGATAGCTGTGGCACGGACCACGCGTCTAATCTGAACGCAGGCTTGCATTGCCAGAAGAACAACGTCCACTGCGAGGGCTACCCGCCCAAAGAGTTCTGGAAGAGCGGAAGGCAGAGGTCCATCGGTACGGTGTGCAGACCACGGTTGACGAGGCCGCCTGCTGACGATTTGCAACAGTTACCCGCAGACATAGCTCCGTGTCCGTGAACTTGCCCGTGCTCATCGACGGAATTGAGACCGACATTGACCGCAAGTTCCTGGACCACTTCCACTTCAACGTCAGCCGCGTGCTCAGCCTGTTCGACGACGTTGGAGGCAACCCCTTCACCAAGATCCTGATCCCCATGGCCATCAGGCATCGTGGCTTGATGCATTCGCTGCTGTGCCTTGCCGGCTCCCACGTTTTGTTACGCGAGAAAAAGCCCGAGTACGAGCACAGGCAGGCCTACCATTTCGATAACGCCATCCGGAATCTCCGAACGGACGAAAACATGCAGCGGAGATTCTCCGGAGACGACACCGCCGTTATCGATGACCCGACGGTCGCACAGACGCTGATCCTCTGCCTCAAGTCCGTTACTGCGGGCGAGACCGACGGTTCCTATCGCGCTCACATGGATGCCGCGAGACATCTGATCCAGAACCAAGAGTCTCCCAACAAGGAATTCCAAGCCTTCCTGGTCGAGTTCTTCGTCTACCATGACGTCGCCAATTCCGTGACCGCCACCGACCGGAGAAGTATTCTCATGATGGATGACTTCCACCTCCCAGAATACATGATCCAACCCGAGGCGGCCACCCTTCTCGGCGTCGTGGACGGCCTGTTCCGGATAATTTCCAACATCAGGAAATTGCGCGACAAGATCAGAGCGAAGAAGGTGCAAGGCGTCAACCCGCCCGTAGATTACGAGATTCTCAACGATGCCGTTTCCATCGACCAGGATCTGCGCGAGTGGAAGTGCCAACAAGATGACGAATACCGCTACTACACGTCCATGCTCTACCAAGCATGCACCTGGATCTACCTCCACCGGACCATCAAGCCTTCCAAGCCGGACCCCGCGCTGCACGAGGCCGTGGACAAGGGACTCGAATACCTGGACAAACTGCCACCGACGTCGAATACGCAAAGCGTCCTCCTCATGCCGTTGTTCCTCTTGGGCTGTGCTGCATTCGAGCAGCATCAACGCACCCCCATCAGCGAGGGCCTTGACAAGCTGCAAGACTACTCCAACCTCGGCAACATCAAGTACGCACGCGAGGTCGTGCACACGGTATGGGAGATGATGGATTCCGGCAACGAGGACTCGTGGGATTGGGAGACCATCATCGTCAACAAGGGTTGGGATTTCCTGATCACTTGATGCACCCTTTGCCTCTCGGTTGACCGGCGAGGGCGGGGTGTCTTCACACCCCGGACGGGGGAGTTCGGTGTTACTTTCCATTCTCGGAGCCCCTCGTCCGGCTCGTCGTTATCACCATCGTCATTTCCCCTACCCTTCGCAAACTAGCGTCTCGAGGCTTTTTTGTTCCCCCTTCTTTCTCGCATCATTATCACGTGGTTATCATGTTATCGGTTCGGTCGGATTGGGCGGGCGCGCGCGCGTTGCAACGTTTTTTGTTTCCGGCTTTTATCCTGGAATTTCTGTTACAAATGGGAGGTGGTAGGGCGGGAAATCCTGGCGTTCTATACCACCGAGAGTCTCGCCGGTGCGAGGTTGCATGCGGGCGGGGGTTTCTGTTGTTTTGTCTGGCTGCTTGAATACCACCATCGTCGGGTAAGGATGGAGATTCGTCGGTTTTTTTTTTGTTTTCGCTTTTCCTTTTCACACACACATGCATACGGTCTTGATGGGTTTGGCAACGTGCTCGGGTCGGTGTTTCCCCCGACTATTTCCTTCTTGCTTTGGGGTCGGTTCGCAAAACCCGCCTACAGGCAGCAGCACATACGGTCTTCTTTGCATTTCTGGGCGGAGTCGTCGGACAAATATTACATTACCCCCGATTCGGTTGCTGATACAAAGCATCGGGGGGGTGGGATGGGGATTTTCATCCAATGGGCGGCTTTACAGTGTTTCTGTTCGGGTTACTCGGGGGAGGGGGCAGGCTTGATGCCGCGATAGCAGTTGTGGATGGGAAGAAGCAGCAGAGGAAGAACAGAGTACAAAAAGAAAATCGTTTCGTTCCCCGTCCACCGATCGAATCCCAGCGACTGACTGTTGTCTGTTTGTTTTGCGCCTTTTCCTTTCGTTTTCCCTACATTTTGTCCCTTGGCTCCCTACCTACTACTCTGTTTTGATTGCGCTGGGCGCATGCATCGACCTGTAATCGCTTCCTTTTTTGACCCCTCCCCTGGCGTCTACCATGCTTTTCTGTAACACGTACATGCTCCCCACAGACACACACACAGTCTGTGAAGGACGGCGAGCGGACGAACGAAAGGACAAACACCCATCGTCGAGTCGCGGACAGCACACCGAGAAGGCAGCAGCACCTACTACCCAGCCCAAGGAGCATGAAGCAGACATACATACATACATCATCGAACCGCGAAACCAATAATAATACATGATCTTTCTCCTCTGCGCAGTAGTTCCACGGACTCACTAACTAGCACATACACATACACACACAACACTCCGCAAGCCGACAGAAATAAACAAATAAAAAAGGTCAGCAGCAGGGGGATGTTCCAGAAGCCAGAAGAAAGAAAGAAAAAACCCCCGCGACTGACCGACCGACCGACCGACCGACTGATCAAATTAACCCTGAAATAACAACATGCTTTATCGCTTTTCACCTAGGTAGTAAGTAGGTAGGCACTTTCGCGCAAGCAAGTTACCCGAGTCTAAAGTTTTAGGGGGGGGGGGAGGGGGGAGCAAGGGCGGGATCGATGTGTGGGATGGACGGATGTGGGATGGGGTAGGTATGTTGGGGAACCTTCCCCCCCTACCCCCCGCTCCCTGGCGAATTTTTGTTTTTTGTTTTTTTTTTGGCGTTGTTGATCGTCTGTGTAGCTACTGGTAGTTCTTTTCGCCTTCTTGCTTGATTTGCGATTGCTTTGGGGGAGAGGGGACAGGGATGGCTGATGAGTGAAGCTGGCTGACCAAACGAGCAAGCCGGTCGGTCGGTCGGTCAGCCGCGCGCGCGCGGTGCGTGCCGTGGGCGGCGGCTGGCCGGCTGGCCGGCGCTGGTCATCAGCCCGCGGGAGGCGGCAGCAGCAGGAGCAGGAGCAGGAGCAGGAGCAGCAGCAGATGATGATGTGCTGCGGTACAGTGCGGTGCGCTGCGGTGCGCTGCTTCTTCTTTGCTTTTTTTTTGGTCTTTCTTTCACTCTCTCTCTTCCTGTTTTTCTCTCTCTCTCTCTCTCTCTTTCTCTCTCTCGACAAGCAGGCTCATGGGGTAGTGCTACATACATACATGAAATACCACAACATACGAACTACGTACATACATGCATGCACACACGCATACCTACATACATAAAGAAAAGCAAAAGCCCCAAAGCACAAACGATACTGCACGTACACGCACCCAATCTATCGACGCAGAAAATAATAAACCGTCCCGTCCGACCGACCGGCCCCCGGTGCATGCCCCGGCCATCCCGCTCTCGAAACGATAGTACGTACATAACTCGAGCGGTTCGGTTACACGACTTTGTCTCTCTCCTTCTGCGGTGCTACTTCGTTTAGCCAAACGGTCGCCACAGGGTCGCACAGCCTAAAAACGGCCACCCCCGCGTGCGGCGTGGGCATGTGGCGGGTGCTAGGTAGGGTCATGGCGCTTGGCGTTGTCTCACCAAGCAAACCACACTACCTACCTACTTACACCACATGCCCCCCCGCCATTATCATTATTGTCACCACGTGCGGAATGAAACGGGATTGACGCCGCGCTTCGGCCGCCGTCCGTCCCCGTCGCCGCCGCCGCCGCCGCATCTTTCGTCTACAACAAGTCTGGTGCAGCGAGCGGGTAGCAATGTACGCCTGGGCGCGCGCGGAGGAGCTGGAGTACTAGCTAGGTAGGGGGGCGCCCCGGGAGGCGCTGGAGGATCGTTAGTCGGCAACATGTCCTTACTCGCTCGTACTTATTAGTCATGCCGATGGTGATGATGATCGCGCTGGAATTCTCCGTCTCGTTGATCCCCCCTCTTTCCCATGCTCCCCATCTTCGGATTAAAAAAGGAGAAACGTGGATCGCTGTGTGTTACTAACCTCGTTTTTTTAATCTTTTTATTCTTTTATTATCGTCGTTCCCGCTGCGCTGGGTCGAACTAGCTAGGCGCAATTGCAACTTATGACGACGACGACCATGTGGCTGACGATTGTCATTTAGTGGAGTTTGCGCGCGTGCGCGGCTTGCGTTCCGCGGGCGGAATTAGGTATTGGGGGCTAGGGCATCGTGAGCATACGAGGGTATGGGTGTGTGTCGTGGGCAACGGAGACGGGGGGGAGGAGAGACGCATGGAGAAGCGCCGACGAGGACGCCGACGAGGACGACGACGACGACGTAGGCGAGAAGGAGGGACTCTGCGTGGAGGGAGAAGGAAGCGAAGAGGACGACAGAGGGGAACGGACCGGGCAGCAGGCAACGACAATAACGAAACAAGACAGGAACAGCAGCATATCGGCATTCGACGGGGGTCGAGAGCCGCAGCATGATAGCGATGACGACGCCCGATGGTGGATCAGCCGCCGCCGCTCTCTCTCTCGCGCGCGAGCGACGCGATGCGATGCGATGTGGATGCTCGCACGCCCCACCGCCGATGGGCCCCATCGTCTCCTCTCCAAAGAATCCCGTCCCGTCCTAAAATGGGATCGGCCTCGGGAGTGCGGCGTTGCTTCGCTGCAATTTCACATCTACCCCCCTCCCCAACACAACGGTTGGAATGATGATAGCAATGCCCGCGACGCCCGCACGTTCCTCCAGCGGCCCATGCGTTTCATCTATTCCTGCCCGCACTGCGCGCAGGCAACGGGGGATTGTTTCTCTGTATAGTTCTCGTCAGGTGTGTTGTTAGCGGCGTGGCGCAGAGGAAATGTTTGATCGTATCATCGGAGGATTTTTTCCCCCCCATCCATCGTGTTTGCCCCGTGTTTGCCTTTCTTTTGGCCCCCGCCTCATCCTACTAGTGGTTTTTCTCAGATCCGGATATGAAGAAGGAACAGAGAGGAGCTTCTTCGTGTCTGGCGAGGGAGCTGTGGCTTGCTCTGCCAGACAGGGAGGGAGGGAGACGGGGAGATGGAGCGAAAGTCGATCGTCCTGTTAAACTGTCACCTTGCTTCATTGGGGTCGATGGGCCGCCCTGGAGCCGGACCTCGGGGTAATGCGGATTACGGGCACAAATTGTGGCTGCTGTGGATGGGCCACGAGAGTGATGCGCGGCAGGAACAGAGAGTCAGAGAGCACAGGTAGGTAGCTGAAGGGGATCATCCGGACGAGTCTGGACATAGACCGCGCCGGGCCGGCCGAGCCCACATCGTCATGGCCCTATCGTCATGGTCGGGCAGTGGTTCCCAGGAGGTCGTTGGGCGGATATCACAACCACCGTCACGCTGTTGATGCCTTGGCCGCTCTGTTCTCGATCAGCCCGTCCTTCCGTCTGGCTGTTGCGCTCCGGGTCCACCGACGCGCAGGCGAGGGAGAGCGGCATCAAGCGTGCATAAGCGTTGATGGGGCCGGGGCTGCGCTAGACGACCGGGCCCATCAGGGCACACATGGACCCCGGCAGGGGAGGCAGCGCGACTGGCTCCGAAGACGACGACAACGTATCGACTTCTGCCTCCCCCTCACGACTCTGATCGTGTCGAGCATTTGTCTTTGCCGATCGCCTTTCCTCCCTTTGCCGCATTGTTATCAAATCAGGCAGGCCCACTTGCCCTCTCTTTCTTGCATCTCACATTCATTGATCAATCACAGGGCGTCCCCAGGCCCCTCCCCCTCCCGTGCTGCATCTTACGTACCCTGCGGTTCCCGGGCGAAGCTGCAATGCGGCGCCAGCGTCTCGATCAGCCGCATTCCTCTGCCGCGCGATGGTCCCAAAGCGTTGATGGAGCGACAGCGCAATTGTTCCTTCATCACGTCTGGCGGATGGCGAGGGGTTGGCGGCAGCGCGCGGCTAGTACCTACTAGGTAGTAGAACAAGCGCGACTACTATCGAAGCATTGACGACGCGGAAGGGCGGCAGGATCAGATGGAAATAAGGGACCGCGGCAGCGGCAGGCGGGCGCGGGCGGCGCACGAGGGAGGCAGAGCGAGCAGGACCGTCGGCTGGCCATCTCGGGGGTGCCGTCGCGGCGGGCGACCAAAGCTTGCGCAGCCGTCCGCCCGCCCGTCGGCCGCGTCCTGAACCAAACTTCCCT